TTATAACGATAGTGGAAGTTAAAAAGTTCAAAGCGGCATCATTTAATGATGATAATCATTCGGCAGTAGAGCTTCTTTTATAGTCGTTAGACTGATTAGCCAACACTTGAATGATACGTTCTAATTAATAGTCAACACTAGTATCATACAATAGAAGGAATAAGACAGCTGTGTGATTTTTCGCTTGTTTATGCGCATGGTAAACTTAATTGTTTATTAAGTGATGAATTATTCATCAATAATCGGTGTTTAGTAACCCTATACATTTAGCAGCAATGAGTAATGTCTTTCAACGCCATATGGCTTTTGTCGCATGAAAGAAATTCCGATTAATTGGAGTGCAAATTAATCTTAAACTAACATTCCAGTTTAATAGACGCAAGTGTATTAGCAGCCAACAGCAGCTCTATTTTATAGCTTGTTATTATGGGCATATCTTGTTAAAAAATACTGCATGATGGTATAAACTATGATCCAAACTAGCAAAATTAATTAGTTAGTAGTGTGACACCGTAGTAACTGAGGTTATCATTACAATGGAAGGTGATCAATATTCTATCATAGTGTTTTCCTTACCAAAACATGTAGCAACCGTTATCGAATGAAGCATGCATAAAATGATCATAAATACTAGCTATCACGATAAATAATTAATTACTACACAAGCGCAGATAGAATTAATATTAAAACATTGAGAAAGAAATCCTTTTGTTTATACAAATGGAAAGCATCCAATGTAAGTTAGAATATAATACGCTACCATTTCATCCAAATATTGACAAGATAATAATAAATGAGATTTTAATGTCAATAAAATACAGATGAACATGGGTGAACATTGAACAAGCAACTGTAGCTCTTCGATGTTTCAAATTTGCTAGATTAAAAAATTTACTTCACCTTCCTCCAGATTGTAGTAGTTTAACATAATGAAATAGATCGCAATTTGAAATTTGGGGAACTTAATTTCTCAATATATTAAGAAATGAATTTCTAAAAATTGTGTAGTTAAATGTTATTATATTACTCACGTGCATGGAAAAAGTATACTAGCAACCGATAACTAGTACATTCAAATTCCTAACAGTCATGAAACTTCAATAATAAAATAAAGTACCATTGTATCCAAGGAGACAGTATGGTCTACAAAATTATTTCATTGATTATGTACTCTAGTCCGTTAGGTTCAAGATATCATGAACTCTTTTTGGCCTAATTAACTCTGAAATATGTTCTCGATCTGTAATTTGCCAGCAGATGTCATTAATATAAATTTCATGCTCTATTCATTGGATATGCTGATATTAAATAGGAAATTATGCTGCTTCATTACCAACATTGTCTAATGAGCATCCAATCCATAAAAGCCTGTATTTGTTCATACGAGAGCAAATTTTCATAGATGGACCATAAATGCAATTTTTAGTTGCTGCACCATGTTTTAATTTTTACTTGTAACTATACCGTTATACTTAGCACAACATTGGAAATCTTCGTAATTTTTTTGACATAATTAATCTAATTTAATATTAGCCAACGATTATAACAAAAAGATATATGATATATACTGATAGTTACAGTACAATACCTTATTAGATTTGTGCTATTTTAGATATTTTATTTGCTCTGAGAGCATCAATTTACTGCTATCAGTGGTCAGTATATGCTCTGTTGCTAAGGACAACTGAAGATATTCGGCCTACAACATATATTGTTACAACAGGATAGGCCGCTTTAATAAAAGAAGACTACAAAATTACCTTAATTTAGCCGTACAAACAATACCCTGCGTCAAGAAATTAGCTTTATCATGGCACGGAAGTCATCTAAATTAAATAATTATTCGCACTTTTACTAGCAATATCCAGGTTTATTTTGATTATGAGTCCAATTATTTAATAAATTAATTTAATTTTATTACGATATCAGTTTTTTGATGTCCTGTAATCTGATTCTATATGATGGATATACGAAAGTTAAAAACTTGAGGCAAATTTGAATAAGGATTGTATATACAATTATTGGTGATATTTTATTAGCATAAAATACCGTATTCTAGAAGTTTACAGCATAGTACGTTTAAAATCACAGTCCTAGGTGCAGCTTGAAGTTTATATAATAAAAGTAAATATCACAATCTTGGCATACCGTAGATAGCAAAGCTATGAAACTAGCGTACTGATATGCTGTAGATTGTACCGTAAGAAATATTTACTTAACCTAGAGAATTGCAATCCTCTGATTGTAATACAAACAGTGCATAGTGTATAGGTATTCTATTGATCTTGAAAAATTTGTACTGTGAACTCGTACTATGTACAGTTGTACCCTGTACCCTGCGGCCGTAGTAAGAAAATATTAGTATCTTAAGCTCATCGATTTTAACTACACAGCACACTATGCTAGAACATTAATAAAGTATATGATTCACAAGCAACATTGCCTATAACAACAGCATCTGGTATTCTATGAACCTATCTGACCGAGAGGGAAAGTGATCATGAGGCAACTGTTTTATAAAAATATTTACCATTTAATACTCTAAAATTATTGCTCAATATAAGGTACAATAATTACAGGTTGGAAACACAGGCTCTTATGAAATATTACTAAAGATAGAAATACTGAAAAACGGAGTATTCATTTATTGATCAATAGGTCTGACGTACTTCCGTCATTTGATAAAAATGCTATATGCTATTAAAAGATGATTAACAAATAGGCAAGCTGTTGTCTCTTTAAGTGCGAATGATTCCCTAATTAATCGTTCCAAAAAAATTAATAATACCGAGGTAAGATATTGAACCTAATCGGTAAAAAGCCCGCAGTGTGACAATTTAAATGTGGATGCATAATAATACTCTAATCTTTCAATTGGGATAGACTTGAGATAGCTGTGTTTTTTCCATATTATCTCTTATACATTACACAATACTCGCTTTTATCCAGCCATTAATTGCTTGATTTTTCGAACTCATAGCCTAACCAAAATATGTTATATTAACATGGGATGAAAAAGGTACATTTTTACACACGTTCTTGCGCAGTTTTTCCTGAGTACAGTAAGTAACTAGGGAACCGAGAAGAATTGCAAGAATATTATAAAAGAATATGAGAAACTAATATTCAATACCCGGTGGACCTTGGCAAATATTTGAAAAGAAGTTAGGCAATTAAGTAGTATCAAAAGATTTGAATCCATTTATTCATTTTATCAGACGACAAATATTCAAGAATAGAAGCAGTCTGGCCTTTTTATCTAATAATGAGTAATCTTACTCTACAGAGGCTAACAATATTACATAATCAATTCAATATCTTATGCAGAACACTAATAATTATTAAAATTAATTCTTCCATATTATTGTATTAACAGCTCAGACTTAAAAGCTATAACGTAATTTACTAGGAATTAAGTTTAACAGTAAACTTTCTAAGTGAATCTGCTTTGTAGCCTTTCCAATACTATAATTTATTTTAGTGTATAATTAATACTTCGATTTCTTTAGTACTATCCTTGCAGAAAATGCAATTTATTTAAAGCTACAATGTATAGAAATTATTCAGAACAGCAAAATTTAATTTCACATGCTATTATGTAAGCCATTTTGACATTTAATTAATTATAAAATACTGTAAAATCCATATAAATCAGTTAAGTGCGCAAATACTAAAGCCTTACGTTTTGCTTATGGATGAATAATAACTTTTTATTATATTTAATTGAAAACATTCATAATTTAATGACGAAATCTTTGTCCAAATGTACCAGTGAAAGCAGCTTTTAAACTTCTTTTATTGCCTAAGATGATTCCGCAAACGTTATCATAAAATGGACCATACGAATTTTTTTACGATATAAATCAATTAAAATTTGATAATCTAAGTATTTATCATGATCACGATAGAATCTATATCAAATAAACATCATGAAAAACAGAATATTGCAAATGAACATTAGTATTGTCTTTCAAGTTCTTTGAAAGATAATTAGTCAGCCTTTCATACATTAAATCACCTATACGGCACTTTTTAAGTTTTAATATGAGGAAACTCTACATATGCAAGGCAAATTCAATTATAATAATGGAAGCCTACACGCATTGGCGTAAAACTGTAATAGCTATAAAAATAATAAAACAATTTATAATTAACTAGTCGTTTTAGCAACGCGATTTTATGACACTTATTTCCGGCAATGCGTATATCCTGTCATACATAAAAAAATCATTACTTTAATAATACGAAGTAACTCTATTATCTTTCTTTCGCTACGGTAATATAATGGTTAAGAATTTAGATCAATCATTTTAACACCCAAAACGAAAATTAGAACGAAAAATGCTTCAGGAAATATTTATGAGGCAGTAAGATAAATATATGCGTGGGATACAGAAACTACAGTATTATTTGCTACTTAATACATCTTATATCTCATAAAATGAAATAATAAAAATAATATCCATAGTTTAGTAGGTTTTCAGTACCAGATCGCGATGCTTTTTAAATCTATAAAAAAATTATATCTTGAAGCAGAATACTTAGATCCCTTTTCTCTGGCTTATAAATTATCACATAAGTAGATCCTCCAGTCTACAACGTCCTGTACAATCGTATTTATGTAGTTTGATACCATACTAGTGGTATTCTGCATATCTGACATTACTTATAGTGACATTAAACTAATCACGCAGAATACAGAAGACACAAAATGCACATATTTTATAAAAATATATCGTAGTTGGTCATTAATTATATCTATGACTAGCTCATGTTTTGTGTACGTACTTGTTCATAATTATAAATTCGTTTGATGTTTACAGAGTGCATAAATGAATCAGATTTTTATGGTTATCACAACTTATCCGCCTTTACTTGATTTGTATATTATGCCAGCTATACTGGGCACTGATAACGTAAGGATCCAGACTATGCTTAATTATTGCGGTAGCATATACGAAACAATATTTACAAGGTTTTATGATTATGTATCAAAGTTATCACACTGCATGAATTATTTCCTCTTTAAATCGAAGCGTATGGCAGATATCGACTGTATCTCCACTCATTTCTGTCACTTTTGAAGTAGGAACCGTTTTACTAGAAACCGTAGAGACAGCAGCAGATTCCCTGCTTGTTATGTGAATACCAGTATCCACTATATCTGAGTGAAAATAAACTTGTCGAACAGATCCACTGCATTCCATCAGTGATTCATCAGCCAATCCATGTTTGTTGTTACTGTTGCGGCTGGTATAATATTTCCCAACTGACGTACAATTAGGATGAAAAGCGCTATAATACACGATGAAGAAAACCAAGCCGACAAAAAATCCTCCAGTTATAACACCTATAGATGTATATGCTATTCTACCATTTATGAAGTTATTGCTATCCAATAGTACAGCTGTCAAAATTAGTTCCAATAAATGCATGAAGAAATGAGCGATGTAGCGCAGACGAGTTTTACCTAAATTAATAAACAAGAATCAAGACACTTTTAAAATCACGAATAATTTTATTGGAAACGATTGATAAAAAATATCTATATACTATTTTTTATCATGGATTCAATCTCGATATGATTCGATTATTTTCATATTATGCTCAAGTATCAAAACTAGAAAGAAATAGTTTAATAGAATCGACACTAGAACATTGATTTACTGGTAATGAAAATTATAACCTTATTGGCAGTAACTGGATGAAAAGGATTTATAATATACGTATAGAAATCGTAGTGTTTATGAAGTAGTAAATTACACAGTTTTAATCGGTCATCAAGGAGATTAGTGTAACCCCATAAATAGATTAACCCATCTTTATACCTACAGTGAAGTGCTGTAATACTGTGCTAATTACACAAATCTAATTTTGAAGGATTAACACAGGTGCCAAAGTAAAGCTATATCTCAAGTTATAGATAAATTCAAGTTAGACAAGTCTCCAATGAAGTTAAAGGATGAATTTATTACAGACTCGGTACAGCATATGTAGCTGGACCGACCAAAATGACTGGTCTAGATTTACAGATGCTAAAACGCCAATGTATTCATTTAACTTCCTTCAAGGTATCTAAGTAATATTTAATTCTGTAAATGATACCAACTATTAACTATTTAATAACTTGATCTATCACTTTAAATGCCATGTCAGTAATTTTACTAGTAGATAAAATTAAGTTCTATAAGTCTGATAATCTAACCTTGTTTTAAATTGATGAAGAAGAAGATATCTATCCATCCGTTGGTAAGACATAAGACAAATTTTTCACAGAGGTTCAACCGATCTTTCCGGTCTAATACACAACAACCAATTTTCTCATAGCTGCCGACGCCATCAATCCAGAATATAGTAGTCATAACAAACCAATGACAGAAGAATAGAAAAAATATCCACTGTTGAAAGTAATACGCAAAGACTGCTAGTAATGTAAGTCTAGAGATTAAAAAGGAGATTCTCCATACGAAATACATTCCTAGGCCTATTAAATGCAAGAAAGATATACATATTTTTAGATCGTAACATTGTTCGCATGTAATTGTATAGTATATAAGTCACTATAGCAAGTTGTAGAATGGGTTTTAGGGCTAGTATTGTAAATTATAGTAAATTTAGTGTAGTTAATTTGAATTTACAGACGTGATCTAAACAGTATAAAGTATTTAACAAAGAAAGACAGTAAATTTATAAACAAGATTAACTCTAATTAACACTATTTTATAGCAACTGGAGAGTCCAGTCATTAACGTTACGAAATGTACAACAGCTAAATTATGATACTATACCTTCAAAAGATAATGTCTTGACTTTTTTTCCGATCTGTTTTTGAGCCTTGCGTAACGTATTTACATGGTATGTGACACAATATGCAGTAGACAAGAACGAGATTGCGACCGAAGCAATCTTGAAAAAATCGACTTCACCATTAGTAATGATGATATAAATTTGTAAGATTAGTTGCGGCGCTGAATCAACAGTTACGTCAACTGTACTAATTAGGCCAGCATCAGCTATATGGTATAATAATAAACCATGTTGGTATTCGTCATGGCGCTTTCTACCTTTGATTGCAATATATAAGTATCTGTAATGAGATGAAAGGCACAATTAAGTTAAATGCTAAATGATCTGTACAATCTTCATTAAGCTAACTATATAATGTCTAATGTAGCTTACAATCACCATCTTACTGTAAATATATTAGAAGTAAATGATATTTCTACAGCTACACACAAAAAAGGACTGTCAAACTTTAAATATGTAGTATAGATTTTACACTTGTATCTCAATCGACTATAAGTTGCTAGTTGGTGTTGGTTAATACTTTATGCATAATACAGCATGATGGTAATAATCAATCAATGGACGCCTATATATTACAGCCATTCCTAAGGATAGAATGTTGATATGATTGCTAGCAGCATTCGTTAAATGATCATTTACCATAAGTTGTAGCACGTAAAGTGTAAATGCAAACATTTGAATTACTTGACGCATTATATAACTACAAGTAGTATCCAACTTAACTGAAATAACCAGGCAAAGGTTACTATAAACAAATTACAATATATTTACACAGCGTAAGAATGTGAATCTGAACGATTATTCAGATAGAAAGATGATGCGTACCGTAAATCTATAACGCAGGATGATTAGATGAAATTAAATGTTGAACGGTAATGATATAACTTCCAAGCAATTATAATCTCAAGTAATAAATATTGAACAATCTGTCTGCATTTTTTTGATCATACTACCAAATTACCTCTGCATCATCGATAAACCAAATAAATGACATATTTTAAAACATGGTCCATGTTGATCAGGTATTGGTTCATGGTAATCAGGTACAGGAGCAACATCCCGGTCGACTTGGCTATCGTTGGTATCATATTGGCCCGAATTATTAGTCTCATCCGAATTGTCAGACACAGACTGGCGCCAGCAGCAACCAAAAGACCAGTAAAGAGAGAATCCTTGTACGACTATGCCCGAAGTGACAGATAATAATATTATCATGGTTCCCCACAATGGGTGACCATCAATGATGTAGGAAAATCCAACGACAAAGTCAGTTACGTAATCTGCAATATACATCAGTATGGAAAATATCCACGTTGCACATTCTAGTAAAGATAATCGATATATTTTGGGCTGATTATGATTTCCATGATTAGGACTGATGCTGGAATGAACAGCGCCATCAGTTTCGTTATTTGTGGTATCATCTATGCTAGCAGGCATCCTTTAACCATTTACCGTAACGTTCGAGGCCGGAGGGGTTAATGGCTAGACATAACGCAATCATGAGTGTATTTTCTACCTTTTTATAATCTGGATGTTAGCTAGCAATCTTGCGATGTCAACATTAGTATTGTCGAGGATCGAATACATCTACTGATTCAAACTAGTTGTTAATAATTCAATTAATAATTCTAGGCGTAGAATTGGATGAGATAACTGTATACTGTAACGTCCACTGTACAGTAGACCTGTCACCGGTTCGGTTAGCGATTTCTCGTATGTTGCTTGTAGTAATGTACGTTGAATGCTTGAAATATTGAGAGAATCCACTAAGCCAGTAAGCAAAGCACAGCACCAACACACTAATTAAAAGATAGCTGTAAATACATGGAAAAATGGAGCCAATCTAGCACATGATTGCCGAAGTGAACGTTGAAAGCATGCCTAGGTTATATCCAACTGGTCGATCGATAAACTTTTTAGCTGGACGATAAATGTTTGTTTTGCGATTGAAAGTTATAGTGTAAAGTATGGTACTGCGCAGTACAGTACAGTATGAACTCTGTAATGTGTACAGTATCCTGTACTGTACTGTCCTGTGATCATTTCCTTCCGCCCATCTCTCCGGTTAGCATCCGTCCGGTGCAGTATCATCGGAATAACAGGGAATAAATGTTTCTTGTACACTTGTAGGCCAGGGCTATTTTTCCAGAATTCTACTTCAATATTAGAATTCTATCGTCCACAGAGGATATTTTGTGATGTTATAGTACTGTACTGTACATTTATTCAGAACTGAACTTTATAGTATTCTTTCTTGGCTTAAATGAAACCGTTCTTTATAACTGCATACTCTTTGAAAGCTCAAAAAAATTGAATATCGATTGATTAATGATAAGATTTCATCAGGTAGACGAAATCGTACTATGTTTAGTATCAACTAGTTCCTCTCTTGCTGAATTAAACGGTGTCATTCCATGAATAGCTAATACGGAATTTCCACTATTTAGAGATATTGCATATACGAGTTTGACATACACTTCGTGCAAAGATTAAATTAACTATGACTATATTTTCTATTCACGGTAGCACGCCATCGAGACCTCGTTTTATGAAAGGATGCTAACAACAATATCCGATTTAATAGTGTTCTTGCCGACTGATTATATAATAATTATATAATCAGTCATTCTGTTGGAGGCATAGTCTATGTAAGATTGCTATACTACATTAGCAGGAGATGATATTTTAAAATTCATCATTACTGGTGGGATATCTTCATCATTATGATGCATCTATTATTTTACTGTATAAGGGAAGATAATCATTGGATAATTAGAGTGAAACGAATATATTGTATAGATATGACATTGTATTCCTACGTACGCTAATTATAAATTGCTGAAATAGCATGAATTTACCTTGTATTCTCATTTATTTTATTTTGCTCTTCTAAAACAGTTTTTACAGTAATTTGACGATAATAAACTAAAAATAACGCAGATGTAGATTCTTGTCTTAAAACATTGGAAGTATACACGTAAACTAACATACTAGATTAAAATTATTGCACAATATACTTGTAGCCTATCATGATTACAGGATATACACAACTAAGGCGAATATGCGGTTAAAAGGATATTTGTAAATTGCTTTCTCAATTACAGCCTCAGAGACGAAGTAAAATTATATCATTCATTATTACCGTGCAAAGTGTATTTAGACACTTTTACTTGAGTCTTGATTAGTGTTAATACAATGCATGTATATCAAAATTATTCGTCTACATAAATTGACTTTGAATGAATAGATTAAAAAGCATAACAAAATTGGCAAGCACCGGAAAAAGCTCAAATAGAAGTCATAGAACTATAATGATTCTGCTTCAGTTGAATATAAAGTTAAAAGAGATGTAATATAATAAAAGTTGTACTCTAAGCTGATGAAGTGATGTTTAGTAACTACTAGCATCGCTCCTATATACAATAGAAATGATACAGATTGGATTTTACTTAACAGATTTAAGCTACTCCATTAAAGAACGGGGACTTATAGAGCAGAAGAACTTAACACATGAATTTATTTCCATATCGGGAGTGTCATTTAGCATCAACAATGGACTTTGAGTAATAGCTGTTTCACGAATTGTATCTTGATTTCTTTTCTATCTTTCTTGTTGATAGAAAATTTTTTTATAACGCCACATCGGTACAATTACATTGCTTACTTATATGCTGTATATACTGTATAAACATCTAATCCTAATAAACAATTTAAGTAGGTACAAAAACGTTTGATATTGTAGATCGTAATATCAATCTCATTAAATATTCGGTAGGAAACTATAAAGTCTCATTTAGCCTCAAATACTTAAAACTCGTGGCATAGACGCTATTAGAAGGAAGAAATCTTAAATGCGTATAATTGCTCCAGGTTTATATCTTCTATATTCAATAATCATTACTGTGTCGTATTCTACCTACAGATCACTGTTAAACACATAGGCATAAATGTACGATAAAGTTAAAAAAAATTAATTACATTAGAAATAAGAATTATCAAGTTATCGTATTGATTCTTATTAATACGGGTTGCAAATAAACTTCATTTTTAACTCATACACCGATGCAATTTCAGTCAACTCTGCATTAAAAAAAATTATAACAAAATTTGTGCCTAGCAAGTTTTAGATCACTTTGGCAACCGTAAAGTTAATATTGAAGGTATGGAGTTATAGAGTAGTAGTGCGGTATTTTAATATTTTATTTGATGAACCTTTATCAATTACTGCAATACTCTTATCGGTACTTCCTGATTTCTTGGAAGAAGTAATCATAGCAATATTTCCATTTGTTTCTTCCAACGTTATGGTTTGTTGGACACTTTTACTTTGGCTTACCATATCAGTGCGATATAGGTAAGAATTACCTCCAGAACTGATAGCTATACCGGAATCTGAAGCAGCAATATCTTCATCATCCTCATGACTTGATCTAGAATTTGTTGAAAATACTTCTGCCATATCGAGTTCTCCGTTTGATACCTCATTCGGTTTAGAATAGCTATCAGTCGATATAGTTATGCTAACTGTCTGTTCAATAGCAGATTCCTCTTCAATTGTATCATGGTTTAACTTAGCTAATCGATCAGCAAATATGATGGCGGCTTTATTAGGATGTAAGAATTGATTAGATTCGCCTTCTCTTTGTGAGCCTAATTCAGTTATACTCTTTCTAAACACAGGAAGATTGCCGGTTGCATTATCAATATTATCTGTTATACTATGACGTCTCGATCCGGGCTGAGATAGGACGTTTCCACGTCTTTGGATATTAGGTGTTGGATTCCTTGAATTAGCTTGAGAATAATAAAGTTGAATAGACTGACGTGTTGCTGATTTGGGTAAACGTGGCTGCATAAGATATGTTGAAAGTCGATCTTTAGTTGGGTGCGCACAACAGTAATAGGTGATCATAAAAGCAGCTCCAATAACGTAAAATAATAAAGCTGTTAAAAGCACAGGTAAGACTACTGGTCGAGATATTTTGTTAGTTAATAAGCAGTACAGAACTACACTAGTTAATTCCACAAAAAGTAAAAAAAAATGGACCAAATAGCGCATTCGAGTTCTCCCTACGTAATAAAATCATTATAGAGGAAATAATAATTAGCTGATACATGCATGAAAAATAAATTAAATTAAATCTAAATATTATCTCATGAACACTAAAAAAGACTAGTTAACAAAAAATAAGGCAATAATATATGTATTTACTAGCAAGAGAATTTATAAATTAAAATAATGGTACTGTAAAATAACAAACCTTGCTTGACGTTAAGGAAGAAAAAGTTATCTATATAGCCAAGCAAAATGCAAAACGTATACTTTCTGATTGGAGAAGCAAAGTAATTTCCAGCTCCATCCCAAAGTGAGATAATAGCTACCGTAATCCAATGGCATGCAAACATAACAAAGATGTAAATGCCAATAGTATATGCGCAGATACCTAAGAAAATCATTCGTGAAGCTACTGTGCAGAATCGCCACATGGTATAGACGAAATAACCTGTTTAAAAATCAAAAAGGAAATTATTTTCTGCAGTTACACTCAGGTTTAATAAATTGCGCAATGAAGTATTACAGTTTCATACATGATAAAACATTAAGGAAAAGACTTATATTTGAATAAATCTTGATTTTCTATATTTTAAGTAATTGATGATGGATAGTAAATTTCTTATTACATACTATAGTTAGCTTTCGCGACTATACTATCGACATCATTCAATCTAGTTTTAACAAAAATTATTTTTCTCATTATTCACTAATTACGGCATGCCTTGGCTAGCTATGAAATTGCAATTGCAAATCTTGTATTTAATAATGGAAAAATTCAGTATGTTTAGAATAATAATATCTTAGTTGAAACATATTTATGATCGTATTCTAACATAAAGAAGATATTTTTATAGTTACTTCGAAATTTTAGCCTTACTGCATAGGCTGCTGTTAGTAGCCGTTAAGTTATCCATGCTTAAATGTCATTATTGTAAGCCAATGCCCTACCTAGCATTTTACTAGCTAAATACTCTAACGTGACGTATTTTACGACTTTACTTCAAACATCTATCATTACTGTTAGAGTCAAGATTACTGGTAGATCAACAAGATACATATCAGCGCCGTTTCTTCAACGCAATAATCATAAATACATAAAGATCTCATGATTTTTCTGTAATTATACCTCGATTATATTTACATTATTTACACTGTAGGATTATTATATTCGAGAATACAAGATACTATCAAATTATTACCAACCTGATTTAGAAAGTGTGTTAGCTGTAGGTCGTAACTGGCTTTCCGATTCACGTAATATTCTGGCATGATGTGCAATAGCGTAGCTAATCTCTACCGCCGATATGATAACTGATATAACTCGAAGTACCGATACTTCAGACAATTCTATCATCAAATAACATTGAATCGTTAACTGCGGTGCACTAGTAACAGCAGCTTCTATGACATCTAGTACTGTAGTTTCTAATAGCTCGAATACAATCAGCGTATCCTCTCTCCTATTATGTTCCTTTCTACCTCGATGTATTAAATGAATATACCTAAGAGTTTTTATCGAAAAAGAAAAGACTATATAAGTATTTATACTTAAGTCTCAGATGTAGCAATCACGCGAAATAACTTTAAAACAGTTACTATTGATAGCAAAAATACTAGTTATTTAAAGATATTCATTTAAAATTCTTTTCATCTGAAGATAGCGACTACATTTACAGGCATGAACTTATATAACAGTAGGGGTGATCCCTTCTTGTAATAATATAGTATGGTACACTTTAAAAGTCAATTTATGTGTCTTATCCAATTATGCGTTAAATCTATTCTCGGATGGATTGCTTCATATAGCCGTTGACTTAGAGCAGCTAAAATATGAAGCCATACGACAGCAGACTTTAGAATAATGTAACAGCAGGGATAATCCCTATTAATGCCATTACAAGCCACGCTACAGTTTGATGATTTGTGTTATTATGCTGCACGTGGAGCTTGTTTTCAAATAGATAATAAGAGTTTGGTAATACAATCTAAATAGTCAAGAAATGGCTGCATATCTAATTTGTTGTTAATATTGAAATATGCACTACAGCTGAAAGATTTATCTAACAACAGAATAGAAATGATACCGACGACTAGTTAATGAATGTTTCTATATAGTGATTCATTATAATTAGTTCTACATTATCATGCAACTGTAAAGTGTTTCTTATCGACTTGGACGTTGCAAACAAGGCAACATATTGCATATGAGATCTTTTTCTTCCATCTTACCTATAGCATTACTGTACAGAAATAATGCATATAATATGTAATGATGATACAATACTTCCTAAGATGTTATTATTACGTAGGACTCGATAATATTACGCTTACATGGAAGGAAGAATCCAATACAATGTAACTGTCACACTAACTGTATTTGATACTAATTTTAGCAGTAGAATTTTTTATATTTGAATCACTTTGCGTAAATGAGAGAAAAAGCCACAACTGTCATCTACGCTGTAAAAAGCTAAGGCTCAAAATATAGCTTAATTCTGTGAATTGATTTATCAAAAGATATTTACTATGACGCAAGTTTTTTCTATGGTGGCATCGGAATATAGACGTTCAATTTGATGCCTCGCTAATCTCAATTTTAAAATGCAAATGTTAAAGAATAGAGTATATAGTAGAGGGTATTAAAATTGTTTCCAGTTTTAGTAACGTTGATGGAGGTCAGAACACCTGAAATTAGCATTGCTTAACTAAAGTGTATCATCAGTTTCGATGATTAATATACGACAGTAATTAGTATCCTATTTTTAAAAAGTGATATAAAAGAAAATGACTGTTCAGCCAAGACAAAAATAACATCTCAAGTAAAAGAATAATTTTAACTCTTTAACAACGATATCTTTAATTTACTTAGTTACTATTAGTATTTTTTACATAGGCTGACAATGACAGTTACGTTTCAGAATATGATTAAAGCATAAATAGCATTATAAGATAATATTAAGCAGACAAGTTGAGAGCGAATTCCGCTTCTTTTTTATCATGATCAAATAATTTATCAAGTCTAATACTTATTCTGGTCTTACCTATATAGACGACTAAGACAAAAGAGATGTTTAAAGCCTGTTTGACAGGCATTCCAGGAACGGTGGTTCGATACATTTTCGTTGGGAACTCCAGCATTGTTATTTTCGCCATCTTTGCTACAGAGCTTTATTGACCAAATTAAGGAAAAGAGCTGTTGAAACAGTAAGCAAGCAATAGCTAGGATAATGATTGTCCAGCCCCAGCTTGTACTTCCATAAGAAATATAATCGATGCCAACAACAATATCGGTGGTAAAATTAGCGATAAAAATGATTTCGCTCAAAATATAGAATAAACAACGCTTCTTGGACCATCGAAATTTTCGTTCAAGACCATATTCAAGTTGGCTTCTATTTCGCGCAATAAATTCCACCGGTAGTGATAAACTTTTGACACATAAATCACGATTAGGGTTATCATTAGAGTGATTGGTTTCTTCGCTTTTTTGCTGTTGATTCTGTTGATTACTTTTGCCTTCTTGATCCGCGCTCTTATTCGTCGCTTTTTTCGATTTGAGAATGTTGATCATCTTTTGCTTTGTTACACGATCACTTAAGAAGCCATTAACAATAACTTAGTCAAACTTTGATACTAGAGTAACAGCTTTATCGCCATCTAGGAAGATTTCGGAATGATATTGTTTTTTAATGGGAATAAATTAATGTTACAGAGGATGTAGAAATGTCCAGTAAGGATTGATAAAGAAGAGAAAGTCGATTTTTAGACTGTATGATTAAAATTTTTGAAGTGAATTGTGATGAATCAAGATAAATGCTCTCTACTTTAGATCCGAATTATAAACACTAATCTTAGAGTACTTGATGTCTATGGTAATTAAGGAAGTACTCTTACAGATTATTGCATGGCTTCGAGTGATATTTTTCGCTAAAGAGGATGACCATACGATCCAAAATTTCATTGACGCTTACAGAAAAAACAAGTTTTTAATATCCATCAAGTTTAATAAGATAATTATAATTGTAGATAAATTTTGCAAAATGATTCGGTTTAAAGCTGTAGTCCAATGGAGAAGAGACTATCAAATTTGGTAAAAATATCGTCAATATTGCTTTACTAATAGTATAATTAAAATACTGACGGGGTTTGGTGGAAGGTGGAAGGTCAGCGTTACTTATTATCTTGTTATTCGACAGTGCACGTATAAAAGATGAGTTTATGAATCATCGTTAGTCAATAGAAAAGTAATTGATGACCGAGTTGACTGTGTACTTTTTAATGCTACCTTATAGGCTAATCTACTATTGCTATGATAATATCAATTGCTGACAACAATAGTGTTTTTTGTCCCGTCAAGAAGTAATCTAGCGATTATAAACAACAACCCAATTCAAAGCAAGCATAGCAATTATTTTGACCTCTATTAAAGTAATAGAACTTCGTTGTTCGTAACAATACTATGTCAATAATATAGTCAGCAATCTAATTAAGTAGCGCCTTCATCTGCGTTCACGTTATGTTTCTTCTTAATTTTGATTTAAATTATAAATAGATAATTATAGCGGAGTTAAAAAATCTGTCGTAATTTATAGGGCTATTAAAAGATACGGCTTTTACGCATTTCATCCAATATTCAACATTTCGGTAATTAAAAATTTATGATATGACGTAAGATATTATTATCATTTTCTTTGTTTAAGAAATTTTTTCAATTAACGCTGTCTGCCAACGATATCAACTCAATCCAACTTCGGAGCCATATTTGATATAATTATTACTAAGATAATGAAAAAAATTACAAAGTAAGATTGATCTAGACAGTAGAACTGAATTGCGATAGGAATGATTGTTTAATTGTAGAATTACATTAATACAGTATTGGGTCCTTGTAAAAGGGGAGGAGAAGATGCAAAGAACGAATAGAATACGGTGGAATTTCTCTCCGCATAGGCAATTGCTATTGGCTAACGATTATTTCTACTCACTAGAAGCGGTAGATTTATTTAATAATTTTTAATATATTCATGAATAGTATAGCGAACAATTCATCTGTTACATTATGTAGCGCTTGAAAATGGATTGTATGGATGAAAGTTAACATTCCTGACAAATATGACACAGATTTAAAAAATGAGTTTACAAAGAGTGAAACTAAATGTAACAGTATTTAAATTAGTTACGTGATGAGTTATTTAACTTAAGCTACAATCTAGGTGCTACGACTGCTTGAACTTGTTAACGAATAATATCACCATCTAATTATAATTAGGAAAAACATACTATGGTACTGATAAATGCTGCATAATATCTCTCTCTATATATGTATATTTAGATGTACAGTATATAATAATGAATTGCAATCAAAGTTTTCTTGCTTAAAACAAAATGAATGTAGTTCAATATGCTACGAGTACATGCGTACACTACGTTGGTGTAATAGGGGTACCCTATGGATTAAGCGGTAATTTAGTAATCCATGATATGCCGTTAAAGTAAACGATGAATACACACTTTTAAATCCGCTACAGCGTCCAGTTTACATTTCTACATTGAAATGTAAACTTACTTAAATAACGTAATTTAAATCTACCTACACGTATGAAGTAATTCAGTAGTTTCATTTTAAGAAAAAATATGATAAAAATATTATAATATCCTAATTACTGTGGATAAGTAGCAAAATAGTAGAATGTAATATGGTTCTATCTGTATGCATATTCTATGCTAACCGTATAATGATTAGTATTGTACAAATATACTCGTATACCGTAGTCATTTACTATATTGCAGCAACTTTGAAACGCTTTCATTTTAGATGACTGTAATATAGTAGTAAGGTGGACCGGAGGGGAAAATCGTTGAGTAACCCCTGGGTGGACATTAATTGTTGTAGTCAAACTTGAAATTTGTGTACATAACTTAATTCAGGATACCTTAAATTTCGATAATGCTTTTATCGGTTAAAACTAATATTCTAGAAAAATTCTCAAAATTTTAATAGTCCATTTAAGATCGTCATAATCTGTCGGTAGAGAGATTATCGCACGGGTACTGTGTATAAGCGCATAAAGCTTATGGCACAAGCTAATACTGTGCACGTGTAGCGTTGTAGACCAAGTAAAATTTTGATCGGTACGCCAGGGCACGATGTTATATACAGTAGAGACTGCAGATACCGTCTACTGTACGTAGCTTGTAAGAGCGTGTAAATGAATGAATATGAATGATTGATTAGTAAGAATTAATGCAGTAAATTTATTTTTGTTATAAGATAAATTATTTTTGTAAATTATGATCTCATAGTAAGATATCTGATCGACGAAATTACATCTGAGTCGATAATTTAGCAAGAGTACCACTGTTCTATATCGAAAAGTAACTTGCTCTAAATTAGGGCCTATCAGATAAAGAGATGCGAACCGATTTAATCGGTTAATCTATGATAGGACTACGCTTTTATAGGTGCCTAAAACGAAAATAAGGATGACATTTGACAAAATATTAGTCTAGATATTTACTATAAAGTATTTATTATCTATGATATGTGTGATATTACCATTGTCGGAGGGCCTGCGTGTAAGTGCACAACAGCACATGTCCCAACAATTTCTGAGTATCGTTCATAACATAAGAAATACGAAATATTATTGGGTTGCACGAGATTAAGACCACACAAAGAAATGTAGTAAAATTATACAGTACATATATTGAAATACTGTATTATGTTCAAAAACAACCTCGCAAAATATCGCGAGCAGGGAATTTACCAACTGGTATATAACATATTGTAGTATACCGGTGCTATACAGTCAAAATTGGGAAGAAAAAAATGGAAAGCCATAGGTAAAAATCTCGAAAATCCCATATCTAAAAAATATGACTGTAATAGTAGATTGTACTCGCATATATATGTATATTACTAGTGATATCGCGCATGTATACAGCAATCAGAGCTATTGTACACCGTTATTCATGCAATATCATAAAAGTAAAAAAAACTGCATATGCTCGATGCAATTACTCTGTAATAGGTAAAAGAAAAAGCTTTCTGTACCGCCATTGGTCATTGGCTTCTCTTTCTGCTTATATTATAGCAGTCCGGCAGTCCGAGCCGGGCCTGACACAGACATACAGGCAGACGGCCTGATGGTCGGGTAGTGATTTCTATATACAGTATATCAAGTTAGACCTTCTTCCCCGCTACGATAGTACTCTTATACCGTATACTGTACTCAGTCAAGTTGTGTATCATACAGTATAAGTGTAATTGAGCACAGTACAGAACAGCATTTTGGTCTTCGTTCACAACACAGTTCGGATATTTATTATTAATGCTATACTGTACATTGCATTAAAGATGGAGGATGCGGGATCGGATACCAGTGAGGATGAGGAAGCAAGATTTTCCAGAGAAATGGGTTAATTCTGTTAGTTGTACTTGTAAAATTAATGACACTGTAGTCTGTGTTATCAGATTTTAACCGATCCATTTCAATGTTATAATTCATCAGATTTCAAGAGGCGCGTACTAGAAAAGTTATATCCGAATCTATTTGAAAGTAATATTAGCTCTAGTGATGCACAAGATATGACTGATGTGACTGATCCAAACAAAGTTAACAGCGAAGGTGCAGAATCTCTGCCTCCAATTATGGACAATAATTGGGCAAAAGATGATGATGATCATGATTTATCAAATACTGACGACATCGCATTACCTCGGAAGACTAAAATACAGAAGCATGTAGGTATGTACAATAGTGATTTGCAGTACTCTGATGCACATTGTACAGTAATGTCGGTCCGGTTATTCTAAGTTGATTTACTTATTCATACGGTGATACTGGGTACTAGACGTTAACTCATTTATCGAGCACAACATACCGTACAAAAATTATAAAATGAATCATATATCAATGATTCCTTAGTACGAACCCTCAGTTAGTACTGCCACTTGCTACTTCATAAGTGTGAACGTTTCGTATTTCTGTATTGAGTGAGCCAATACTGTAATGTTGCAAAAACATACGAATATCGATGTAATAGAGCAGTTATCTTACCTCCGAGGAGATAATAGCTAGGCGTTTCCTAGAATATGTTTAGCTATGACCTAAAGAACATTCAGGTTATAAAAGGATGCAACGTTAGTAATTAATTGGAAATAAAATGAGCAAATGCAATATTATATAAATACGTATACTGTAGGTGAAATCTCAAATAAGATTCATCTTGCGGAGTTACCTGGAAAAAAGGAAATAACGTTGAATGATCAAGGAAATGATGTGCATGATCAAGTTTCTGAGCAGAATATCTTAACAAAAAATCAAAAACGTAAACTAAAGAAGAAAAGGAGGAGGGACAGACTTAAGGAAGAATCCAAGGCCAGGTGCAGTAATGTAGTATTGATAATGATAGTAATAATAAATTCTTAATTTTATCCATAAAATAACGATTTCAGTTTTATAAGATCTTGCTTACGATCGGCAGTTCGTAAAGATGGTGTTCTTAAATAATTATAATGAAATGCTAACTGCTAAAATTTATCACATACAAAGTATATATTTAATTAAATATATTTTATACTGCACACATGCGGCGTCCCGTCGAGAATACTGGACAATACATGTAGTTCACTACACATGGACGGCTATGACGGATATAGGGAGTAATTGAGGGTTCTCTTTCAGCAATTAATTTACTATAAATATTATCCTGATTATATCCGTCTAATAAAGTGCGTTGGCTTTTCCCACATTATTAGATATCGCATATATTGTAGATATCATACATTGTACACTGTACAGTTACTGTAAGGTGTATATGATAATGTTATTGTTAATATAAATTTGAAAATTTCTAATTGGAGCCATTATCTAAACTTTTCTCTTATCTATGCTTCGTAGTTGCCGGGAAAAGTCGATCGGGATCGAATTTGTATATAAACTTACTCCGAAAAATGACGACGGCCCGATTGATACGCCTTAATACGTAGCTTATTAAATCGCTGTCACATTACAGCACTTGTATATTATAATAAAATTATTTCTTGTATGTGAATTTTCTATATTCCCTAGACTAACATTTTAAATATAAAATGATCGCACACAACACTACATTCGGCCACAAGTAGTTCATTATTAAACATGAAACTGATCAGATTTTTTGATGGTTATTGCTAGACCCTATTCGACTAGCTTCATTGCATCATTGCTAGCCTTTAATAACAAGTTATCAGTCTTCAGGTTAGAAGTATTCTGTACTCAATTAAAGTCAAGTAGCAGCCAGGCTTTTAGTTGATGATGTATAATTTTATTGAGTTTACTAATAGCCACAAGTGTATGTATACTTTGGAGATCTTTTTTAATACCCAATTATTGTCTTATTATACTGTAGATATATATATATACAAGATTAAATAGTGATTATCAAGCAGTCGCTAGGTAAATCAATATAGCATACTTTCAAAGTACATTTAAAACCAACAAGAACTGAGGAATTGATAATTTCTTCGGTTTCAATATTATCATAATTGTAAAGTATTACTTAGACGAGGGATAAAATACCAAAGACAAAATATGCTGAAATAAATTTTACAACAGGAGAGTATAGATAAGAATTCTTAAAGCAGCTCCATTTACGTAATAAATATATAGTAGGTTGTAGATGACGTAGAGAAATGAGGCATTGGTTTGAAATTTATATCGCCATCAAAAAGTAAATAATTAATTAACGTCGTAGCTCAACATTTTCAAGTATATGACAGAAAGGATTTTGATAATGATAGTAAAGAATAGTTTATAGCTTAAATGAATATTGAAACTTTGTACACAGTTTTATAAATAAAAATAATTCGTGATACCATACAAATAACATTATGTTATTTCAATGATAATAAATGAAGAAGTTATACGCTTACTTTTAAATTAGAAGAAATTGATTAATTGCGGAAATTTAAGTTATCGGTTGAGTGAAATGTATTGTTATGAGATTATTTTATACTTTTATACTTTTTACAATTGCGATATGCAAAGAACAAATAAATCATACTCGGACTGTAATATATGTCTAAGCTAGTAAGCTTTAATCAATTATGGAAGTTACGTAGTATACATATGCCACCTGTCTCAAGCAGTATGCAAATGTAGGTATTTGAAATTTTTAATTTACTATACTATACTGTATTGGCTCGTATTTCTAGAACCATTGTTCGTCGTCTGTAGTAGCATTGGCTGGTAGTGTTTCTGAAGAAGACCGAGGCGGCAGAACGAACTCTGTCTCAGATGCTGCAGATATTTTGTCTTCTTGTTCATGAACGCTAACTTCTGTAGTATCTGCAGTGGCACCAGTCGATTGCAGCATGTACAAATCCCGTTCAAGGTAAGAGTTATCACTTTCCATTGCAGATATTTTGTCAGCTTCTGATGTTTCCGCAGAATCTTTTCCTTGATTGTCGATAGTTTGTGATGTTCGTGGTTCACTAAGAGATGAAGCTTTCGTTCTATATCGATCTCTTTGCTGCTTAAGCTTCTGCTTCCTCTGATCTCGGGTAGGAAAGATATCACTATGCACAGGCGCATCAATAGACGACATAGAATTCGTTGAAGCGATAGATAAACGAGGCCTCGTGTGTGGTATAGGTTTTTCAGTCGTTTGCTGTGACATCAAGCAGTACCATCTATTTACACAGTATTGGAGGTCGACTAAATCCAGAGCGATGGTAATATCTCCGATAAGTCGCTTTTTGCTGCGATTGCTAGATTCCATAGACCAGACAGTCAACTAAATTTAAGAAATAATTTAAATTTCAGTATGGCACCCTAAGGTCTAGATGCTATAGTTGTATTTTCTCTGATATCAATGTAACTTACATATAGAACTTGAGATTTCTTATAATTCGAAAATGATAGCATGAAATCGTAGATTGGACTCTTTGTGTTTTTAACTGATCGACTCTTAGCTTTGTGCACGATATTCCGCTTTTTATTTTTGATATTGTGTATTCCACCTTCCATTAAATAAATCTTTACAAAGGTATCTATAATATATAAAGCAAGTAAGGGTAATTACATTTTTGTAAGATCAACGCTAGAAATAGTAGGTACATTTAAAGTTTTGATATTAAATTACTAAATAGAGTGTAAATTATATCATATAATTATAATACGCTGTATACCATAATGAGACAACATACATAGTTACATACTTAGTGCAAGATAATTGAACCAAATAAGCATACCTGGTAATACTACAGTTGCCATTAAATTAACTGCTCTAATGATATGGAGTTGTAAGCTATTTTCGACTTCTCGTATGGTCAGCTGAAGAGCACCGACGTTTCGACTGATATTTACTGATATGAAATAAAGTTATTAACATGATTGTTGATATACCTAATTGTTTAATTGCTACAAATAATACATATCACGTCCTTCAAATCTCCTAAACTAGATGAATTTGATATAGTCGATATTAAAAGTACCTCCAAATTGACCAGAATTTGCAGCTATTTGTCCAGGTCCAAGGTTTTGTTGACTTATAGCTTCCAATCTATCTTCAATTACCTCTGAATTGAGCTGCCAACGTGTCCGCACTGGAGTAGCATCACCTGGGATTGGACTATTATCTACTAAATCACCGTATATATACGAAATCCTTAGATACTACTCATATGCAAGCCTATACTTGAAACATTTCTAATATTATTTGTATTTTAGGACCAATTTTTACTTAGTATGCATAAATTAATATTACCGGAATTTTTGCTAGTACGTCTATAACGCTCAGAATTTGGACTTGGCGGGCAACTAAATATTTTATCGTTGTTTTCTGTTAATCGACCTTTCAGCAAGAGTCTTTCTAGCAATGAAGATTTAGAATTGGTTCTGCCTCTCTTCTTTCTAAATCTTGTTCCACTGGTACTTTCTTGCTTCTTTACTTCAGTATCGCTATAATCCGTTGTAGAGGTCATATCTTGATAACTACAAAAACTAGATACAGAGTCACTTCGAGGAACTACGTGACTCGTTGACCTGATTCCACTAAAGCAGTAGTTTTCCATAATGCCCGATTCGGATATATTTGCACTATCAGTTCGATCTGCTCGTTGTGCATCATTATACGATAATGCGAGAGTTTCACTAACGTCTTTGCAAGCTACTCCATCGAGACTAGACCTGCGTCTCTGGAACAAATCTTTCTTATATTGCGGATCTTCACCAGGATTTCGTGTCATACCTTGGCTGGATGATGCAAGATTTGAGGCCTTACGGAGTGTCTTAACAGCGATTACTTCGCGTAATTTAGCTGAAGCTGACGTCATATGGATCATATAGGTTAGTGAGTATCAATAACCTGAAGAAAGATAGAATACAGTTGCATCTACAACTTACCTTTCACATCTACTTTTTGCACTTGCTCAGGGTGATCTGTCAAATCGTTGTCTTGAACAATAGCTTCAGGAATAGCATGTTGAATGTTCATCATTTCAGGTTCGTGAACTTTCTCGGAGCATGGAGGCGATGGAAGTTCGAAAAAGTTGTCATCGTGGGGATATAATTGATACCATTGAGGCTCTACTTCGAGGGCAGCTCGTTCAGGATTAACTATAACCTGATCCAACAGATATCGTAAGTTGAAGAATAAATGTATATTTACAAATATATTGTAGCAAGGATCGACGGCTTACTTCTCGCACTTTCGTAATATTACTACTCAGTTGCCATAAAATAACAGCAAGGGATGTCTTCAATAGCTGTAAAACGATATAGAGTGGATTAAGTTTCTATTGATTAATTGCACTTTCTGTTCAATTTAGCCTGTAAACAACTACATTAACTTAATTTAAAGTTTTAAATACCCACGCTACTTACTTCATTATGATTTATTGTACAAGAATATAACTGGTTCCATTCGAGTTTTGTGGATTTAGAATCGTCCATAGACAAAGACGTCCAAACTTCACTTATTTCGCTATAACCAATAAAACTCGTTAAATTTTTGAAATTGAAATTTGCACTTATAAATGCATAGACTGTAATTAGAATTACCCATCTTGCGTTATAAAGCACAGCTGAACATAAAAAATGGAATCGCTAGTAATTTCATCGGGGTTTATATCCGCTGCTTCCGCGATATAAACTTCCAGTCTTCCAGAATCATGATATTTAACACTAAGCTAAAAAGATAGCGTCATGATCATTTAGCCATTGTAAAACCGTCGGAAATTTTTAAAAACTGCCTTACCTTGATTCTACCATTACGGGGATTATCATTGAATGCCTTTGTAGGGATAATTAAGATAAATCCTAATTAGTATACGATGATATTTCTAGGAATAGCTAGTAATTTGAAGTCTTCGTTAAATAATTATGACGCCTATTTAACAGTTAACTCTATATAATTTAGTAGATACACGTACCTCTTGAGTTATTTCCTGAGAACTTTCCATGTCGTCTGCTACAGAAATATGAATAGTAAATAGTAAGTACAGTAATAGGTGTTAACAACACCGTTAAACTTCGAATTAATTTATAAATATACGATACAAGAAAATAATTACCACTAGTATCTTGAACAGAAAGTAAGGTCTTTTTAGTATTTTCTGTCGACACTTTACGAGTATCCTCCATGTTGAAGGTCTCCCAGCTACTGCTAAGTACTATTTTGATAAAGTTATTTTCACCAGTCATTGTATCCGGTATCATTCGTAAGTCTTGAACAAAAGCACTAAATTCCAAAGACAGTCATGCTTAGATTTATTTAGTCATGAATGAATTGATCAATAGAAGTATTAAATTTTGATATTCTAATGTGCATTATCAAATAGTATCAAATATATCGTAAAACTGCATTGATAATTATAACTGGAGAAACAGTGATGTTACAAGTATTATCTGAAACTGACCTTTCTGTTGCTCGGCAAACACGAATACAAACTGCATCAGCAGTCGTCGATACAATACTCCTTACTTCCTCAAAGGACTTGTTTATTAGAGTATGACCATCCCATGATATGACGATATCACCTACAATTTGATACAGTGTATGCAGTAAACAGTATTAAGGCTTCCAGCTTATACAAGGTAAAAGTTTTATTGTTATCGCGTTACCGATTGTCATTTTCGACTCATATTCTAACTCCGTTTCTCTTTCCATATTATCGATAACGGCATAGGTAGTATCTTTACCAACAAGAACACCACCTAGGATGAGTATTCCCATACACCAAGCTAAAATATATCAGTAAAAAATGTAAGCATAATTATTAGCTGAGTACACAACATATATTAGTAACATTATGCTTGTAAATTAATTTTAGATTAGAATCCTATGCGAATGGCATTGTGTAATTACGGTAAGGTCGATGATTATCATTATGTCGTAATAAAATCCATTTTGATTCGTCATCAAGTCCAGGTAATTTCGATTCATGATTGATATCATCCTTCTAAACGATAGATATTAAAAATTAAGATTAATTTCCTGTACTCGTATAACTGTATAATGAGTCTGTATCTCGACGACCTATGTTTAACTTTCAGTTTATAATTAAAAATTAGTTTACTTACGCTAGATAAACCCGATTTTAAATTTTCCATGACCGAACCCATTAGTTCCCTACGATTAACTACTAGTTCAGAGCGACTACCATGATACCAAAATCCTGTCTTGTGATAGAATTCCATATTATACCAACAGACTTTACATCTCCATGCTGTTTTACTTTGCTATTTTCAATATAAAGTTAGTATTGCAATTAGAATGATTTTTTAAGCAATGCTTATTTATCACCAAACTTATAGGACTATTAGGCATATGGTAAGGTATATATTTTCTTATACAACGAGTCATTAGATACTGAAGTTTAATCTTCACATATGGATTACAATAAGTTACCTTAGGATCAGGCGACGATGGAGTATACAGGCCACATCGCCCGCAGATTGTTGATTTACAGTTATGGCAGATACGACCATGACCATCTACAAACTTTGTAGTATAGCAATTTTGGCAGCGATTGCGATCTTTACCAGGAGCAGTTAGTCTTTTATCCCAATCTCGTACTTTATCGTTTAGTTGCCTAAAAATAATTAATTATTCACAATACCATAGTAACTAATTCTCCATTTAGTTTATATATGATAATAATTAATCAATGCATATACGTGTTACTCCTTACAGGTGCCTATAATTTTATTAGTAATCTGCAGTAGTGCTAAGTAAGAACCTTTTAAATTCGTCGGTATCGGCTTCAAATTTACTTTGCTTCTCTAATACTTCCTTAAGTATTTTTAGTTCATGAACAGTTAAATGTGATAAATCTGGCGTTATGTACGGAATTTCTTTTTCAAGCACATTTTCTTGCTCAGTATTTCTTCTAGATATAATCGGTCGAGCCTTCTAAAAGTTATATATTATTTGTTGGATAAGTCGTACTTAATAATTTCATACAGTGGTTGTCCTTAACGACCTTTACAAAATTTATGAATTAACAATGAACTACTATCGAGTATCACATTTTTTGTTCGTAACAAGTGCAAAATAATACCACTGTTAGTACTGCATTTAGCAGTTTATCAATCAGCAGATATGTAAGTCGTATGGATCGAAAATAAGATGACTGCTGTTTAAAAATTCCAAGTTAAGCTCTCAAGATAAGCACTGTAATTAGAGTATAAAAGGTAATGACGAAAAACTTATGCAATCCTATCAGATTTCACGGTTGAGTGACTGTATAATTTGGAAAGAAATGATTTAGCTGAATAGCTGGTTGCTTTAATACAAATAAAAAATAATGGTATCTTACTTAAATTTAATCTGAATCTCAAAAGTACTTAAACAGTGTTCAAGCTTTATAAAATCAATGAATCAATATACTGGACTCGTAGTCTCGTACGGTGCTGTGCGCTTTACATATAAAAAGAAAAAAGTTTATATTTAAAAATATCGTATTTAATAATATGCGTAGATGTCCAGTACAGTAAATAGTATTAGTATAAAAGTACATACGTCTATACAGTTACGTAAGTGAATTAATCCAAGTTAATGATGTTCTAATTTGAAGTTCGGACTGCCCAGAATTGATTTGATTTAATTGGATAATTTAATGAAGATAAAGGTGCAATACAGTAAACTTTATATAAGCTCAGTACAACATATCTGTGTCTGGGCAAACAAACAGCATACCGCTACGGAACCTGTATAGTCAGTAACAAAAAAATTCTAAAAAATATTACCGTGATGGGTGTAACTGTTTACCGAGTGTTTGAAGTAAACTGTAAACAGTTATCAATCATTAAAACATACAGTAGCATGCATAGCTACCAAAACATGTTCATTTAACAATACCAAATACTACAGGCTCTATTAGTTAGCCAGTTATCGTAAATGGTGCACTGTACTGTAGTTTGAAACGAATTGCTACTGCGATAGTGTGTAGTTGAATGATGCCAATTCACAATGCGAACGCGGTCTTATTAATACTTCAAGTTTTCAAGTGATTATTTCACACTTTTTGAAGTCTTACCACAGTATTTACGAGCGCATACTGTTCCGAGTTACGCGAACCAAACAGTTTAAAATTGCGTTTATTTGATTTAACCTGAATATGATCGTTCGAGGAAAGTTCTATCGTCATCTATGTACTGTATTAGTATATCTAAATTTATCGTATGCTGTACACCTACATGTCGCACATAGAGTGAGATAGCTAAGATTTTGAATATACGTGAGACTAAACAAAACGTAAAAATCGATATTTCTGATGTGTGATGATACTTTATCCGAACAAAAATGATACAACGCAGTAATGATGTAGGTTCATTAAATCAAGAGAAAAAGAATACTGCATGATTACTGTAGATGCAATATTAATTGATGCAATATTAATTCCATTAGTAACTACTGTAAGTCTAGTGCTTAATAAACGTGAAGACTTATCATTTCAAATAATCAGCAAAAAAAATCAATTGCAGTGCTTCTTCTTATTTTATTACTGCATACTGATACAAAATTAAAAGCTAAAATAACCACTTTAATTGATAACGAAGGGTACGAATGACGATCTTGGTTAACTAGAACTAATTTGTTGTAAGTCAAAATCATCATTGAAAGCAACAAGTGTCCATTTACCGTCCAGCCGTGGCATGCTTACACGTACAGAGTAGGATGTCGTCGTACTGATCAAAATCAATTTAACATTAATCACTCTGTTCGATCATGTCGTAGTTGCGAGGCGTTTATAAATATTATTACGATGATACTTAAGCTACTTTAATACTACAATAGCACATATTTTTACTATACAATTTATTTAATTTCAACATAACCTGAAAGACGAAACTCGAAACTACAGTGATAACGGAAGTGATGCGTAAAAAGTACGCTTTTATGTACGTATGATAGTATGGTTACGGTAGACTGTTACTGTATTGGAGCAAAGAAAAAAACCCCTCGATTTTAAAAACTGTAGATTGGAATGAAATATCTTCCCTATATATATTGATATATCTTAATAAGATATTTAAGCATTTCATACCTTTTTAAACAGTTTAGCAAGCGAAGAAACCATCATCCCACAACACTGGTCAGATTTTTGTTGCGATGGTACTCTGTAAAGTTTAAATTAAATTATATTAAATTGAATTACATTCAAGTTGAAATCTATTTCCTTCAGTAAAAAAACGTGAAAAATAGCAATTTCATTTGAAGTTCTAAACTTGATGCTAATTTCTGTTCATTGTACAATACCAATACATCTGCATCCTATGATTATTACAAGGTCTAAGTTTTCTAATATTTGTTAAATGATTATCCGTAGTAGCAGCGCTATATGGCCGTCTCTGCGCTTTTTAAACTCGTCTCAATCCAATGCAGTCTTTCTCACTATCCTTGCAAATAAATATATGGTAATGGAGTGACAACGTCGGTAATTCACTGGGAATCGATTATGACAGTGTTTTCTCTGTACTGTATATATTTACATAGTTAACTGGCTTTCTAGTTGTACCGATACTATATATATATATATATACCTGTTATATACCGATACAGTACACGCGGTTATTAACTTTTAAAGTTAGATTTGTTATTATTTCCTTTTACTCTACTATACCTTGTTCCTAATGTGACGATACAACCTTTGAACTTGGAACTTATTAGTATACTAATTACAATACAATACTGCACTGTAACAGTACCATACTGTACATTGTATAGTATATCACTTTGGAGACGGAGAAACTACATAGGAGCAGGGCTGAAAAGGATTCCGTCGCTAAGGAAATTTAATTTTCACATGGATTTTAGGAAAAATTGGAAATTTGCAGGATTTTATTGTACAAAATACAAGTAAATTCAAGACCAAGTAGAATATTATACAATATCAGCCGGTTTCCAACAACTAGCTATACGTTGCCATAACATATACGTGTTATATTGTATTACGTATTGTAAGCTATATTTATCGGTATGCGTATGTGCCTATTTGACACATAGCACTATTCTGAAGAAGGATCATTTTACGTCCTAGACTAAGTTTAATCAGATACTGTACTGCATACACTGTACGTATTGACTTTACTGGGCGTATTTCCATGTACAATTTCAAGTTTGCGTTTTGCACTAGACTGTCATGAGTTATTCATGTACAGTGTACTGTTCGCTTAGGGGCATCGGAGTTGGTAGCATAATACAGAACTGTGGGAAGAAACCACCAATTCTAGTACTTTCTCTACGCCAAAGCATACACTATACAGTACAGTACAAAGAGTAAACTATCTTAGATTAATTATAATTATTATACCACCAATTTTAGTACTTTCTCTCACCAAAGCATACACTATACAGTACAGCGCAAAAAGTAAATTTTCTTACATTAATTATATGCGATTCGCGAGCGTGACAACAACATAGGTTACGGGCAATGTAAGAAATTGGGCAACATATATATATAACGTGACGAAATGGACTATCCACTCCATAGATTACGTCAATTATAAATTATATAATTCGTACGTGTTATACGATACGGTAAAAATAATCATCATCATGAGTAGTAACTGTTCGACAGGTAATAAATTTTCATAAAAACAAAAATTTGACGCTGCTATGATTCTGGGACGATATAAAATAAGACAAATAAATATAAAGAGTAAAGCAATAACCGTATACTGTGCGTGTCAGTAATGTATATTGATACAGTATGAGTTGATTATATTTTCGACACAGTATATTAAACACCCAACCTGTCAGACACGTCTGATTAGGAGCAGTTGGCATTAGAGTCTTAATCTACGACTGTTCTTTCAATTTAGGTGCACTATATAAATGCGTGCCATTTATAGTCTATTCTAATAGACATGTACATGATACTTTATTCTTACTGTACCGATTGCGCAGTACATTTTACATTGTATTATACGCCAAAAGTGTTGCAGCATATATCAATTATCAATGTTTGCCATTAAATATTCTATTGGGAATTGAAACAACAGTCAGCCTGGTCTTTGAAATGGTACAGTACTGTACACTAAGTATAGTAAATTTATAATCTATGAACAAATTATACAATTCATTAACTGTTGAGGATGATGTTCCTATCTAACATTTTTATTGGCTGATATACTCAGTCACCAGAGCGATACACGTAGAATATAGTAGGGCATCTCAAAACAGATTCTATATACCTTAAAATTTAAAATATACAAATCATCTATCTGGATTCATCTAATCGATTTATTTATGAGCCGTTGTTATGAAACTTTTAAATTAATAACTGTTATCGTAAGAGCACGTTTGTCTATTTTCAATGCCAGTTTAAAGCTGTGCCAAACTGATTTACACGTACAGTATTAAGGATTATTTAAGTCTTCGCTACCCCTGGTTGACTATAACTGTTTGTTATTTATGATGCAATTTAGAGTAGACGATATGTAGTTTAAGACTGTACGATTGAAATGCATATATGTATTCGACCTTTTAGTTACTATACTGTATATTCGTATACTAGTACTGTAACTTAGAAGACATTGCGTTTGCTAAACTTAAGGCATAAAGTCTTGTTACTGTATGACCTATTAATGATAATGGAAATAATACTGTCCTTCTCATAGAAAATTGGTCTGCTAAGTTCTTAATTGGTTCATTATCGTATCAAATTGTTAAGTAACAAATAGCTTGAATTACAGTACGATTAAAACGATCAAACGATAAAGTAAGTGCTGATTAGGTAAAATCAAGCGCAAGAAGTCCTGCAATACACAGTAGAAAGTTAATTGTAATCAAGTTTACGTTGTAAGCATTCTGCTTAAAATATTGTAAAATGTTGTTCATTTCATTGTTGACAACTGCAGCCACTTGTTGAATCCGCGGATGTACAGAAATATCAACATGGATGCAGTGAACGTTTTTTTTTTGCAATAGTTTCCACTCTCCAATGTGGATCAGTTTTGTAAAGTTATTTGTATACGGTAAACTATAAACTATAATATAAACAGTTGGCGGCTATCCATTGCTGTACTGTAAACTACGTTGTTCAAGTAACAAACCAAATGAAATGAAAAGAAAATCCTTGCAAAAAATTGAAGTTAAGATCAATTAAATGCATTCACTCAGTTATGATAGTCTTACCTTTTACTACCGGTGGAAAAAATTCCTCTTAGACATTCTAGGCACATTACTAGCTTACTAAAGAACTAGCAATAAGGAGAAAGCATCCAGTTGCAGTAATACTGTAATGGATTGATGATTCTTCTTCGGAAAGACTGTACAACTGATTAAGATTGATAACAAAGGAATTAGTTATAGATAATATGTTGCAATCTAACAAAAGACCCAACGAGTGAATATCTAGTTGGTGTCAGTCGCTCTTCCTTTTGTTTTACTTCGTTCCATTTGACGGTAAAATAAGTGAATAGTAACAATTTGGTTCACTCAATCCATTGTACTGTACTTCACTCAATCTATTGTACTGTATACAGTCGACGACAATACTGTGTTGCCAATAGGTGTTGAAACGTTTATTGAACGTAATACGTATGGACTACGTGCGTATTACCTTAGATGCAGTAGAATGTTAGCATGTTGTAGTTTAAGGTTATTCTGGCTAGAAAAGTTCATCGCTGCTCGCCTAGACCAGGCAACATCAACAAGATATTTTGCATAGTGTTTTAGCATGAAAGAAGTGTTACTGCTATAAGATTACTTCACTGTGCTGATCTAATATTATTTCCATGATAGACGTTTAGTTTCATTGACATTTTTTTAGGGTGCATAATTGACAAAAGTAGACCGATCAAACCAGTCTATTTTTTATCCAGGGGAAGGAGAGGAAGTATCCTTAAATCATCTTGGATAAAATGTTGAAAGATGAAAGTAATTTGAGATGACAATATTTTAATGCCAAGGTACCTTCTAGCTGGATTAACGTACATTACGTTAATTTAATTAGCAGATCAAGAAATAAGAGAGAATACAAGTGTTGTTGAATTCAATACAAATTACGAGAATAAACAATTCAAGCCAGTGCTTCAATGTTGTAGTATAATATTATCATTTTCTGTAGAGTGAAGAATGGAGAGACTGCCCCACCTTGCCGCTGGCAATAGAGTACGATATCACTGAGTGAAAGGACTGTCTTACCATACAGCATTATAGTGACTGTAATATGTATTGGGTACATCAAAATGCGGAGCAAACAAAATAGTAGAGCTAACGATTATAAGCTCTAATATTTATTTAAGTAGATGTATATACGATATTAGTCCATAGGACGATTTGTTTTAATTTTATCACAGTGTTTCCTGCTACACGCGTATTTCAGCGATATGATCACAAAATAGTTCGCCCATTAATTGAATAAACTACTATGCACATACATCTTCATAAATATGTTTAACATCAAGTTCGATAAATGAATAGAATTTTGAGCAATTACATCAAAAGGTGTTTTTCTTGTCGATGAATCCTTGAATGCTATATGTATTTACGTGTATAATACACAAGGGATTAATAAATATGCAATAAATATACAGGGAAGTATTTTTTTCCTGATGTGCCTTATAAAATGCCCTAGTAGAAGCGATCACAAAAATGCAATAAATTTAGTATAATGCTAATTAACCCAATCTTTCATATTAGCCTTTTTGTCCTTAATTCCTAGAGAAATAATTTATTTTATTTTATGCGAAATGGCTGTCATTGATAGGGTTAGGGGATGGAGATGTTGGAGATTCGGGTAGTTCAAGAGTACCGCTAGGTGGCTCATAATGAGCGTATTTTTCAAACGATGAAGAGTGCTGAAGCAAAATTTCATTTCCTAGCGGAAGCCGACCAGCATGTCCTTTTCTCCAATAGCATGGAAATGAAATCGTATGGGGAGCTGTCATATCGGTAGATATTTCCTCTAGTGTCTTTCTTTTGGTTTCAGGTACTTGAGAAACGATAAAGCCAACAGAAATAAAGCTAATTCCGCCATATATGAAGAATAAAGCGGAAAGTCCTATGGAATCTGTATTAAATATATAATATCTGTTACTATCAGTATTTTGGAGGGTAATTAGTGAAGCGAAAGCAAGTTTATACAAATTAGCGTTTGTAGATAATTTAAGGCCAACATTTCACACGATGAGATTTCGGGTATAATTAATTTAAAAATTTTTATGCAAATTACGATTAGTAAATAACTTATGGCCAATAATTAATTCGTGTTGGATAATTTGTGTTGCAATTTAGACTTATTTATGCAAGATCTATCACTATGTATGCACCATTACCTGACAGATCCAAGAAAGTGAAAGATATTAAAAAATTGGTTAGCCAATTGGTTAAACTTGCGACTGAAGAAGCGCGTCCTTTAATCCCGGGAGGAAATAACTCGCTAATCAAGATCCAAGTCACTAAAGTAAATTACGAAATAGCATAAAGGTATATATTAAGTGGTATGACTCAAACTATGATAACAATTAAAGGTAATGAGATAGTTGCCTGGTCCGAATCCAAAAGCATACGCAGCTACAAAAGCTAATAAGGATGTAAACGACATAATTTTAACCACCAAGGTCGCATTACCATCTGAAGTCGATCCATTACCTGATATGATTTAAATATTACTTAGATAAAGTGTTATTGCTAACAATTGTCAAAGCTTAATATATAACTTGCAACCTTGTAGTATGAAATAATTGCTGGATGCATTAAGAGAACATGGCTTCTGAATGTTGGGATAAGAACTCGATACAATTCCCAATACAATTAAGCTTATAGCAATAGCAGAAGAACCAACAATTAAGGCGGTTCTACGTCCTTAGATAAAATAGTAAGATAATTAAAGGCAGACCAGAGATACCGTACCTTCCTTAACTTAGTCTAGGAGTAAATCTTACCTATTTTGTCTATTCCAAGCAGTACGATAAATGTGAAAATCGTCTAGTAATAAAGCCCAAAATGTGAGTATGCTACAGTTTGTCATATCCCTAAAGGTAAAATCTTTAACTGATAAATAAGAGATGGATTATTACCTTGATCATCCCTAAGCCAACGGTGGCAAGTGTAGCATCAGAACCATTCGAGAATCCAATAGATTTAAAGATTGTGGGAGCGTAGTATAATATATTTGGTTGGCCTGTAAGCTGTGAAGTTTATGTAGTAAGGCCTTAAAGTATGCTCATCACGGATCACACGAAAATTTTAATTCTCGTGAGGACAATTATCGAAAAATATGCATTAAAATTGCTGGTGACACATCGTAATATAAGAAAATATAGCTATACCTGCTGAAATAATGCCAGTAATACCACAATCCCAAGTCGTTTACGTAGTTTGCCTTGAGAGCTAAACAAACTTCGAAAGGTGTAAGACTGCATTGATAATAATAAACAACATCATGTCAGCACAAACTGCCAGATAAGCACTATTTCGGAAAGATTTTTTTGATCTTGTAGTAGCAATACTTGCATTTTCCGCGGACAGACTTTCCTTTATTAGTTGAAATTCTGTTGTAACATCATTTGTTTCTCTAATTTTTTGTAGTGTCGTAAGAGCCTGTTAGAGGCATGAATTTTTGTTAATTATAGTTTTTGAACATATATGCCTAGTATGCTACTTGAAAACATAATAACTTACATCTCTTTCTCTTCCACGGGTCAAAAGCCAGCGTGGGCTGTTTGGCAAAAAATATGTGGAAACAGCCAAAAAGACAGCCGGTAGTGCGGATAAACCAAACATAAATCGCCTAAAAGTTTGTAATTCATAGTTGTTGTAAGGTTAGATGGCTTAAATGCCAAGAAGATATCGAAATAGAGAATAAAATTGTTAATTTAAAGCTCAAAAACAAACTACCTCTTCAAGATAATTCTAGCATTATTTATAATTATACCCTTAACAAAACCTATACATACTGTAGTTCAAGTTGTATGAAGCTTTTGACTTTCGCTATTGATGAGAATTATTTATCCTATGCTACCGTTATATACTATAGATAATAAAACTGCCGGTATGCTTTAGTTAATATATGTACAGCAATTAATAGTTACTAGAAAAAAACATAGTACATGATCGCTACAGTAATGAACACATGAACAAATGCGGTACGTTAGTTAGTAAAATTAATTAATAATTAATTATAAGCATGGTTTTAGAAATATTGAGTTTTCTTACCATCCATTGGCCACATCAATGAAAATATAGTTGATTAAATACGCCAAAAGTAATCCCAAAGTAATGAATAACTCATTGAGAGTAATTAAGCTTCCACGTCGGTTCTAATAATATAATCAAAGGAGCAAGTTTAAATGTATAATAGAAGCCACTGTAAGAAAAATGTACTATTATTATTGTGCTTACACTAGGAGCAATTTCTGCTATGTATACACATTCTGCCATGGCTGAGATAGCCACAGCAAATCCGATGAGAATGCGGCCAACAATCTGTTATAATAATGATGAATGTGATTCATTATATATGCAAAGAACAGTTTTTACAAATAAGCGTTGAACCCTAACAGGCGAGGAAAAAGAAGAGGTGGAGTAATTAAATTTTTTTCGTACCAGAGTAGCATAATTATGGGCTAGACTCATCACCAACGCACCAATTATAAATACAATTGAATTTAATAATATCGATGTCCAGCGTCCTAATTTATCGATCATATAACCTATGTCAGCAAAAGAATTTTAGACAGTATTAGAGGTTACATTCTAGATTGTAAAAGGATATCGTTTCTAACTTGAATACACAGTAATAATAAGTATAGAGATTTTACAGTAAAATTACATAAATTATAATGCTTGTCACAAGAAAGCTGTCACATATTGAATTATACAATTCGACGTAACGCTTTTCGAACAGGGTCGTCAAAAAATCGACGAAAAAACGAAAATTCTATTCATGCAAGATGACGCTTTCCAAATCGTAAAATGAATCTATTCCATTATTTAGTGTCAAATATACTGTACGCATATCAATCTTTATCTAGGAACAAAATAGATAAATCATGTGCCGTAAACTGTATACTAAGACTAGGAGACACCATAACTAGATTGCAAATGCTTTAGTGCTCGTATGATCTTTCGCTACAGAAAGGAACGAGATACGTATTAGAAATTATCAATGGGGAGATGCAGTTGTCAAGTTTATCATTCACTTACAGCGAGAGCTAATCGCAGTAATTTGGACGTTTTATAGTCTATGTCACTACGATAAGATAACAGGAAAAGATGCTACATAATTTCATTAACTGCAGAATAAAAGTTGCTGCACCTCCGACAATAGAACCACCAACAGCACCGGCTAGCATGACTCCGACAATTCTCTCGCGTTCAATGCAGTTAAGATTGAAAACTTTCTGTAGCTGCAAAATAGCTCCGGAAATAACGCCTAATTATGAAGTGATATGGAGCATATAAATTTAAATAGTAATGGTAGGAATCTTACGCTTTCAAGCTATACTTTAATTTAGCCAATCCACTTGTTTACTGAAAAATTTATGAATTACCTTCTCGCTGCTAAATACACGTACTAGCATAATTGTGTAGTGAGTAATAAATTTCATTAAAATTAAATTTAGGTGAAAAGTAAATTTTACCAATATCATAGCCAAAGAGTAAACCTCCTATTGCAGAGATGAGTGAAGCCCATAAAACTGTTTTCGTTGTGCCTCTGTTAATAAATATAATTAAGAAGTAAGTAGTCAATCTTGCAATTGGAAAGTCTTAATAAAAATATTTAGTTCATGGGTCCACGATATTATTTAAGTATAGGATAGTAGTGATGTAAAAAAATGTTGAAATTGCTACGGATATCTTGGGAAGATCGATTGGGTTATCGATTTTGCACAGTATAAGATCAGCTTTGCTTTTAATAGACTTTATAATAATACCTCACTTAAAATAACGGAGATTTAAGTGGCTCACTGCTGTATACGAGCACAATAAGATTTAAATTAGATTTACGTATGTATATTCTTATTAACATATGTTTACATTCATCACAGATTTTAATCATGCAATTTTACACCAGCTCGTCCGCAATCTTTAAACTCAGCAATGATGATACAACACTTAAGCAATGTAGCTTACAGTATTGCCTGTGCTATCTTAATGTTTTCTTGAAGTCATGTTAATCAAACCCGCGAAAATTGTAACGGTCTGAATAATAAATCTCCTAAGGGACTTTGACGATAATCGCAGATAATTTTAGTACTATTTTATGGCGCTATAGCGTCTCATCAATACCTGCAGAATTTTTTCTTTATGGTAATATGATTATACGAATCACAGGAACTTAGATTTACCCCTGTTAAACCGAATTGTATGAAATAACCTACTGCATGTATCATCGGATATATTTAATCATCACCATTGCATTATAAGCGTGTTTTGAGTATAAATGCTTGTGCTACACTCTTATTTCAATTTATTCTATTTATTCATAGATGATATAGTGATTACTACATGATTCAACTACTGTATCTTGTTCTACGATACTTTTTTTTTATTCTTGTTTATAATGTTCATTTTTATGACTCTCTGGCCTGCATTACCTAGATCGTTATTTCTTATATCCCATAGGAAGAATAGTATCTTAAATTACTAAAATTACGTCAAGATGGAAGCTAACGGTTGAGCGATCATAACAATAAGATCCATTATTCCAATGTTAATTATTTGTGTTTTATTTTATAAAAACTTACTTGTATATCCAGTGGCAGCAGCCCGGAGAGTGAATAAAGCCAACGCTGGCATTATTAACCGCAGGCGTTAATAGACTATCTGTCGGTTATAAAGATACATGGTAGAGAAAGCTTTACTTAACTTGCTTTCATACACTGATATTAATAATTTCCTTCTCATTTGATCGTCAATGACCTTGCTGATTACTTACTTTGGTAGTTGAATTATCAAATCTATTTATTGATTACGCTTTCTACCGTAATAATAATAGTATAGTATTAATTTAGCGAAAATCAAGTACGTTTCAAGAACAGAGGTTAATTTCTAGTGGTACAGATTTTACTATGTCCATTCTGGCAAGCCATTACTCGTACTGTTAGTGCTATTATGCAAGGTACAGTAGTTTACCGCAAACTAGTAATACCTTACAGTAGAAGAGAATCGAGATCGATTCAATTATATAGTGAATAGGTCCAGATTGAATTTTGTAAACAAGATAGAGTGTTATAAAATAGTAAGTGAACAGCATTTACATTTTACACAACACTACCCATAATATTGTGCTGATGATAGCAAATGGCATAAGATTGATTTACGGATGCAAGGTCGGATGCACGAAATTAATTCACTACACAGTTTACACCCTATGTAGACGCAAAACATCATTGCCATGAAATTTTAAAACTAACTCATCCAATGACGACTATATTGTTAATCTCTACTATATACGCGTACAATACCTCTATCGCATAATTCTGATCTGTCCATAGATAATGATCATGAATTATCTTCTTTGCTTTATGATATCTGCATAATTAGCATTCATCGGAACTCTTTAGTGACATCTTACTTTTCTCTATTATATTATACTGTACATACGCTTATGTAATGGTAATCAGTAACTAATGACAAGTTAGAACACTAAAATATAGACACAATTTTTAGCCTTGAACATGGACTGATTGAACTATTTAGATTGTAGATTTCTTCTTCCGCTCGGATTGAGCGTATAATAATTTACTGTATAATTGTTATTATTATTATTACATAACTAATTATACAGTATACCTTACACTGTCCAGTATAATCATAATAGAGCCCATCGTACTAGCTAGGGTTTGACGGAAGGCAGTATTGAGTGTCTGCCTGTCCGCGCGCCCGAATCTCGGCGATAGACGATGAGATGATTCTAAAAAGTCCTCTATCATGCAGGGTTGCATTTTACCTCTTTTAACTTTAAGGCAGAATAACCGACGATTGTACTTAAAGAATGCTTAAGACAGCGGTGGTTTTTATGGAAAATTGGTATTTGATATTGGTGCATCGGTGTCTCAATGATCTTCGTGTTTTTACCAACGCAATCTCATTTTCTTACTACTGTATTGACTATAAAATTTACATCATTTCGGGCTGCGATGATAATAAATAAATCAAATTCTACTTCACCGTATTCGATAGTTTCAAAGTCTTGAGGAACAAAGTTTAACATCAATGCATAAAGGTTGTATGTTCAACATTAGTGTAGTCCTTGATACTGCCATTGACAATATTGTACGGTAATACTACGAATATTTATTCTGGGAGTTTATGAATATCTAAAAAGTAACTACAGTACTGTTTATTACTGAATACATAGGCTGCATACTATGAGCTGACTTGATATAGCCGCTGACGATGTTAATTAGAGTCTAAATTTCTAGAACTACTTCAAAATCTATGAATTGATGACTTTTATCCGCTTTCATGCATTAAAATCTTCTATAAATTAAATAAGTGTCCATTGTGATTCTGGCTAATTTTCATTAACTGGTTAACTGATTTCACACAAGTTCCATAATAAATAGTTTTGTTGAAATAAAGAAAATGTTTTATTGACAACTATAAAGAAATTTGAGGAATTCACATTAGCTGGCGTAAACTATCGATATGGATGTCCGAGCCTCCGAGGTACAGGTGATCAAGTTACAAGTCCAGAGTGCTCTCAATCACATAACTGAATTTTCATTTTCGAAAGAGTCTCAGCGCGCTCGAGGAACGCCATATTTCCAATTTTCTAAAAACACGCAGTACGTTAATTGCTTTTATACACAAAATTCTAAAGCATTAATGTATTCATTGAATGTACGGATAGTGTCAGATGGCCCCTAGCGAAATTTCACCATTGATACGATTCAATGTAACTAGTGTGATACTGGATACAAGTTGTAAATCAACTCCGTGCCCAGTACCAAAGCTAAATCATCAGCCACTCACTTTGATAACACTATACGAAGCTGTACATTCAGAAATAACTAATACAATATTGATATATATATATATATATGTTTAGATTTTATCTAAAATAGTTCAACGAGTACTGTATCACGTACCATCATAAGGCTACTTGTACTTGCTTTTAAATCATTCGCAATCGCCCAGTCGTTTACAGCCTGCAAACAATTATAAAAACAGGTATATTATAGGATAAAATTCAGTAGTAAAAAGTTATCAATGGCCCGTCATTTGGGATGTTGGATATATTTACTGCTAAGCTTCGTCAGAGACTTAAATAATCGTCATATAGCATTCTGTCTAATATATACTGTATGTCATCAATGAAGCTTGACCAAAAGTTTTCACTCTAATTTTAATAATTTAAAGCAGTAGACTTACCATTTTTTTAATGGCTGGACAGTGTTGCGTGTACGGATACGTCCTACCCATTTTAGTAATTTTTAACTGATGATAGCAAAGTTGAATATAGAGAAATATAGGCAATTAATACATTTACATTTTAGCCATACCAGTAATTTCAGTCTGACACTTTTGACGTAGTAGATGTATAATGTCGACGTTGCTCAGTTTTAAAAAGCTCGATTATTAATCGACACGGTGATCTTCAGGTGAAGAAATTCATTTGCATCATAGCAACGATATACAGTACTGTATTATGAAACAAACTACAATAACTAGTAATACATGTTTTTTACGAACGGGTTTATAACTACGGTAGAATTATAATTCTAGATAGATTGGCTATGAGTATACGAGTATACTGTAAAAGTATATAACAATCAATTTACCCAAAATTTTCTTAATCAAAGAAAGAAACTTGATGTTGACGTATAGTGCATCGTCCATCCCATTCCTATCTTCAGTCGATACTGTGCCGCATTATTTACTCTTGCTACGATGTCATGCCATCTGACATGTGAGAGCAGGGCAATCTTGTTTTTCTGGCAGGTTGATAGGTTGGTAGTATAAGAGTAGTTTATCCATTAAACAGCGATGACAAGACCATGATATCTTTATTCTTCAGGTGATTGCTACCGTAGGATTCCAAATCATCAGTCCGACAATAGATAAACGATTACGATCATTAATTCAATATCATGAGCATGCAATTGAAGAGTGTGTCATAGCTACCATACTGGTAATAAAAACAGCCATTTTTAGCAATAGCCTTGTGAAGCTCAAGTATCAGAATTAAGAATTACAATCATTCGATTCAGAAGAACGAAAGTTATATTTTATTTTTCTTCTCATCCTAGTAAGTGTCAGGCCAGTATGATGACTTTTGCATGTCTATTTGTAATAGCCGATACTAAATTCAGTATCTGTAATCTACTTTTATCCGAAGCTTACCAACATGGTGCAGATCCTCCCATCTGTGTTTCTCAACTTTCTCCAATCGAAAACGGCGAAAAATCAAGCATGTTCTCTTCTGTATTTGGAGTTTGTTGATTTAAAAGTTTAAGTCGTCCTTTATCTACTCTCTTTACATCGACAAGTGCTGAATAATCGCACTTGTCATGCTCTCGATGCCACTATCAACGCCAAAGGGAAGACTAATCTCTTCTCCACGTGCTCTTGTGCTCAGGTCTGGCAGCCTTCGATTTGATCCTTTTGCCTTTGCCTAGCTGGCTCAAACTGTATACTGTACAGTGTACAGTAGATATCCCTGCTATGAGCTGACTAGCCTTCTCGCGTACAGTACTGTACTGTAACTATCGTACTGTAACTGTACTAATACTGTACAGTGTACAGTACTGTTGACAGTCGTCTGTTTTAAGGTACTGTAGAACCTGACAGTACGTAGTACTGTAGCTGATGGATGAGTCATTCCAGATGCCTAGTTATACCAAACGAACTCAAGAGCAAAGTCATGTTTGAGTTGTTATACTGTAAAGCACCGTACTGAAGATTTGGGCATTCTGCGGCCACATTGAAGTCCAGCATAAGACCACGTGACATTTTATGCGAGTCAGCCTAACCGAGTTACAGATGCAATCCACGATTGACGGACTCCTCATTACCGTCACCCGTACTGTTGTTACAGACGTGGATGACGTGATTAATTGTGAGGTGACGGTGGGTACTGTACTGTACAAAATAAACTTCAGCTTGGATCGCATGCGGAGAAATTAACTTTCCACCTTGTTGTCGATTTTGAAGGGATTTAGAGAATTGTAGACTTTATAAAAGTTCAATATGGTATGTATATCTAAGATAGATGACTTGATATCCAAGTAGAATACTATGCGATTGTACTTTTCCAAGTGTAGCAACTTTTATCCGGTATATACTGTAAGCGTCGAATGTACAAGCGTAATCGAAGGACATAACAAAATGTCGATCATTTCAAATAGGGTCGCAAGAAGAAGCCATTTATTGGCAAGAAAGAAGGTTATCGATTCCAACTTGTTCATCGAAGTCAGCGAGATCCACTTATTGCCGATGATCAAGCACCGCAATATGTTTTACACCCGTTTGATACAGACAAGAATGAAGAAACAAGACAGCCAAAGATGGAGGAGGTAACTCGGCGTTCTAGTAACATGATCATCGACACTATATCGAATCGAATTTGAATATTACATGCACCAAACTTAAATACAGCGAAGGCCCATAGGATGATAATATACTCGTATAGCAATCTCCACTATCAATCAATACAAGTAACATATTTACTTAAAGTATTGACTACAGTACAGTAGATTCTTTGTATCTGGAGGCGAAAGTGAATTTGGCAGAATTATATCTAGTAATAGCAGTACTGTACTCGACCGAATATGAGGAGTAGCATTCTAAATAGGCTGCACAAGTGCACATGCTGCTTGTTGATTACAACCTGTAGTACCCTACAAGATCGCTGCATATTTCCTACTACTATCTTTACAAATGAGATCGACCAGTTTAGCAGCCTGCTATAGTTAAAGCTCAAAGTACAGTGTATTCTCTAATTGTTGATGAGATTACCAAAAGCACTAGCTGAATTTTGCATTATCGTCCTTTACAGCAATCTGAATACATCAGTAGTATACTGACTATATGATAGTAATAAGTGAGTCAAATGATGTCGTTGAGAACTTAAAGTACTGCCTGCTACATGATCATTGCTATTAGTTATTGACCAATATTCTAGAAGGCATATCGATCAAAGTTTTATAGATGGATTAATTTATTCCTATACTGCACTAATCTTGCCTTAATAGTTTTTAATGCCTCAAGTTTATTATTACAGGATGATTATCAAGCTCGGGTATACGAACAGGAGAAGTATGGTGTCTATTTTGATGACGATTACAACTACATGCAGCACCTTAAAGAACGCCATGATAAAGCCACAACCTCAAGTGACAATGTTGATTTTGTTTACATCGGTTCCAATAAGGTTAGTTGAGCTTGACTTATTACTAGTAGATTTAATGGCTAGATTGTAATGAATATCGTGCATTTAACCTTATGCCGTATTGGAATATTAATCATTACCCTGTTAGTCAAAAATAAAGTTACCGGCAAATGCCTTTCCGTCGCAACGTGAAGATGATGTCGGTCTTCTGAATCGTGGTCTTGAATCGCAAGGTAACTTATGATTACAATATCATTGCTAGGTAGTAACTAGAAGTTAGAAAATGTCTTCTTAATGATAATCTGAGTACGTAGCCTTTACTATTCAGTCTATTCGTAATTACTAACTTAGTGATATTATTAGTCGGCCTTGTGAGAGTTTTCATTGTCATATATTTTGATAAATCAAATAAGTATCGTAATTCGCGTATGTATCATTAAATTGCCCTACTATATATAAACATTAAATTATAACAGGACTTCATCCAGAATGGGATCCAGATATTGTAGCCGCGTTAGATGATGCTCTTGATCTCGATGATCCAGATAACATATTGGAAGATGATTTCATGCGAAAAGTAAATTACATTTAGAACTTAAAATAGAAACATCCTATATTGTAAAAAGCATTAACGTCATGTACTTATATCATCTTTCTAACCACACGTATATCGAATTCTTTATTTTTTTAACAAATAGGCCGATGTTGTAGATGAAGCGGAATATGACGCGGACGAAGGGGGATACGATGATAATGAAAATGATATGTCAAGATACAGAAATGATTCATTTGGTAGTGACGAATGTATGAATTCCATGGCTGATGACGATAACGTCTCACAATTTACCGGATTATCATTGACATCATCTGTTGTAAGACGAGGAGAAGGTTAGGACATACTGTTAATAAGCTGATCATTGCCAAAATACATGTTTTCAAAAGTCTTTCGATGGCCTAAATAAATATATAACCGCCTGAATGTGTTTTAATCTATAATTATAGGTTTAACTCATTTAGATGACAGATTTGACAAGGTAGAAATCCTTTGATTTTATATACGAGTATACTTATTGAGATCGTAAGCTCTTTTATGTGTACTTTAAATTTGCAATATTAGCGCTATTAGTGTTATTATAGAATAAGTATTGATAATAGCAGCTGTTCCAGATTTGACGCATTTAAACCTTTTCTCGCAGATACTGGAGGAATATGAAGACAATGAAATCGGTGCTCCTGATGATAGTGGTGATAATATTTCTGGTGATGAAAGGCGAGAATTAGTTGAACAACATTTGAGTAGATTAATTGAAGAACAAGTGTCTCTAATGGATAATTCATAGTAAGTTGGCTATGACAAAATTAAGCCTTGCTCATACCTAAATGTATGATTAATTAACATGCCAATTTATAAACCATACTAAGTGGATTAAAAGTTTGCTTTTACTTTATTTACAATATAAAGTCGTCCACTTAATGCAAAAAAGCCAACTAACGCCGAACCACGTGATATAATGGAAGAAAGTCAAATCGATCTAGATGATGACAATGAAACCGAAAGTACAGAGTCAGATAGTGAGGAATCAACTGAATTGGTAGAGGTTGAAGAAAAACGTGAACTATGGGATTGTGAATCGATACTAGAAACCCGTTCAACTGCTTACAATCACCCCAAAATAATTGCAAACCCGCCTAAAAAGAACGCAAACGTACGGTATTTTTTGATATTGCGTATGGCATATTGTAAAAATGTAAACATAAATTCCCGTAACGGTTAACTTTATTTACTTAGAAAATATCTGATAAACCTCAGATAATATTATCGAAAAAGACTGGAATACCATTAGGAGTTTTACCTGGAAAATCACCTAAAGAGAAAGTAGTATCAGGTACTGTTTGCAAATTAAATTGTTGATATTAACTCTATTGACACTGATTTTGTTTTATTAATTGTTAGTAATATTAACTTACGAGTACTTTTAATATGCCTTTTTAAATCATAACAGTCAAGACAAATATTACCAGAAGTAAGAATGAGACAAAGGAGGAGAAACGACGAAGAAAATTGGAAGTTAAAGGACAAAAAAAGGTTAGCCTTTGCAGCTATCTTAATACCCCCCGGCTATTCAATTACGATAATATCCACATGTTATTTCCCCATTAGGTAAGACGGCAACAGAAGAAATCGACAAAAGTTGCCTTCAAAGCCGAGCAAATATCACAGGAAAGGTCCATGGTTAATACTAATCATAGCAAAGGGGTGACACTTTTATAATACTGAACGTATATTTTCGGCTGCTTGCATTTTCAAGAGGTCTCATAAACTATCAGATACACCATGTAAAAAGCGCGTGGAATATTTTTATAAAAAAGTTAAGCTTGAATTTAATAAACCATGATATGTATATATATACGTACATCCATACATAAATGTATATTTAACTCTGCTCTTTGCCGTTATACTATTAGCAATTACCGTATTCTAGCCATAAATCAATAATTTCTTATGAACGTTTTAAAAGTATATTCACTATTAGATTATAAATTGCCGCTAAAATATATGTATTTATAATTAATTTTTATGCTCTTATCTGATTAGTTTTCTTTTAAGAGCATAGATTATTATTATTATATATTGATACTTTCAGAAATAAAATTCTCATGAAAATGTTTGATTCTTTGGTCTTGAACGCCTTCAGAGAGATCACAGAATGAGTAGTTCGAGTTTTGCATTAATATTCAAGCTTTGATTAAATTATATTTAATTACGGTTGTAGAAATGAAATGGGTATGCCACTCGTTTTTATTAAAACTATAACTGTAATTTTCGCGGACCTTCATCAGTTGTAAGTAATATTCATATGATGTAATCACTGGGTGAATTCATCAACATATCGCTTTATGCATCAGTTCAAATTTATATGAACAATGTTTAAATCTTCCGAATCTTACAATGTGGTTACATCAATAATCAACTGTTTCGTTCTGAACTTTTTCCTATAATTATAGTATGACGGTAGCTTAAAAATTTAACGTACACATAACATTATATCCCATGAGAACATGAAGTAGCTTGCTAAATTTATTTAAGATGATATACTGTTTTGTATACGTAGAGTATACCTTTTCTACTACATCGTCCAGTTTATTATAAACTGCACAATGACTTGTAAGACAATGAAAAATATAATGCTGTACATGTGTACATCTTGAATGGCAATTATTTTTTCACAAGTAGGATTTGCATCGTGTATTATCGGTTGATCGACAACGAACTGAGCAACGATGAATGGGTTACAAGTTGAATAAATCAGAAAAACCGAATTTAGCAGATGGCTTACAGTTACATACCTCTTTAAGATTTGAATTGTCTAACATATCATACTTAGGAATTCAAGAAGCGTAAAATACAATCGTACATAGTATCGGTCACTGTGCAGTGAAAATAGAATAGCCAACTGAATGTCTACTATCACGCTATCACGAAAAGTGTAAAAATTCTCAAATCACGATACTTTAGTAGCAGGCGAGCTATCTAAAATTTTTCTTTACTAATAAATGTATAATAATTGAAATGATTACTATGGACAACACAACCAGAATATCAACAAAGAGATATAACAATTTACAAAATACGTGATACGTAATGGTATGCTACACTACTTATTTTTATTCGCATTAGCTAAAGCCTACGGGCAATTGAAACCTAAAATTCCCTATTACTTATGAGGCGGTACATGTGAAGATATCAAATGTTACCTAATTATTACGAAGCTAATAATACAATGATAAAATTGTATGCAGTAAATATCTTTCGCTCTAACTAAAGATAGTAAGGACTTATACTGTAACAACAATCATTGCAATAGTATAGCGATGCAATAGTAGTTTAATTCCATAGTTGATTGTTTAAAGTCTGCCCTTGAGTCATTTGCTGATTTCCAGCATACATACCACCCTGGTTGTTTGTTGCAAATTGTTGATTGTACACTTGTGGTCTCTGATTTCCTTGCATTAGCGGAGCCTGCTGCATAGTGGGGTTTTGCTGATATTGTCCCATAAAATTTTGCTGAAACTGTTGTTGCATTGGTTGTTGCTGTCGCATCATATTAAATTGATTTTGTTGAGGCATATTAAAGTTACCACCTCCAGAGGGGGTATTATACATAGCTTGTTGATTTGGTAAACCAGCTCCTCCAGTTACGGACATTTGATTCATACCTTGTGTAATTTGATTTACTTGACCCATACCCTGAGACATGGGCTGGAATTGTTGCATCCTGTTACCATACTGCATTTGCTGCATTCCACCTTGACCTTGATACATCATACCAGGTCCTTGTTGTACCATGTTTGTATTACTGACTTGCGGCCGACTCATTATTATACCACCTAAGATAAAATAATTGTTATATTACTATAGTAGAAAACAGTCGTAGCAATACAGTATAATGTTACATTGCTAGTGAACAGAACAGAAATTTTACCTGGAACACCATAGGCTGGTGTTTGAGTATTTTTACCATACAGAGATAAAATAGAGTCCTTATCAATGCTTGCTTTCTGTTCGTTTGTTCCGAATAAAGCTGCTTCACTTATTAGATTTTGTTGCTGATTTTGAGGCTGTTGTGGTATTTGCGATGGGATTGCCTGTTGAGTATTAGAAGGTACCTGCTGGGGAGGTGCATTTACTACTTGAGATTGTTGAACTGGTGCTTGCTGAACTGGTGTATCTAAGCTCAAAAGATCAGCAATTGCGGACTGTTGCTGCGGCTTAGGGGCAGGACTCTGAGATTGTACTGGAGTTGCTCGTTTGGCAGGTGATTGTCGTTCTTGAACAGAAGACGATGATGATGAGGAACTTTGGCGTGATTTATGTTGCGCTACAGCAGCTGGAGTATTCTAAATAATGCAATAGAAAGTAATTTCATAGATTATTACACTCTGTTATTTTCATCAAAGTATGATATCTCAAAAAAGAATAATAGCCGGTTCCGTAATAGCTCTCAAATTAAACAACAACATATAAGATACTGAAGGTCAGTTTACCTGGTTAGTAGTTTTCCCAGTCTTACTTGTAGCCTATACCAAAAATACAAGCAAAAATTATGCAAATGTATTATCATTGGTGGATCAATGACAGTAACTGGTATCATATTTATTCAGAAGGCGCAATTTTCATTGATACCTTTGGTTTATTTTCTTCTGGTAACTTTTGCCCAGCGTACTGTTTGCTAACATATTTTGCGCGGATAAAATTTTCTGCCGCCCTGCAATAAAATATACGCGTCTATTACCTAAATTTGGCGATACTTAGTGTCTCATTTAAACTCATCTCTATTATTTATTTACAGTATGCATATGGATGACCTTATAAAATGAATTTAAATAGCTAATTGATAAATAAAATTAACAATAATACGCAACTGGTCTGATGAAGGCCGGGTGAACGTAGACGGTATATTCGCTTCGTAGTATCTGTTGACACGCCTGTTACCCCATTCTACCATATTCTATACAATGTATGTATGGGGAAATGTTAGAAGACAATATGAATGATCTAGCCATGAAAATCACTACAATTTATATTGCCACAAAGTACTGTAGTAAGCCTATCTAACATTTCAACTTTAAAATATTGCGTTTTAGGCATAACTGTCTCTATACTTAAGACTGCTAAATTGAAATTTTAGGAATGATAATGGCCAGTAAGAATATCACACTCATTCAATATTGTATTATAATAACAAATAGAAAATAGATTATTACTACGAGATAACTACATTCTAAAAATTTCGATGAACAAAGTAAGTAGGTTAATTATAAAAATATAGAAGCCTCTTTAGGTGCGGTGATAAAATATTCTAAATTTTTCTACTTACAGCAACTTGCTCTGAAGTCCATGAATCTAAGTTTACCGATTTCACCTTGCTAATATGAACACCGAGGTTACGATGAATACCGGCACAACGGATACATATGAAAGCACCAATATTCCACGACGCCCATCTTGGACCTAATTAAACAATGTATCAATTTTTAATCAGAATCGTTTTAAAAATAACGTAAACTATAGTTACTTATTAGTTAATTAGTACAATGTTTAATTTAGGTAGTTAATCTACACTTTACTATCGTCTTAAACTGACAATCAACAGTCGTCTTGACATACACTACTGTATATAAGGAATAAATTGCTGGAAATTTACATTGACTAGTTATCATAACTGAATTAATTCATTCATTATATTATTCGTACAAGTAATTATTAATCAGCCGATATTTTAATCATCATTTCCTTAACCATTCTGTTATTATTGACCGTATCTTCGTAGTATACTTTACGCGTACGAGAAATATTTTCTTGGGTTATTTTGTCACGTGAGTCAGTTATAATTAGTAGCAAAGTATAAATGAGTCTTAGTTGAAGAATAACGTAGCTATTATAATTCTGTACATTCGCAGAACTACAAGTATTGCGTACAACACCAACACGATGTTTTTTGATGGTGTATTATAAAGGCTGTTAACATTAACCAAACACTAATACATTTGCTATAGATAGGAACTATTCCTAGATGAATGCATGACGATGCATTTTACCAAGTTTCATCATATTTCTATTATTCCTCGAATTTCACATCGTTAGCACTTTTTGAAAGGATTGTAATTCATTTATGTAATGTTAATTACAATAGTAAGATATGAGTGCTCTGCTTGATCCTGCTATAAGTAAAAATCATTACTTTAAAAATAAAGAATTATCCACTATTTGAGATAGCCTTGGTGTTATCGAGTAAACGAATTATGCAGACTATCTGCTCAATTTTTCAAGCTTGTACACGTCGATAGATGTACATTAGTATCACTGTAGTAGATACTAGCTAGTACTACACTCTTCTAGCTTGCACACGTATTACGCTGTACCATGGCTGCAGTATCGTATCTTTCTATTCGTGTAAAACAAAAACAAACGAACGATACTTATGAAAGAAATGCATACGCGTACAGTGGTAATCGTCCACCGCAATGCAGTGTTAGATTGGATGATTCTTGAACTGGAAGGATGTTGTTCACAGCCTATACTCCTTCTCGACAAGTTTCTATTTTACTGTACTTGTCATGATGTTTATAATCGATCGATCCATGATCAATTACTAATAATGTACTGTAGTCGAGCTAATCCATGGACTACATTGGTCGATACCAATTCTATAGTCAATTTTAACCGACAATAAATTGATTTCATCCATTGATTAGCTAGTCCGAAAAAGCGCAAGATTGTGACACCTGCCAATCGATCTCGATCAGAGCGATCCTACGGTAAACTCTATGGTGGTCGTACCATACGTACACGGTGTAACATTCTGTACTATCATGGGAAATTCATTCAGCTTAAGATTGAACAAGCAATCATTCACAGTTTTGAGCCTTGACTTTTGACTCATCGTCATCAGTAGATGAATCAAGTTTCTTCGAGCAATTTTAAGAAAGTAAAAACGATCCACTTTGTCAGAATGTATCGAAAGTATCGTCAAGTCCATATAGGGCTATGATATTGACGCCAAGTCGTATACAGTCAATGCTTACAGTCATTATAACAGCAGTAAGTTCAAAAATCAGACAAATCCACTGAGGAAGTGTTGTACGAAAGGACGGTTAAATGGTCAATGAAAAGATCAACTGTACATTAACTAAAGTTGTAGAGATGAAAATTGCGATTAACTTGATCATTCTAAAAACCATTTGTTCATAAATGGTTATATACAGTCTACTGTGCGTCTATAATTCATTAGGCTATCCACTCGTATGATACATTGGTATGACGCGAGTACTGGTACTGTTCTCCAAGTCAGAAAGGATGGACAGTTTATTTTCAGTGTAAAACTACTCCTGCATTGCTATCTTGACATAAATAGATGCTACGATCATTGACTAGGATCAACCAAAGTATCCAGCAATGTGGAATAATGTCTAGGATGGTTGATTCTTGTATAATTTACACTTATTTCGATATGCAATATTTCACTGAATCATTCCAACTTGACGGCTAGCAGTTGAACTACAGTCTGTATCAGCGAGGAGAAGCCAGTCACTCTACTATACAAGTTGCACCTCAGTCTATAGTGCGCGTATGTCTATCCATTAGCACAACTCCATGTATAAAAATAGATCTGTTTTTTTACCTTTCGCTTCACAATCAGCGCATATTTTATTGCACTGTTCGCGTAACAAGTCCGTTAATATTCGATGGTGCTGTTCATTTTGCTTTTTCTTATCCCTTTCTGCCCGAGTTGCCATCAAAATGGTCGATTGTCGATTTTCAACAAGGCATCAAATATCCAACTCCAACGCCACGGATCGCAAGTACAGTACTGTAATCGGTTGATTTCCTGTCCTTCGCGCAAGCGTAGTACGCCAGTGACGGTGGGCCTTGGTTCTTGCTACGGATGCAATCCTATCCACCATTGTGGCTACTGACGGCAGGTCTAACTGATACACTGTGGCCTATAGCGGTTGCTGTTGCATCCGTACCAGATCTGATACAGTATGGCAAGAGAAAAAAAAGCGAAAGCTTCAACCCATACGGCTTTTCGTTCCAGTTATCTGTACAACCCTTACAAACCCAATTGTCACCCCTGAAAGTATGTACTGTAGCGAGTTTGGTTTGTACTGTACTGTACTGTACTCTACTCTACTCTACTCTTCTCAGGGGGTGACAATTGGGTTTATACTGTACAAACCCAATTGTCACCCCCTGAAAGTATGTACTGTAGCGAGTTTGGTTTGTACTGTACTGTACTCTACTGTACTGTACTGTACTCTACTCAGGGGTAGTGTATTGTAACCCCACTACGACTAAACATTTAATCCGATTGAAAGTGCTACATAAAATCCGAAATCCGATCCGAAAATCACCCCCTGAAAGTATGTACTGTAGCGAGTTTGGTTTGTACTGTACTCTACAGTACTGTACTGTTACTCTACAGTACTGTACTGTACAGTACTGTACTGTACTCTTCTGTACTCTATTCTACTCTACTCTACTCTTCTACAGTACTGTACTGTACATGTACAGTACTCTACAGTACTCTGCTGTACTCTACTCTACTCAGGGGGTGACAATTGGGTTTGTACTGTACAAACCCAATTTTGTCACCCCCCGAAAGCTTGTACTGTACTGTACACTGTACAGTGTAAAGTACTGTAGTGAGTTTGGTTTGTACTGTACTCTACTCTACTCTACTCTACCTACTCTACTGTACTCAGGGGGTGACAATGGGGTTTATTATACGTACTGTAAAGGGTGTATTGTACAGTGTACAGTGTACAGTGCACAGTGTACAGTGTACAGTACTCCCAAACGATCTCATGTCCATGGGCCATGATGTCAGCCGGGGCTTAGTGCTGACTTCATACAGTACACGCTTACAGTACCGAATGCCTGCAGTGACTGCCCTACTGTACAAGTGTACAGTATATGCAGTACTAACTGACTGTACACTACTGTACATGGGAAAGAAAGCGCCATATTATTCATTGATCCAAGGCGTCTCTGCACTTTCTATGGCTGACAAGATCTCCAGCAATGGATCTCTAGCTACACTATAATAGATTCCCAATTTTGACGTCTCCATTAAATACGGTAAGTACAATATCGATGCATCTACTAGAATATCGACTCACTGAGAGTGATAAGTACACTTGGTGTATTAGTTGTTGCGAATTGGAAATTAACTCAATAGTACACTTGCCTTCAGCTTTTACAAAGTCTTGTTGAATACCACCTGATTGCCATGAAACTCGTAGCATCAGGCACTAAAACTGGTAATTTCTTCGCAATTTGCATCGGTGGATTTTTGGGTGGTGCTGTGGGCTATTACTTCCAGTATCGCATCGAAACTAAAGAAAAGGTATTTGAACTATGAATGAAATGACAGCTCCATTAATTTCATAACATCGGTAATCGTTGAACATGATACGAGTATACGGACGTATCATTCCTGCACCGATTTATTTTAACTGTTTACCTAACATCATTACTCGTACACACTTGAAATACCGAAAATATGGATAAGTCATATTTTGAATTTCACAGCAATCGATTTTGAATATTTTAGAAGCAGATAATAGATGCCCTAGAACAGGAGCTTGCCAAATTGAAAGAAAGAAAGAGAAATCGTGACGCTGATATAACCTAAAATTTATACGATTGTGCAATCTTAACTGTCCTACGCGAAAACCCCTGAAGATAGCCATTGATGATACACTGTTGCTATGCTCGCAAAGACCGTATTGGCATATGACAATTTCTTACTAATAGTTAAGCGATATATCTATAGAGATTGGACCTATATTTATCAAAGATTTCAATGGAACATACACATATAAACTTACTCACGCATGAACTCTATGCCTCAACTCCCCACTCTTACAATATATACCCAGGAAGAAATCTAATTTTGACGGTTATGCCTTATGCGCTTATGACAACCATACCTGCGTTTATATACGTATCATGGCTGTTTCACAATGTACATACAGTAAATACAGAGTATTAACGTAAACATTTTAATTATGATGCTGTACATAAAATTTTTTATGTTATTTCACTGTATGACTGCAATCATCTTGCTTATTAATTAATAAATAAGAAATATTTAACATTCAAATGGATAACGTTTTAGCTTCCAGCTCTTAAATGACTCGTTAAAAAGCATTGAAAATAGCAAAAACTAGTACGTATTCTGTAGACACTTAGCCTCGATGTCTTGGAGAGTCATTTTAATGGCTAAAACCTCAGTCACTCTATGAAAGGCACGTTAAGCCACGGCTAAACCTAGATGCTAAGCCATAAAACTTTACTCCCCTTGACTAAATGCTGACGGCTGCGATAGTCCATTCTTAATATGAATAATCTACCATGTATATATCACGGATTAATAAAATTTTTTAGATCCTTATTTAAAGAATTACTAAGATTCCAAAACTTTTGTTAGCTGCTAATAAAAGTGCAAGGGCTTCTGCTAAAGTTGAATCACCAACGGTAAAGATAGATACGAATTACGGTATACACCTCCATAGCATTTCAGCACCATTCTTAAGCTATAGTTCATTTATTAAAACAATGTTATAAGATACGACATAGCAAATAAAAGCATTTAAGTTACACAACCCATACTATTTATACTGATACAGATGATGGTTTACTACTGCACAGCTTATAAAAAATTAATCTGGAGTATTCTATTTCATCCTGAAAATTTAAGATTTAGTAGTCCTGCTTTAGATGCCACGCTCCAACGTAGACAGGGGCTTTATCGCTATTCTATCAGACTACACTGCTCCAATTTATGCTATAAATATACTAAAATCCGTCAATACTCATAGCACATGCAAATTTGGAGAATAATAGCTACATTATTACGTCATTTTCGCTAACAAGGCTTATTAATTGTATATACCGTATTTATCGTTTATTTATAGCGAAAATATTTATACCTATACTACTCGTATAGTTATCGCAACTCCAGATACTGTATGTCTATAGAATCCACAAGCCGTTAAGCAAGCCTATCCTCTTAAATTACTTCCATGAATATAGGTAGATACTCGATATCAGTCACGGTATGTCAAAATAATTTACATACGGAGATTCCCTTTAGGTTACATTCTGAAATTATTACATCAAGTCGTATAGGTACAAAAAACATTTAATGAAATAAACCTGATTAAAAGGGCGGTAAGCATTAGAGTTAATTTGAATTTAGATCCCAATTGTATGGGAGATACGAAAGCTTTACGCTAGATTTGTTCTCAAGTAGAGTCTGTAACTTGTTGCGTTTGCTACCAGGTCCCGTATGTTCAAATATCCGTTGGATTACCTGCTCATCTGTAGTACCAAAATCAACCCGATACCACTTGAATATTTCACTAACTTTGACCTAAAATAGAATAGAAAGCCCATTTTGGTCGTTAACATCAGACAGGTAAATAACCTACTACTACGTTTGACTTTTCCCCATTAATGACCCATTGGTGAAATAATGCGCTAACTACAAATAGACACTTAATTTCTCTTGTACTTACTTCCTTTTCGCCAATTTGTAAAGCTTCATCGCCTTCGAGAAATGCTTCACCGGCGGATTGAAGCTGCTCATAAATCTCCTAAACACAATAGATCCAAACTAGTATGAGTTATATTAAAAACCAAACTTCGTCACATACAAGTTGTGAACCTCCTCTTGATAGAAGATCTATTCAATACATAAGTCAATACGCAGCATAATTATGCTACATTAATAGTAATGACCTTAGATGAATAAGTTTTGACAGGGGGACAACTACGGGCTCCGCAAACGAGAGCAAAGTGTACTCGCGAGTCTAGCTCCGTAAGTGCTATTGGAAGACGAGGATCATCTTTAGAGAATGGTTTCCTAAAGGATCCCACCGCTTTTCGGTTACCCCGCAGCAGGCCATTTTCGATTTCATTCAGCGTGTAATTATAACCGCCAATCTTGTAGCTGACCGTATTGAAGTACTGAAATACAGTATATTTAAATTTAACGGCAATTAAGCAGCAGGTTGCATAAGTCATTAAAGGTTAATGAAGACGTACGCGATAACGTTGCCATACTGTTACTGGTGGGCCAACGGTAATATTAGCATGTACGATTAGAGCATTGTAAATATTAATAAAGAATGCTAGCTTTTCTTCTTTACTTAAAGTTGCAACGTTAACACGTTGCAATTCTGCAGCAGCTCGTCTATATTCTTGAAATTCTTGGCTTTCTGCAATGCCTTTGTAGTCAATTTTCTAAAGAATATAATAGTCTTAGTTCAGTAATGTATATTATTGCATTCCGTATGTAAATTCTAGACGGGATATTGCGGGATGTACGTACAAGTGTACTATCAGCAGTGTTGAGTATAGTATTACCTTGCCATCATTCGATAAATATTTGCTATATGTTTTCAAAATTAGACGTCTTAAATCTTCTCCTACTTCGGAAGCTATACATATTAAAGTACATGGTCATCAATTTTTGTGTAGTAACGAATTTATTGAATTATCACAAGCAACTAACCTGATCTTGGCTCGCACTCGGAAGTAAATTCCATATTTAAAGCTTTATCGTCATCATCTTCCAAGAATCTATAATAAGAACTACCATTTTCAAATTTTCTATCTCCGTGAATGGGATGGAGGAAGTAACGATCAATTAACTCTTGTCCAAGCTTTAAGGCTTCATCAATATCTAGTAGGTAATAAAATGTTTAACTTTAAGCATATAAGTTTTGTATATTATCATGATTTCTGAAATCTAACCATGACATAGGGACAGCGGGTCATTGCCAGAAATTTATCATAATAGTAAAGATGTATTTACACTACCTATATTCTTATGTTTGGCTAGCCATTCCGTCGCCTCACTACCTATGATAGTTTTTTTATGCCACTTTAAATTTTTCCTGTGATTTGAGACAAGACCACTCTCGCGGAGGGCTTTCGCTAAAACAGCATATTCATCAGGTTCACACTTTATGTCACTGCTGACATCACCTATAATTAAAAGTATCCATGCCAAGGTCAGCGATATTAGTCTTTACCTCCGCCGTTACGAGAATATTCTTTGGATTTTACTTATGTAAATGCGTATTTTATTTTCGAGCGTACAACCTTCTACAGACAGATTATGTGTACAAAACCGTACATCACCTATAGTGTTTGTAATATGCAGTAGTGCAATATTATCGCCATGAATATCTCACTCGCTTTTAACTTAGTACAGTACAGGCAGAGTGAATTCGGTCATGCATGGTTCACTTATTTATTAATGAGCCATTTTCAATACAATTATTTTTCATGTTCATTAACCAAAATGGATGAAAACTTCTTGATTAATGTAATATACGGGAATATGGTTATAACATATACTGTACTTTATTATACAATGTACAGTACTGTAGGATATATGGGTAAATATTAGCCACCAGTTTTAGTGCCATTTGATACTACACAAGCGACAAATCCATGCAGCATCATGAGCAGAAATTTTGCAAAATCAGCAACTAAATCATGATACTTTAAAAAATTGAGGTCAACTGCATACTCGTATTTGTTTCTCCTAAGAGCTAGAATAGACTTACTATACGCTGTAATAACTGAAATTCCTCATTAAGGTTAACTTACTTTGTACGGCAGTCGAGGGATCCGGTATTTGGGGAGCATCTGCGGGAGGTTCATTATTTGTTACCTCATTCACTAATTCTTGCAATCGGTCTTTCTCCTGTACATGAATTAATTAATCAAAATCAAATTGACTATACGTACTGTATTTTAGTAATCTACCGGGTGTAAGCAGAGAGATCAAATAGATTTCTCATAGTTAGAACATAATACAATTTAATACGAGTAGACTCTTACTATCATCCATAAGTACCCTCGAAAAATTAATGAGATGCTGTTGACAGTATTGACTAATGCGAGCAAGATTATCTTTAAGTATTGGCAGATTATCAAGAAATGAAATAAATAATTGATACCAAGGAACTTCGCATCCAAGTTTCAAGTGCAAGAGGTGTAGTGTACAGTACTGCAGATTGAGATATTATTGATTAAAAAATGATACGTAGGTCAAGAAATACGATGATTGTCATTCCGATACCACATCGTAGAATACGTAAGATCGGTAAGACTAAACTAAATGTGGACTGCAAGATCAGGGACTACTAGTCTTAAAATTCTTTCAAGAGATGATTGACGAAATAGCTGGCCTGACTCATCGATTACCGATTAAGCATTGAGAAATCCACCATTTTGAAATAAATTTGTTTTCTTTATGCAAATTGCTACCTGCTGTATGCCAGTTAGATACTGCATAGTATAATACAATAACGTATATTTTAAAATTGCCATCTTATGATACAAGGCAGCTATTTGGCCTATTTCTGCTAACGAAACCACTATCCATGTTTTATAATCATATACTTATATACTGTACGTGTATATTGGGAAGAATACGCAACTGCATTTATTGCACTGAAGAGCTACTTCCAGTCCCGAATTTTACCCTAGAAGTCTCTTTTTTTACTGTACCGTATCTGAAGACATGCTGGAGCCAGTAAAAAAATGTACGCACACCAAATAAGAGCAGTGACTACCGATAGAACCAATTTAAAAATGTAGTTTTCATCAACACGTCTTTGAGGAATGATCAACAATCCAATTACTATTTACTGGGTACTGATACTTGTAATTAATCATTGATATATTTTAGTTTTGGCTTACGTCTGTTTTACGAGTACAGTATACAGTATGATTTTATAGATTTATCAACAGTATGGTATCACTAAAGAAATAGCGATTACTGCCATAAGTTGGCCAGAACTACTGTGCTGTACTTTACTCTGAGTAAGCAGTAACTAGATACTTTAAATGATTCTTATTCAGTACAGTTCACTTCGGCAAGGGTAGGTCAGGGCAAAGAAAATATAGCAATGGCAGGGCTCTGGTACAGTAGTTTTTTTAAACAATTCCAACAACGATTGCATTTAACTATTCAGAAAAAGTAAATTTTCAATTTTCTAAATCATAGTGATGTGGTATAAATTTGCTCAATCATGGTGGTACAAATCGTAAGCTGTACGACTATCGTCTAAAAAGAGAACCATTTACAAGCGCAAAGGCATGTGAAAATCGCCTCAATATTACGCCTACTACTGTACTAGGGCTGTAAGGGGCATCTAGCTAAATGATTGCTCACCAATTTAGAAAATTCATCGTTACCACCGACGTGGATATTATTAAAAAAGATTTGAGGTACAGTACGTCGATTGGTTTTCTCTTCCATTTCTTTCCTTGCTTGCGGATAGTTATCTAAGTTAACATCTACAAAGGGAATTCCCAACTCGTTAAGGGCACTTTTAGCATGCTTGCAATGTGGGCAACCAGTGGTAGAGTAGATGGTAACACGACCTTTCATATTCGTTAGGTTATACATCTTCTTTTTTCGATTCAAAACTGAGCATAAAATCGATAGTGTAAAAGCTGTTATCAAGGAAAATATTATTAATGTTAAATAGTCTAGAGTCGGCGATGGCATCAGTAAACTAGTAGTTGATGACGACAATGATGATATGCATAAATGCATCTATTTAAGTTAATTGATATATTACCAACACATAATGTTCTCATTGTGTTGCCTAGATATTGCAATACAGTATACAAGACAGGATAGTAGTGTATGAAACCGTAATTAACATTTTTTTATTTATTAATTAATTTATACTGATGTTGATGATACAGTATGTAGTGACGATGTATCAAAATTGAATTAATTATACTACGTTATGGAGAATAGAACAGTACTTACTATTCATTGTACCATCCTGTACCTGTTAATGACAGCATACTCATAAACTACTGTAATATGGATATAAAGGGTTAAAAAAAGAATAATAAAGTACTTAGTGTACAGTCTAGTTACCTAGTAGCAGGTAATTTAGCACTGCACCTTTATAAAATTAACCAGTTATGGATGTACAATAAACTGTCGTCCTTTTTCTGGGTTTTTTGTACTTACTATTCATTGTACCATCCTGTACCTGTTAATGACAGTATACTCATAAACCACTGGAATATGGATATAAAGGGTTAAAAGAATAATAAAGTACTTAGTGTACAGTCTAGTTACCTAGTAGCAGGTAATTTAGCACTGCACCTTTATAAAATTAACCAGTTATGGATGTACAATAAACTGTCGTCCTTTTTCTGGGTTTTTTGTACTTACTATTCATTGTACCATCCTGTATCTGTTAATGACAGTATACTCATAAACCACTGGAATATGGATATAAAGGGTTAAAAGAATAATAAAGTACTTAGTGTACAGTCTAGTTACCTAGTAGCAGGTAATTTAGCACTGCACCTTTATAAAACTAACCAGTATGGATGTAAAATAAACTGTAGTCATTTTCATCGCTTTGCTCCTACCTTTCTATGCGCTACTGAAGAGGAGAAGGTAAAGGACGCGACAGTTTATTTTTGCACACTTTCGTTCGTATATACTGTACTCGTACTACATCATGACCTTCCGCTGCTATACTGTACAATGTACAGTGTATATTAGCCCTAGCCATTTGGCATAAATTAATTTGGATACTTCGTTTAATTAAGCTGCCCTACTGATAGTGTACAAAGTAATTGATGCAAAATGGTTACATTATACGTATATGCACCGTAAATAAGTAATATTTCAGTTCGATCAGGTGTAGGAATTTTTAGTTAGGGTCTTTTTCTGCTCTCTGCATTGACATTTTCCACCCATTCACTAACTCATAATCATGATCCATAAATATAATTAAGAAACTTTTATATTAGCACATTCCAATAATAAATAACTCTATTTATTACACCCGTATACTGCATTCTTTGGACCGTAAAATAGTTGCATAGACACAGTACATCTCGTCAATCCAATTACAGCTTCTTTTTGATGGCCGCTTAGTTTGTGCCAACATCCAGCATTAAAGGTAAAAGGCTATCTACGTCTATTCTATCAATATACGAGTAATATTTATTTAAGATAACGATGGCCATATCATCTCTAAGACTTACACTGTATTTAGTACTAACTAAATAAGATGTAGATTATTACCGTAGATAATATGTTAGTGCTTCGTAATACGAGAATATATTACATATAAAAAAAGTTGAATCTTGACTTACAGTTTCAATAATTATATAACTATTTTGCAATTTTCGGTTTGAGGTATAGTTTGCTATTGTCATATTCACATAATAGTCACAATAACAATTATCATACCTAAAATGTGGTATACCTTTTACTGTATAACAGTAAAATCCTTGTAATACCACAGTACGATGAACATACATATACTGCGCGTACAGTATTTCATTCATTAATTATACATAATTGCTTTGATTTGATACAGTAGCAAAACTACAAATCAATGTTAATTAACATGTAATACATATGTACAGTACACATACACATATATATATATATATACATTGCAGTAATAGCCAGGATTTAAGGCTGATTTCACATTATTCACTGTCTTCTACGCATATTGTTATTTCTGATTGATGTTGATGTCATCTTTCCTGGCTATCATAGTTTCTTTTTTTTCTTTTTTTAGACTCTTTCTTCTTTTTTTTCTTGGACTTTCTATAGTCAAATACGGCCCAAATGCAGTTAGTATAGGCGTATCTATCTTACGACAGGCATTACCTGTGCAAGAATAAAACTTATATATGTAGTATATACATATATATATATATATGGTTGCTATACTTTTTTTTCCCGTTACTTGTTTTCTTTCTCTTTCTGTTGTCAACACTGCTGTCTATACTACTGCTGGATGTAAGCGATATCGGAGAAGGAGTAAATTCTTCAGGATATAACTCCTTATATCCGGCATGACCCCACCTGATGAATTAATGAACTAAAATATGTTACAAATCTAATGACTTGTGATTGTGCAACTTCGTTACAGTCAATTGGACAGATAAAACAGTCTATGTATGTTTGATTAATACGGTACCGTCGATAGTCTTTTTATCGCAACAAAAAGTGAACGATTTACCTGTCAGGATCTGCTTCTTCAACATTGAGTAACTGCTTTGTCCAATACGTACTTTCAGGCTTAGCTATTTTGCTCCTCTTTGGACGTTCTGAATCCCTGTTAAAAGTTTCGTATAATTTACTCCTATTTTAGAGCAAACACTCAATTCTAAGTGTCGCTATGCAAGAGTTATTCATCTACTCGTATAAACACAATATTGTATTGCCTATTCTAACAGAGTGGGTAAGATAAAATGTACATATACAATAGACCCGCGTTGCACTATCAATCTAGTGTTGTGATTGCAAATTGAAATCGAATTCTTACCTTTTCCGCTTAGTGCTATCCTTCGATTTTACTTTACTGCTAACCTTGTGCTGCCGCCACATTTCATTTACTTCTTGGACCTGCAAGAAAGCAATGCAATGTAGGTAAATTAATTTTAGTAAGCATGAGCGTAGGTAGCAGTTACTACAGTAAAAATTTTGTGATACACGTCCATACTCGTCTATTCCATATACGTACTGTTTTCTTTCCATGACAGTATCATTACTTTACAAGACACATACTATTGCAGCAACATAATCTTAATTAATAATTACTTTCGTCAAGAGGTTAAGAAAGATACTTATTGTAAAATGCAAGCTAGCAAGATAATGGATCGCATAGTACATAGAAACAGTAAAATAGGAATCGTCACAGCATTACCACAATCCAGTAGGTACTCCCTTATCTGCATTGCTCAATTTTGCAGACACGCTAGGTAAATACTGTGCTGTACGAGTACATTAGGTCTACATCAGATTTTACGCCATGGCATAGCAGCGAGCTTAATTGTTCTTACTACCAACTGTAGTGAATTTTAATTTTGTCATATTAATGGGATAGGGATGAATTCGAATAGATTTATCCTGAAGCTATAGCATATGAGCAATCCACAATCCGTCTAACCTTGTTATGAGCTTCAGTATGCTTGATGACATTCTTAAACAGTGACTTATTCACGCTGACTTTCAAAATATTGCTGCTGCTACTGGATGGTTGATCGGCCATATTGTTAGCAGCTCAAGAATACGTCTAATTGAGACAAGCTCTTCAAAAATAAATACAGTAAGGTAGCTACTTTGGTAGGCCGTAGGGTAAAAGCAAAATCAAAATTTAAATTCTTATTAATTTCCATAGAAGGCCGCCAAGATCCTGTGCTACCTATTGAAATGGAATTAACTGTAAATTTAATTCATTACAATAGAATGTGAAGTCACGCTCTTACGTTGGAAACAGATTTTTGCACAAGCGCAGACGCTACATGTCGCGACTACACATGCTCACGGTGCGCGTAAAAGGCACAGTAGTGTACTGTACAGTGTACAGTACAATTGTGATACTGTAGTGATTGTACTGTACGGACTGTACTGTGTACTGCAGTGTGAACCAGTTCGAATCAGAGTACTTTAAGGTGCCCTAAAATCACGAGAGTGAATAGAAATGTGATAAAATTATACGAATATAAAGCTGAATAACTATGTATAGAATTGTAGGCAAATTTTGCAGCTTTGCTACAATTAATTTTGCCCAATAGCACTCTAAAGAGAACTGGCTCATATCGTACCGTATAGGTCTGCAGGAGAAAAGTGAAAGAATTTTTCCAATGTACTGTACAGTACAGTACCGTACAGTATACTGCATGTCGTTTCACGAATACAGTAGTGTACTGTACATACAGTACAGTACAGTAATGTGTACTGTTCACCCAAAATCACCGAATCCTCTAGCCGGTTGTTGCCTAACAGTGTACAGTGTACAGTACATACTAAACTCTTATCACTGTACACTGTGTTGTACTCTACCTCCACAATCCGTAAAATACGTTGGAAACAGATTCTCGCACAAGCGCAGACGCTACATGTCACGACTACACATGCTCACGGTGCGCTTAAAGACACTGTAGTCTACAGTACTCTACACCCAAAATCGCCGAATCCTCTAGCCGGTTGTTGCCCAACACTACGGTGTGAGCCAGTTCTAAACTCTTATCACTGTACTGTACAGTACTCTACCTAAACAGTCCGTAAAATACTCCAGTGTAGTCAAGCAAAACCACTTTTGCCTTTGGCCTGTTAGGTACAAGTTGAAATCTAGTTCTGGCAGCAAAAGTGAATTCGAAATTGATACTGTGAAGTGAAAGATACTAAATTCAACCACCTTGAAAGAAATGAAACCCGAAGAAAGCTCGGAATTTCGATTCCAACGATGTTCTGCTGCATTACTGGATGACAGTCTTCAGTTGTTGAATAATTTTCAACAGGAAAATTTAATTATAGTGTTCCAACTTCGTAGGCCAGTATGTAACGTACGCTTGCTGCAAGGTAGGTCGAGTTGGCTATTAATGTTTCAAGACGAAGTACCGCTTGTAGTCTTCTTCAATACTGTATACTCTACGTATGTTGGCTTTATAGGATGCGATAATCTAGGAATCGATCCTAACCTCTACATTGCGTTTTTTTTTTCCATTACGGTATTCTCTTACAGCAATTTCAAAACGTAGCGTCAAAAGTTATTTATTCAAAATATTTTCTATTTTCTATTACTGTATTAGCAGTCAATGTCTACTTGATACTTGAAATCATTTACAGTAATTTGTTAATTTGATTTCGCATCTCATAGTTCGTCGATAAAGCAATGTCACTCGACAGTACAGTTGTAATACTGTATATTGTGCTAACGTATTTCTTTTCCAAATTCTATATTACAACAGATGAGCAAATTTTAAAGGAGCTTCAATTTGATTCAAAAAGTGTCATGTCGCGTATAAGCAGTGCCACCTTCTCTATAACCGTTAGCAATGATAATATGTTATTATTACACTTTACAAAGACTGAAGGTAAAAATGATCATCTTAATTCAATAAGCTATGTTAATGTAATATCGTATAGCAACGACACTTCAAATTATAATTGTTGTACATAGAATACTAGAAAGGAGTTATGATTAGTCAAATCAGGATTTGATTTTCAATACAATGAGCAACGACACGAAACAATACGAAGAATATTGTCCCCAGTCCTACTGCTTAACTTCTTAAACTATTATTCTACAATAAGCTATCTTGCATGATTGAGTTAGTAATGGATGAAGTAACGTATCTCAACTCAATTCTATGCCTTCCCTGTACTGATACAATCTACCATAGCCTACTGTCAATTTTAACCTGAACCAATTGAAGTGATATTAGAGTGTATCTAGCTTCCAACAGTCATTGGTACAGTAACTTGACATTACAATACTGTGATTACAATTTCATTCTCCAATAGGATATTGACTTGAATGAATTACTATACTACCTTGTATGCATTGTTATTGTTTAATGTTGTATGGAGAATTGAAAATAACTTGTTAACTATAGTACCATTAAGAGAAGAAACTGTTCATCAAAAATCTCAATAATTCATTGATTAATAACAAGTCGGTGAATACAGTTTTTAGATTCCTGTACGACCGTTTTCTATCTACAATTGTACATTGTATCCATTGGCGCCGACTATAAAATGACTGCACACTCAATACAGCACAGTACTTTACTGTATCCAGTATGATACTGAATATTATTTATTAAATTTATTGTAAAATACCGCACCGATAAACGCCATTTGAATAGTATATAGTATAACATATATATGTTAATCGGGAAAAGGCAGTACCAGGAAAATCTAGCCTGATTCGACATTTTCCCGTAACATATACAATAGTATTTGGCGACTAGACAATGCTCATGTCAGCATGCAAATAGGATACATTCCAAATCTTACAAAACCAATTTTGATCAACTAATCAGTATACTAATTCGAAACTAGTGACTGTTCAGTATTGACACAAATGTAGTTATTAAAAAACATATGTAAATTACATTTTATGATTTGAATAATTATTATTGGTAAATTTTATTTAATTAGTAGTTCTGAGAACTTTGGTAGACAGTAATAGCTATACTGTACTGTACACGCACAGTAAAGTACCAATACTATGATGTGTACAGTATACATAAATGTTGTAATGGTATCTTGCATTGTATTACCGTTACGCGTAAATTATCATGAAATGAGTTATACTTCCTCGTTGGCTCCAGTCATGTTGCATACAGTTCTTTATATATTTCGAAAATGTGAATATTAGGATAGTTGAAACAAGTTGTACAAACAATTCTATGCAAAATAACTGTATTATTCCTCATGAGTAATGAAGTCATACAATATCGGTGGTATGGACTACTCAATGTTATTATTACGGTATCATGCTAAAGAATATTACTAGAGAAAAATTAGTCATTAAAGCTATTTTTTAGGTGGCAATTATATCGTACTTTGAAGAATGAGAATAGCACAATAAGCGTCAAAAGATGCCCGCATTCATAGCTATCTAATAACCCATATTAAGCTGACAAAGTTAGTATGCTTACTTTGGCAGAGTAATATGAAACTAGCCATGATAGTGCATGGCTGTAACAGTATGCCTTCATCTTACATGCATTATTTCATTTTGAGCTTTTGAGTACATTGCTTATAGAAATATCCCACATACTTGTAATTATGTTGATCGGTGACTACTGTTATCAACAAATAATCTCATGTTTTAATACAGCATTCTTAAAACGTTTTAGTGAAGCAATTTTGATGATTAATAAACAACTTAAGGTGTAGCTTGAATCTGCCGTATAAATATATACGGTACTAGAACCGTTATGTAATATAACTTGGCATTCTCGACTAAATATAGATTAACTTTATGAGCCAGGTTGTGCTACTACTGCACATTTTAATGCCTAATAGTAATAATGCTATTTCTAGTCATCTCTGTAGCTCAAAGACCAATAGTGTATTTCCAAAATCAAATCTCGCAACTATTTAAAATCAATTTAACCGTCTAATAGAATGGATTGTTATATACGTATTAGTGGTATCGTTTGCTACCAGGTTGTGAGCTAATTAGCGTTCCATTGGTACAGTAGAATGATTCACGTTGTAGTTTTCCTTCAAAATAAGCTTTAACCTGCAGTTACGTAGATGCTTTCATTGTCAATCCATCAACTGCGTTAATTGTAAAATACCTACGCTTCATTCTAGTTACCATACTTAACAAATATATGATTACATTATCTTCTCTTACTAATTGCCCTCAAAAATTCTACAAATGACTAGCTATCGTTAATAGGTATTGCTGTAGTATTACTAACATGGATGATGGTTATCTTTATCTTTTAATCTAGATTGTTGTGGTTTAATGAAAGCTATAAGTCAATTCTTTCAAGTCAAAGTTGGAAACAATCAGCCTTTATCTATATTTGATAGTAGAACAGAGGAATCATCCGCTGTGCAATACTTTCAAGTAAGTACCTGGCAAAAGTAATCAATACGTATGATACTACGGTATGATGAATATGATATTACGCTGGTCTGTTATATGTAACTTATGAAGTACAACCTGTTAATGAAGTAAGTCATAAATAGTACAATCAATCTTAAGGCAGTCAAACATGCTTTAAAAATTAGATAGGCACTTTAAAAATTAATTCAGCTTAGTTACATTGTGCGTATCCTTTCTATAATCCATTCACTCTTTATTAACTATTATTTCTAAGCTTCGTAAATTGACTTCAACGTAACATACGTATATAGCAAACACTGATCTTTCTTCCGTTGCTCTTATCGCACTGAAATCCATAGATTCTATATTGTAAACTGAAATTATTTTTGTCTTTTTCACAATGCAGTAGTTCAAAAAATTTATATAATATACTTTAACTAATAACTTTATTAAAAAGGCTTAACTTCTACTGTCCTAGTTTTATGGATATTTAGCCCAGCAACAAAACATGATGCAAGATTATATCAGAACATCAACTTATCAACGCGCGATATTGCAAAACTCAATTGATTTTCAAAATAAGGTAATTAGTGCGATTAGTGCTTGCCTACATGTTTGGTTAGGTTTCAACATTTGACCATTTTTATTGATATGGAGTTGCTACTATTTATACACAATTTTTCTAGATTTAACCTATGCGATAAACATGTACACTGTACAGTAATCAAATGTAATGCACTTCTATATAGTAAATAATGAAGTCATGATTCATGTACTGTACACGTAAACTCACTTGGATAAATGGCGGTGTTGCAATACTGTAGGTTGTGCTAGATGTTGGTGCTGGCTCTGGTATTTTATCGTTTTTTGCCGTACAGGCTGGCGCTCGTAAAGTTTATGCTGTGGAAGCTAGTTCCATTGCAATTCATGCGGAGGTATATTAGATATTTTGGGGGTTTTATAATAATTATTGTAATATATATGCGAAAGAATGAGTTTTACTTTTAAATAGCTATGCCTATAGAGAGAGAGAATTCGATTTTATTTTGGGTAAAACGTTATAATTTTATGATCTGTAGTAAATTATTTGATCCTTGCAGAATTTGATCCATTCCAATCAACTGTCACCGAAAATACAAATAGTAAAGGGCAGAATAGAAGAGGTGCAGTATGACGTACTACCTATGCAGCATAATAAAAGTGGTTCTACAATTAAAATTGCTAATACTATCAATATTAAACAATTATAGAATGATATAGTAAAAAAGTATTAATTCTTAATTTTACGCCGTAATCATCGGTATTCACATATTTTTAATTGGTATAGATTGAAATTCCGGAGCCAATAGATATGATCATTTCAGAGCCAATGGGTTACATGCTTTTTAACGAAAGAATGTTGGAAACTTTTTTACACGCTAAGAAATGGTTAAAATCTGACGGTAAAAGCCAGTTAAAATTATTGATGAATATTCCTTGTTATGCATAACCAATATTGCCTATCATTGGCAGGTCTTATCTTTCCAACAATTGCGAACCTTTATTTCGCACCATTCAGCGATGAATCTTTGTACATAGAGCAGTCTTGTAAAGCCAATTTCTGGTTAATATTTTGTATTGTACCATAACATTTCATGTTTACTATATCAAGATAGCGACACAAATCGTACATGTACTAAAATTAATTGATTCTGTGCTATTTCTGTATATTAATTTACAGGCATCAGAGAGCATTTTATGGAATAGATTTAACAAGCCTACAACAAACAGCGCTATCAGAGATTTTCAGACAACCTATTGTTGTATGTACTCATATCTTTTGTAAATATTCTGTTCGATGAAATCTTCAACATAAGTACATTATGATATAAACCGTTGATCAACTTATTTTAAATACATCTGTATTACATGCAATATTTTTTGAATAGAAGTAATGACAGTCGACATCATCCTAAATTACGAACCTTCATCATAAATTTTATATAAAATTTTGTGTAGGATACCTTTGATGTTCGTCTGCTGCTATCAAGGCCGTCATGTTATACAACCGATTTTCGAACAACTGATGAAACTGATTTACATAACATCCATATCCCTTACAGTATAAGTATTGTAACAACTGGAATTATGCATGGACTAGCATTCTGGTTCGATGTTGAGTTCGCTGGCTCTGCAACATCTATTTGGTTGTCCACTGCGCCGCATGAACCTCTTACTCATTGGTACCAGGTGATTGAAGTTAATTCTCGTAATTGAATACTCGAACTTTACTCCTATTGTTTATTGTAGATATGCATACACGTATATTACAAACTTGATATTTATACTTTATCGATAAATTCATATACAGGTCCGTTGTCTTTTTCGGTCACCTTTATTTGTTAGAGCAGGAGACGTTATAACCGGGCATATAAGTATGGTTGCAAACACAAGGTATTGGTGTTTGTAAGAGTGTATATATACACTTTTAAATTACAGATCAACATATTATTCATTACTTGCTTATTTTATACCCCTTTAGGCAAAGCTATGACGTAGAAATCATGACTGTATTGCAAAGTACAGGCGTTAAAACAGTAGCGGAAGTTGACCTCAAGAATCCATACTTTAGGTATTCTCTAGGTCAGCCCTATGTACCACCTGGAAGTAATAAAACTTCACCTACAGAGTCTTACTGGTCTCAATCCTATGGTACCCAAGATGATGACGCAAATAATATTAGTGACATGCCTTATGATAACACTAATAGAGTTATGCAACCATCTGAAAGCAATTGGAATAGATATATGCCCGAGCAGAGTACAGACTATGATATAAATGCAATAAGTACGTACAGTGAACCAATGGCTCAAGCTGTTGCTGAGACTAAACCTGGAAAGCAAGATCCTCGAGCTGAAAATTTATCGCCAAGACCGGGACATACTTCTTATGTATCTGCTGATCATAATCAAAATGCTGCATATGTACCTCCCGGTTCTCGGACGGATAACTGTACAAAGTCCTCAGGAATGTATTCTGTTTAAATTTTATCTTGAATCTTAAGTTATTTTTATCGAATTGACTTCATGTTAAACGGGAAATTAGGAAAGATGTAACTGCAACTGTTATAGACTTCTACACTAAATCAAAGTTTTCTTTATAAGGAGTAGCATACTCTTATGCAAATCTATAATTACGCAGTATGACATAGTAATTGTAAAATTAAATTTTGTTTGGCTAGAATGGTAATATGCAAAATTTATTCTATTTCATGATGAAATGAGATTTGTATGATGTTATAATTGACACTATTGATTGGATAGTTGGTTAGCTTTCTGTTAATGGATTATGAAAATCATTCGATAAAAATTTTAAGACCGTTTAAGGAGTTAGAACTTTTGTTCGTTGTAACTCTTATTACTTCTCCTTAAGTAGACTTTTTACAATTATATTATGGTGTTACTGTATATGCGTAAGAGAGTGAATTTGTCAGTTATTAAGATTTTGAATTACGAAATTGACGCTGCTGCTAATGCTTTCTGCCACAAGTATTAAAGATAGGGTCTACAATGATATTATTCTCATCCAGTACCTAACTCAATTTTAAGGTACACAATTTTGAGTGGTTTTATAATTTCTTGGTAGCTATACGAGCATAGGTCATAAGAATAAATCTAAATGAATGTTAAAAAATATTCTTTAATTTGAATAATTTCTATGATTCAAGCATACGTAGGTCCTGCATCAATACAGTATTACGAATTTAATTTAATCAGATTTCAGTGGTCTCACAATCTTGACATTGAAATAGTGTCTACATAGTAGATTAAAAAGTAAAGAAAATATAACTTCATACAGACCTTTTCATACTTCGTAATTTATCTGATATTTCACAACATGATAATTTAGGCATACTGACATTTTTTACATACTAATACGGATTTAGAAAACATCATTATACAGTATTAATTCGACAATTAGAAAATAATATCAACAAGTAGGATTTCATGAACAAAGATCATATTATACATGTAAACAAATACCTTTTTTAGTGATTGATTATTGTGAAATTCATTAATCAATCAAGTGGATCGAAATATAAAAGCCTCTATAATACTGTAGTTTATACTGGCACTCCTAGATTAGAACGGTACGATTATATGACTATATTATAAATCACTACAAGATTTTATTATCTTGATTATTTCTCAACATGGTCGTTTGTTACAGATGTAAAGACAACTAATCTGAGGTTTTTCCAATCAGAAAGCAATCACAGTAAATTATAATATGCGTGACTTCATTATATTGGTATTGTGCTAACTAGAAAAAAACTTTTTATGATGATATTGCGGATACATTGCTATGTTTATGGGACATCGCAGTAGGTAGAGCTATTCCCACTATCGTTAGACTAAAAACGGCAATAGTATAAACAGCAGAAAGGTGAACCATTTTACGCCCACTTAAAATAGTCGAATAAGGAGTATCCCAGGGTGGTTGATATGTAACAGCATCTTGTTCGTGTTGGTTATCACTCTGATCTAGTTCCTCATTATCGTCATTTACACTTTTACTTGTAGCTGGACTTCTGTCCCAAGGCTTTTTTCTGCGATCATACTGCAAATTTTTAAAGGCAGTTTTATACTGACGGCGTGAATAATATTGCAAGATGATAGGAAAGGCGTAAGAAATCAGAAATCCTAGTAATCCAGCATACTTTAGCACAGCAACTAAACTTTCAACAAACAAACCACCAATGATAGGTAACGCCGCCGCAATCAAGCGCATACTCACGCGTTTTAGCCGAGGATAGCGCATGTTAGTAACAGTAGTTGTATCACCACCATAAAGGACTGTGAAGATGTTATTACCAAGAGTAACAGCCACCATAGGAAATACAGATACAACATCTAGCGAAGGGAAGAATACTACCAAGTATGACATAACACGTAGAGAAGTAGGATTACCAGGTTTCGTGAAATCACTCTTTGATAACGCAAAAAAGGAAACAAAGTATTATTAAACTGCTAGCATCTCTACGTGTAAATTAATTTAAAATCATACAACTTTTCTAGTTGTATAAACTATAATACATAAGAGGATGCTATAGAAACTTTATCATATAATGCAGGTAAAACAATCATAAGACAAGTCTGATAACTTAGAGTAGATTATTTGGTATATGTTATCGTTTATTAGGTATATTTATGGCTCGCAAACATAACCATTCTGGATTCATAAAACGCGATGATAAATTATGAAAGACAAAGAGCAAAAAATCCTCTACTCGATTAGATTGTAATAAGTTTGAAATCAGGAAATACAAATCATAATACAAGGCCTCAAATTTAAACTGAAGAGTAAAATATTGTCTTATAATTTACTCCGTTTTTAATTCAAATTTAATTCAATCTTATGGTTTAACTCACCCAATTTAGTGTTGATATTTGCGAGACCTTATCACCAAAACGATAGGAAATAACAATACCAAGAAATGTGTACAAAGTATACATTGTAAGAAAGACAGCAACAACCATGGTTCGCAAGTGTTGCTTTCGTGTTACAGGCTCAATCAATATAGGGATACCTTGATGGAGAACTTGAGCATAAACGAAGACAGGTATAGCTTGTACCCAAGCACGAAAGTTGTAGTACAACGGATTTGTATAGCTGTATGTCAAAGTAGTGTATGGTTGATCGTGTTTGCTGTCCATGAGCTCAAAGTGGCTAACATTACTAAATGGAATTTGCTTATTTTCCTTGCTTGTAAGATCAGCAACTGAATTAAAACACATAAAGAGTACTACGACAAATCGTAATATACCCATAATAATTTGAATGATCTTTTGTTCTGTAACTTCTAAGCAAGAAAGCGATAATACAATAACGGCAAAAATGCCAGCACATAACCTATAACTATTTAGGCAACCACCAGCCTCAGGTATTATTCGATCCTGAAAATCTTCTTGTGTACATTGACGTAGACTTGATCCATTACCAAAAGGAATGTTTGAAGACCATGTGCTAGCTGCGACCGTAGTAAACGACCAACAAGCCAACGCCAAGTAAACGAACAGAACAAGCATATATACGATCTTCGCTTTATCGCCTAAGAACAAATTGCATAACTCGGTAATTTCGAATTTTCTGCGACTCATTTGACCATAACTAATAATGTTGTTATTCGTAGTGTTATTGGGATACTGTTCGATAGAATCATAACTAGCTTGACAGTCTTCAGCATTGATTAATTTTTTGGTAACTTCCTCCTCCTGGGCGCTCGATGTACGCTCTATCGCCTAATTAAAAGGGAAAATACAGCCAAAAGATACTATTACTGAGATGAAGTTAACGTCAAATGACTTATAAAGAATATGTACGTCTAATAATAAGTACAGTAGCGTAGTATACGACTGATCTTCATACAGTACTATGTATATATATATATATATATATATGCTTGTATACTGTACAGTATACGCGTATATGTTTATACATTGTATATGAAGTTGATTAATAGAATCGAATCCTATCTAATGTAAGCGGGAATCCAATTCAATCAATAAATTCAAGCTGATATAATGTGAGTGAGTCAGTAATAACATGTAAAATAAAAGGTATAATTATTACAGTTGGTACATTATAGCACGCGAAGTACGTAGAGTAAGTGAAGAATCGATTAGTAGTTCATAATGTATAATAATGATGAAAGGTTCATCCAAAACTGGATTGGAAAAAAACTACAACTTGATCCATTTGGCGTCCAGAATAACAATTATATATAACTATACAGTATACTATCGTACTTTATAGCAAGGGAAACAGATATTAGCACAACTTAAGCATTTCTATCGATGTACCTGTGCTCTTGAAATGGTTTCTAAAGTCCAGATCGAAGTCAAACAGCTAAAAAATGAGATTGTTAATAAAGTCAAACATCCAGCTATGGTTCCTCCATGATGTATTACGTAGGGTATACCCAGAAATCCAGTGCCAAGGATATAATTAACAAGATACAAATAGCCAATAAAAACACCGTAATTACTAGCTTCTTCAGCTGGCATCTTCTTTCCTCTTTTGCTTTACTATAATAATGACTTTTAACTGTGATAACACATTAGCAAGGCAATACTACTCTACCTTGATCTTGTTTTCAAGATTGAGCTTTTGGGATAACAAGATTGAATTTGGATTACAATAGCAATTTACAGTGAACACTACACTGTAGACTGTACTGTACTGTACAGTACTGTACTTCACTGTACTGTACAGTATATTACAGTATTATACAGTAGAATACTGTATTGAAAAATTGCTATCACGTGAATGGGCGTTTTGACCATAATACTACAAGTACAGTGTACAGTTCTGTAGGAAGCTGCGCTTACGTCATAGCAAAATATGAATCAACATTCAAATCTCCTGTATTCCCTATTTCCATGGAAAGTGGCATATTGGACAATTTAATGGTCTATCGGTTACGCTGTCGACGATACTGTAGGAGTTTCTTTTCTAAGTACCTGTAGATCAGTTGCGCATACAGTACGTCATAGCAAAATATGAACCAACATTTAAAGCAACTGTATTCCATATTTCCATGCAAATTGGCATATTGGACAATTTAATGGTCTATCGGTTACGCTGTCGACGATACTGTAGGAGTTTCTTTTCTAAGTACCTGTAGATCAGCTGCGCTTAGGTCATAGCAAAATATGAACCAACATTTAAAAGTACTGTATTCCATATTTCCATGGAAATTGGCATATTGGACAATTTAGTGGTCTATCGGTTACGCTTGCGTCATAGCAAAATATGAATCAACATTCAAATCTACTGGATTCCATATTTCCATGGAAATTGGCATATTGGACAATTTAGTGGTCTATCGGTTACGCTTGCGTCATAGCAAAATATGAATCAACATTCAAATCTACTGTATTCCATATTTCCATGGAAAGTGGCATATTGGACAATTTAATGGTCTATCGGTTACGCTGTCGGTGATACTGTAGGAGTTCCTTTTCTAAGTACCTGTAGATCAGTTGCGCTTACGTCATAGCAAAATATGAACCAATATTTAAAAGTACTGTATTCCATATTTCCATGGAAAGTGGCATATTGGACAATTTAGTGGTCTATCGGTTACGCTTGCTTCATAGCAAAATATGAACCAACATTTAAAACTACTGTGTTCTATATTTCCATGGAAATTGGCATATTGGACAATTTAGTGGTCTATCGGTTACGCTTGCGTTATAGCAAAATATGAACCAACGTTTAAAACTACTGTATTCCATATTTCCATGGAAAGTGGCAAATTGGACAATTTAGTGGTCTATCGGTTACGCTGTCGGTGATACTGTAGGAGTTCCTTTTGTAAGTATCTGTAGATCAGTGAAAAAGTTTTAACTGCAGGTTGCTGGAGTTTCGGAATGTAAACTTGGCTTAAATTGTCTTGGCAAGGGTATGTGGCGCAAAACCCCGACTAAAATCAAAGTATCGGCATGCTTTGACATTAATATTGTCTAGACTCTTTGTAAGCATGCTGAGAAGGGGTAAAAATCTTAACAGCTGAATGTAAACTTTCTTATAGAATAAATACCGCATCTGTAATTTATTTGAATAATTATCATTCATCTCCTTGCTTTGTACAGCTACTTACTGTTGGGATTAGAGACTATAGAACTAGGATATTTTAGAACTGAGTAACCCATAAACGTTAACAGCACGGTATCGATTGAAGCTTATAAAAATAGTTTGCATCCTAGACTGCTCAAATTACTGTTGTACGGGTATTGGAACTAGCTAAAATCAAGGACTGAGTGAGTAACATAATCATTTACATGAATTTGGCAAGGACTTTGTTGTAAGGGTTTCGGGCTTTCAGGTGCCAGTGAAAGCCTCTTAACAGCTAGATGATAGAGTACAAATTTTCGTACTAATTCCATAATATGCACATGTATGCGTATTAGTCAAAGCAATAAACGACTTGATTTTACGCTCAGGAGTACTTAAGATAATCAAGCTGTGAATTTTCTTTTAATATATTGCTTAGTGCAGATTATGTTCCCGTTCATTTAAACTGGTAATTTACTAAGTATTATAAAGATTTGTGGGTATTGAATAGCTATAGACTGTTAATAATATAATTGTTCATTATATTATATATATTATTGCAGAATAAATATCCTTATTTCAAGTAATTACTTTCTAGCTATCTAATGCGTATACATATGCAACACATTATGTAAGAAAAAAAATTATATTTTTTATTATAATGTTTCAGATTCATTCATAAACGATTTAGTAGACGTAGAAAAATTATGAAATAAAATAAAAAAATTTAATTCATGTTGACTGTAAAATTTGACTTGTAAACTTTTATCTTGTTCTACTATAGTATCATGCTCATGTTGCACGCAATATCTACACCAGTGGTATGAAGTCAGTGGTAAAATTCAGTCTTTGCATACGCATATACATTGAGGCAATTGAGTTTCCTTACATTTTTGAATTACTTTTGAACGTACAGCAAACATATAATTCTATTGTAATTTATCATTCGAACCAGCTAGAAATCACACACTTAAACAGCTAATTCATAGTACTCTTATAAATACAGGGAAAACGCAGCAATAACAAGTAAAGTTTTCAGATCAGAACTTATAATCTAATATATGCGTATAGCTAAAATATTTCTAAAATCTCGAAAAACCTTTTCGCAACAATTAAAAATCTAATTGAAACGTTCACGGTCGGGTCAGTATTCTAATAGCCATAGTCAATATCCGTCATATCTAGATGAGTTCTATTGGCGTGGCTAGAACCACCTGATGACATCACGATACCGGCAATAGTGAAACCAAAAGCCGTTAAAGCATATATTAAAGTGACGAAAAGAGTTTTCTTTCCACTAAACCATGACGAGTAGGGCGTATCCATAGGCTTATTGTACACTAAGTTAGTGTGTTCTACTTGATTTTCTTCAACAACTTCTTCCGTACTTGCCTGATAACGGGCACTCCAGTTATCGACAAATTTAAGCCTATACATACGACGAGAAAAAAACTGAAGTCCAATAGGCATGAAGTAGCAAACGAAGAAACCAAGGAGACCGGCCCAGCGTAGAATTGTGACTAAACTTTCAACAAAGAATGCACATGTTATCGGTACAACGCTTACAAATAGTCGAAGTACAATTTGCTTCATTCGTGAATGAGAAACTGCTTCCAATTCTGTTGTGTCGTAGCCAGTTAAAGCAGCGTAAATATTATTTGACAGTGCTATTGCACTTAAAGGAAAGGCAGATAAGACGTCAAGAGATGGGAAGAAAATAACAATATAAGACATTACTCGAAGTGAAGTAGGATTTCCTTCTTTGCTAAATTGAATCCAATTTAATGTTGCAATTTGAGCTACACTTCCTTGGAATCGGATTGATATTGTAATACCGATAAATATATAAATGAAACCCATTATGCAAAAAACGCCAACTATGAGACGGTGTAAATTTCTTTTATCGGCTACTGGCTCAAGCATAGATGGTAATCCTAAATGCATTAGTTCAGCATAAACAAATATTGGTATAGCCTGTAGCCAACCTTCAAAGCTATAAAAAACTGGATTTGCATTACTTAACGTTGTGTTATAGTCTGGAAGATTGTTCATTTGACCAATATCTACCGAGTTGCCAACTGAATGACTATTGCCATGAGCTACAGCGTATGCATATAGAGAATTGATACACATGAAAGTTACTACAAAAAATCTTAAAAGTCCCATTATTATCTGGATAATTTTCTGTTCGGTTAATTCTAAGCAGCTCAATATTATTACCAAAACACCATAAATGCCAACACATAATCGATAGCTATTTAAACATCCCAATTCTGTTGGAATTACATTATCTGCGAAATCTTCCGGTGTACACTGACGTAGAGTGGTAGTATTACCGAAAGGGATATTTGAAGACCATGTACTAGCAGCAACTGTGGTGAAAGACCATGATGCTAAGGTAATTTGTACGTAGACGATGAGTAAGCATAGTAACTTTACATTCTTTCCAAAAAAGCAGCCGCATAGCTCAGTTATTTCGAACTTTCTTCTTGATAAGAAACTTAAACTTCTAACGTCGTTTGATAATTTCGAATCGATTGTAGAATAATTCGGTTTTTCATCATCGATTAATCTTCTACTTGAATCTTCTTCAGAGTGCTTTTCGAGTGCCTTATAAATAGAATGGGTTAAAATTAGAATAAAGACTCCTGTATGCAAGCTGTTATCACGCTCTGATTTACTCCTTGATATTTTCAATGTTATGTGAGCTCTACAATACGCTCATAATAGGTTAAAATTAGAATAAAGACTCCTCTATGCAAGCTGTAATCACTCTCTGATTTACTCCTTGATGTTTTCAATATTATGTGAGCTCTACAATACGCTCATATCTTATTCGCTTAGAAGTAAATTCAATGGAAAAGATTTATCTAAGCGTATGAATCATGTTAAAATCATAATATGTGATCCTTATTGCTGTTAGCTAAAAGCATACACATATACCTCAATCATCATCGCTAATAAATTTATAGTACCACTTGCGAATACTAATAGCATACACATATACCTCAATCATCATCGCTAATCAATTTGTAGTACCACCTGCGAATACGTAAGGCGTAATGCTAATTTCATCCGATACATATAAAGTAGTCTATATTGACAAGACTTACATAAGCTCTAGCCATACTTTCAATTATCCACAGAGCTCCGAAGCAGTTAAAGACGGTTATTACCATCAACGTAAATGTGCAAGAAATTATCCCACTGTGGTACATAACATACGGGATGCCAAGAAATCCAGTACCAAGGATATAATTGACTAAAAAGAAGAAAGCAGTATAGCTGCTATAGGAAGACTTGGGTTTTGCAGAGACTTCTTCAGCCATGATGATTTTTAAAATAACTGTGTACTGTACTGTAGATGAAGCTCGCTTTACAAAACGCTTTTAAGTCGATAACTACCAGTAGATATTTGCAATTAACAATATTTTCTAGCTGCAAAGCACTGTATGATATAGTGTGTTCTAGAATGGGAATGATTCGTCTACTTAGTTCTGTATTATTCTATTATACACTAGTACAAGCGTGTTACGGTCAATGATTTTTTTTTTTTTTTTAAACGTTAACAACTACGTCAACGATTAATTGACTGACGGCTACTTAACTATAACTAGTTCAGATATAATTGTTATTCTTCCTATACCAGAATCTCAATACCGATGTATCTCCACAGTGTTGAAGCTATTACTTGCTGGCAGTACCGCACAGTATATAGCAAACAGTACCGATTGACAAAATAAAACTAACAGTAAATTAAAGTATTTAACTGTAACCTACTGTATAATTATTAACAAACAAATACTATTCTGTATAATTAAATCGGGTAATTACTATGATTAGCGTGGATAACATCAGTTAAGTTGACAGTACAGCCCAGTACATTAATTAATAACTAGCTAACGGTATGTGGAGTATCAGTGATACCATCCGTACTGTACTGTACTGTACAGACTTCTATACGCTGTCATCGTCACATGATTGTACTCTGCTGAGAGTACATTGTATAGTTTATCGTTGATGTAGTATGCCTAGTAGTAGCCTAGTTTTTTCAAAGGATTTGCTGCCATCACGTGCAAGTCCCCTGCCATAGAAATAAAAATAATATACTGTACCCAAAAAAAGGCAAAAACCGTAGCAGAGTGATGAGAGATGAGCACGGATGGCGGAGATTGCGGACCTGTCCGCGCCGAACAGACAGGTACTACATACGGTACCGTACAGTGTACAGTGTACAGTACTGCACTCGACAGTACAGTACAGTACTGTACTGTACTGTACAGTACGATACAATAGGCGCATATGCTTGGTACAATGAAGCGTTTCTATCATGTGACTCTCACATTTTATGAATCAAGACCCCCCTAGACATACAGTACAGTACAGTACTGTACAGTACAGTACAGTCCAAGCATCATGGTACTGTACTGTACAGTATGATAGTACTGTACCCTTTGCAGTGGAGTGAAGTCATACGTGCGTGACATCTCCGTCTGGTTGTACTGTACAGTATTGCATTAGAGATGCAGTACTGTACTGAAAAGTCTACTGTAGGATATGATATTATATTATCAACCGAGCGACAGACACGCGGATAGAGAGGATGTGTATGCGCTACGGTAAAGTACAAGTCTACCGAGACATAAAAATTGTAGTGTATCACTCGATGAAAGGAAGGGCTTGCCGTCGTAAAACAAGTCTTTGGATCGGTAGTTGTAGTAAGCGTATCGTGAAATAAAATGGCCTATTACACGAATAAATATCATTTTGTGCTTTACATTATCTTCTATCTGGCAATTTTAATAGTTGGTAAGTAACTAACCTATCTTAACTTGTAGAAAATGACGATTAAAGTATGAATATGTCGATAAAATAGCCACCTTGAAAGACGCTTCTTGCTATAGTAATACCATGTATATTGTATTTGCAACCAATATGGCACTCGCATATTTCTAATGTCATCAACCGTAATGCTTTTCTTGCTTCTGTATCTTGATGGAATAAAGTAACTATTTTCTATCGTTATGAATATAAATAGGGTTATACTACATTCTATCTGGTCTTGGCTACCGTTTTGATATAGGATGGTAAGTACAAGGGAACTGATTACTTTTGCAGTCGCTATTGCAGTACGTCGCCCAAGCTTGACCATGTTTCCAAAACTGATAATTCACTTGGAAGTTATTCTATACCGACTCGATTCTTCGATAACATATGCTTATACACATAGAATTTGGCATGGAGTAAATCATTTATAAAATGATTTCCCTCTTAGTCCAATATCGTAATAATTATCGATGAATGTTGGCTTCCGTTATACGATTGATTACAGTGGTAGCAGCGTATATCGATTAGAACAACCACGCCGCCATCATACGAGCTAGCGGATAACATATGTTAACATCACAGACTTACATACGCATAGACGAATTAACTGGCAAGATAAATTGATCGACTGTATTTGTAATTTTAGAAAGTTCTATGTAATCTTATATCCAAAAGATCTCAATTACTATTTTATAAAGAGACTGAAATTATAATACCAGTGTAATATAGTATACTGTAGTACTCGTACATACGGATGACCTGCCGCTACAACTAAAGTACTCAACAGTATTTGTAGTATATATTCACTATACCATTCAAAATAGTTCTATCAATAGTGTAACAAAGTTTCTACCATGATAATCCCATTCTATCCCCTCAGATAAATTACTAATGCACAGCTTTTACTCAATCTTTGTAACTTTTAAAACCATTTGAAGACAGGACGGCACTTATTAATATTTACGATAACTTCTATTTTGATGACTTCTTCTGACGTTCTGAAGCTTAATGATACTTATAAATTGGCGTAAATTAAGGGGATATGAAATATTTTTTTGAAATGCACCAACTTTTAAGAATTCAAAAATGCGCTTAATATCAATAAATTCACAGAACTTTTTCTGGCCATCTACTTCTAGGTTTTTTGAATCTACTTCACCATTTATGTGGGCTGATCTTGGGATTGGTCTTGCCATCTCATTATCTGTTGTTGGCGCTGCATGGTAGGTTGCATCATCTTGTATTCTTTATTAGTCAATTATCTACCGTTACTTTTCTGCATTAAAACACTGCTATTTGAAATGTACTATGTTAGCTTTCTTTCTTTTAACTATAGAATTTATCGATGAGTCTTACTATCAGTATATTGTAGAATTAGAATTAAAAAACTCGTACTTCGATATGCTAGGCCTGTGCTATTTACTAACCATAGTTAATAAGTAGAAAAACTTTATTTAGTGCTCACCCTCCTCGTATGAAGTACATAACTGAAAGTTGATAATCAAGATTTGCCACGTTAAAATTCTGTCAACTTCCAATACAATTTTTCATATTAATTTGAAGCTACTATATGTTACGGCTAGTTCGAATATGGGAGTATCTAACATAGGTTATCACCTTTCCATGTTACCATAGGGGTATCTTTGCAACAGGTTCTTCGATCGTAGGTGGCGGTGTCAAAGCTCCTCGTATCAAGACTAAGAATCTTGTCAGGTAAGTATTTATGTATTATGCAACTTATAAGATCCAACAAGACATATACTTTCTCAAATCATCCATCACAGGATAGAATGTGTAATTTGGCAAAACACTTATATATTTGTAGTATCATCTTCTGTGAAGCTGTTGCCATTTACGGAATCATTATGGCTATCGTCTTGAGCAATAATATCGCTGTAAGTTATTTCGTTAACTAAGTTGACTTGTTTCTGACAATTATATCATAATTTACTCAATGCACATTTTTTCGCACCCCTATATAGCCCTATGATACTACAGGTTCAAGTGCTATCTTAAGGCAAAATTATTTTGGAGGTAAGCACGTTATTACAATGGAGGACTAGCAAAATTCGAACGTGAATTTGGCTTGAAATAATTTTTAGTGCTTTCTTATACTATCGTAACTAAACATTTACTTTATTAGGCTACTCCATATTTGCTGCTGGTTTAACGGTTGGATTATCGAATTTAGCCTGTGGTATTTGTGTCGGTATCGTAGGAAGGTCAGTTAATAATCACTGTATTATTAATTTACTTATCAAAGTAGGACATAATGACATTGTAATAAGCTTTTAATAGCTATGTACCTAATTATTCATAAATTTTCTTATTAGCGGTGCTGCCTTAGCTGATGCTCAGAACGCGTCCCTTTTCGTCAAGGTTTGATACACGATTTATACATAGCATAATCCGTGTGTCGTAGTACTCACGATATTTATACACAAATGTAACAGGTACTTATCGTGGAAATTTTTGGTAGTGCTATTGGACTGTTTGGTGTAATCATTGGTATCATTCAGGTCTGTATGTTTGTACTCGTTTGTAAAATCCATTTCACTTACCGCTGGTAGTATAATGTTGCATTGGAGTGTTGATATATTAAATTGATATTACCCTAATATGCCAACAGGTTAGCAAGTCTGGTATGGGAAATAAACTACCTGCTTAGCAAATCTGCTGTTGGAAATAAAATTAAGAAAAAGCCTCCAAAGTTTGAAAACCTAGTCTAAAATTGCTTGAAGCTAACGTTGCTATTCATTTTTCAACATGTAAATTATGCAACAAAGATCTGAAATAATATTAAATTACGAACGGAGAAATTATATGTCTCAGTAGCGTCAAATAAGTTATATTCATGACAGTTTTTTAGTATAGAGTATAGAACTTTTGTAAACTCTACTAACTTTCTATCTTGCTCTTCATGCTTGCATAACTATACCTGGCTAGATCTTGAACTTTGTTTAGTATTACATCTATTAATAAGGAAAAAGCATATGAGCTGTTAAAACAATTCATTTATCTACATGCTAATAATATTCATTAAATAATGTTAATTAAAACTGCTTACTTGGCAATATGGTGCCAAAAATGTGATGTAATGGATCGTTTTATATTCATAACTTGACGCCTTATTGCATTTAGCAGTGTTAGTCATAACTCTTCGTGTTATGCGAAGATGATTTTGATATAACCGGAATGTCTGGTTACGCTGCTTTTTTACTGTAGTAGTTTGAAAGCGGAGTAATGCAATGCTTTCGAAAAATTACAGCTAAAAAAACTGAGATAGTTCTATTCTGTATGCTTAAGTAGTGACGTTCTAATACACAAATTTATAGATATTGCTAAAACAGTTGAGCACTTTCAGAGAATAAAATGTAGATGAATAATCCAATAACTGACTTTTTCTCTCATATTGCAACTATCATCGATCCGTAATTTGTGGTATTTGATTGACTCAGCGATTATAAAGTACTATTAGAATATTGTGTAGCTAACAGAAATGATTTTCCTTTTCTAATCTTGCGTAAATCATTTGAATGATTCGGTACCTTGAACTACAACATTATACCACAATATTTTCTTCCCCACTGTATTTAGTACTATTTGCGGGCGTCAATCCTATTTTGGCCTCAGTAATGATTTCAAATGCAAAATGGCTTAGCATTGTGCTGTACGGTAGTAATAGAATCACGTATCCACGTTTACCATACCCACCTACCTACCTACCTCAAAACAATGTTAAAGAAAAGGCTACATGCAAGTGCAATAACGATGTTAACGATCACTCAAATCGGATTCGTGTAAAAAATTCGCTTTTGACTCAAGCGCTCAACAGTAAAGCTGTCTAATGCTAACGTTATATTCGACATATAGTACAATATTATGTTTACTAAACGTATGATTGTACCTTAATCGTCCATGACTTATCATAAAAAGTCTTATATCTCCAATTTAATTTATATTTTTAATAATATAAGTGGCTAGAATGTTACAAGGAAGTAGAATCAGATATCTGGACAGCAAAATAATTAATATTTGCGCTTTACAGCAGCAAAAATGTGGTTAATTTTAATTTTAATGCAATATCAAGTAATAAAACTATCACCATTAACGCCAACAAACAGCAATTGTGAATACTGGATTATAACGGAAGATATAATTCCTACAACTTATGTACAGCATAGTTTTAATGAATAAATTTAACTACACCAAGGCTATCAATCAGTTACTACAGCTAATATACGTGACTTAGTTGATTGGTCGGCATTAAATTACTATAAAATTTACGTAAATCTTACTATTGTAATCTATGTAAACACGCAAATACATACTCGTATCGATATATATTGGTTTGTGCTCCTATTACTGTAGCGCCGTGATTTTATATATAAATGTATATTACAGCACACACTCGGCAATTTAGATCCCAAGCCTAACTACTACATCATAATTGCGTTTCTTCTTAATATACTGACTGTACAATGTTTAAAGTAAGATAAATCTCTCTATTGTGCACATGAAAATTAACCATGAATTATAATTTGCTGGCCCAAATTACCCGGGCATGAAATGAAAATAAGTGCATCTTCAAGGCTTGGTCTTTGGCTTAGGTACCGTTTGCCAAATGATAATACCAACTATTGCGGCAACAATAAGCAATAAGACTACGATACAAATCAACTTCTTTCGTGATTTCTTTTGATACTTAACAGCAGCTTGTAATTGTGTGTTAGCCTCGGTAACATTCATTCCAGCGCTTTCAACGTTAGCTTCGATAGAATCAATTACCTCCCCTTGATCGTGTACCATGGTAGCTAAATCTTTAAAAATTTCATTGACATCAACAATATCACTTTCTAACTGCTTAATGGATTTTTCACGTTCTTCAATCATTTCTAAATCGACAGCATCTTCAGCCTGCATTTGAAATGATGAATTACCAGGATAATTTCCAGAAGGTGCATATTCCGAATAGGGCTGGTTGGCGCCGGTATCAATTAATGGCTCTGTACTATGTCCAAAACTACTGGCCCTGATCTTTTCAACATTTTCACGTTGTGCTTCTGCTATTCTTTTGGCTATCTTTTGGTAGTTGGTCAAAGATTGAGCAAATTCGCTGCTTAATCGATCTACTTGGGCCTTCTTCATCCGGTCACTATCATAGGCAGCTGAAGCATTGAGTTGTCTTAAACTTTTATTGGTCTCTTTAATTAAGTCACTACTATCTCTTTCCAGTTTTTCCATATTATCGCGAAAGCGTTGTCCATCTTGAGATGTGCCAATTTTGGATAACATTTTCTCGATTGCGGACATGTTCTGATTGATTTTCTGAACATTCCTGGTAATAGTGTTAACATTGGCATCGCTACCAATATCGGCCATACCGACACTACCATCAAAGCCACGTCCAAAACCGCTCCTCGACATCGTTGAAATGAATTCAAGATTTTAGTAATCACTGTGTAAATCAGCCAAAATAAATTTGCTTACAATGGGGGGGAAAAGTAAAATGGTCGTTGGCAAAAGCACTATCCGCCTATTTTACCAAGACGAGAACTGACATAAGATGTGATAACGTCTAGCTTTCTCTCCACTTCAGAGAAATATCCAGTACTATTACAGCAATCTTGACTCCACTCAAGTCCGATTACACTTGACTAGTAAGTACAGCAACACTACTTGTCAATAATAATTCTAATTCTATGCTACCGATTACCTCTCCAATTTTGCCTAAACTAGCCAACAATTCAACGTCAATTTGCCAGATCGTGATGCTGAATATTGTGAGACAGTACCACTTTAATATACAGTACTGTACAGTCCTACAGTATTACCGTACCATCGGTATCGCGTGAATCGCAGGGGGTCAACGCTGCGGGCACACGCACAGACTCTACAATATCGATCATTTACAGTATGAGAGTAACAGTACTGAAACGATACCTGGCGCTTGTGTCACCAACATAGTGTACAACAGTAAAATCTAGCGGTTCACAAATTCATTAATTAAATTAATTTATTCCATCCTGTTCCATGACAGCAGTACAGTACAATATCCCATCGACGAGGTACCAAGTACAAGTAATGGCATTTTATTCCCATTTCAAGTTGCTCTTCGGAAAATATACTAAGGTTGTTTATCTTTGCCTCATTCCTTATTTCTTATTTTTGAACTGATTGATGAATACAACCATTCTATTTTCATCCATCATCAGATTTCCATTTTAAATTTAGAATTGACGTCATGATTTCGTCGCTCGTTCACTCATTCAGTACTCCTGGTGACTGTTAGTAAGTGACTAGTACTGGTAGTCAATAGGTGCACTGTCCCACTGTCCCGTCTTGTCTGTTTAAGTGTCATTCCGAAGTCCGTCCGATTGGTGTTTTACGATGAAACTCATAGATGAACCTTTGAACAGTAATAACAGACTAACAGGCATGGTCAGTCTACATGTACAGTACAGTACATACATTTACAGTAGTAGTCCACTATACTGTACTGTACACTCTAGTAGAGTGAGTGTACAGTACACTGTACTGTACAGTGTACAGTACTGTACTGTACTGTTGTACCATTGTACTGTACAGTACACTACCTCAGCATTAAGTACTGTACTGTATTTGTATTAGTCTACAGTACTGTACAACAGAACGTACAGACATGCAGACATTTTTTGTACACTGTCCCGCTGTCCAGTCTTTTCTGTTTAAGTGTCACTCCGAAGTCCGTCTGATTGGTGTTTTATGATGAAACTCACAGATGAACCTTTCAGTGTACAGTACATACATTTACAGTAGTAATCCACTGTACTGTACTGTACTGTACCATTGTACCTCAGCATTAAGTATTTGTATTAGTCTACAGATACAGTACAACAGAACGTACAGACATGCAGACATTTTTTGTACAGACAATCGCAATCAGACTCATCAGAGTAGAGCAACAGTTGGTAAAGTATTTTGTCCAACATTAAACGCCAGTAACCACCAACATAACTCAGGCTGAGAAACCACTAAGGTAAAATACCAAAGACCCTGTAGTCGTTGTAAGGTTAGAGACTGTTCAAAGTTGATTACATATGAATGTGTACTTATTAGACAGCTGTTGCTATGAAACTGATTACAGACACAAGAGAATCAATATAATTGCACAACGCGCCAAATTAAGATCATTAGATCAAATAAATGCTCGTTAGCTATTTCAAATGATATTCAGTCACGTTAATAAAATTAACATTTCGGCAATTTCACAAAGCTCTCATAAGTTAACAGATTAATCTCCATGTACGTACGCGCATACTATACACTATACAGTATAGACACATAAATTGGCGCTTATCCTATATGATATGTACTGTATTTATCAAGCAATTGTAGCGACGCGATATACAGGCGCAATTATACCTTAACCTTAAATCAAGAATTACGTAAAAATTGATATAGTGCTACAACTTTGACAATTAGGTTATACATTAAAGGTGGAAAACTTATCCATAACCGTTCAGGTGGTATATACCGGGTATACCTATAGCTACAGACCAAACAACCCGAAGCAAAGTGATCTCACTAGCACCTATCAAAACACGAACATCGACAATGGACAAATATCAAAAGAACGCAGTAACTGATGTATGGACGGAATTAATAAAATCAATGCCACCAGAACATATGAGCAATAGATTAATCCAAAAAAGAATACTAGCTATCGACGATTTGGAAGAATTGAAAAAATGTTCAACACAGAATGACAAAAATACTTATATTCTAACGATTGTTATGAAATGCCCAGATAGCAACATTTTTCGTATTTTTATTGACGCATTGCAAAGTATTGAAACTACAGCAAATATCTTAGCAAAAAAATTAGAAACAGCTTACCAACTACAAAAGGATGGGCAGCAACAGAAGATGACAGCCGATCTCATCGCCGGAGAGGATGAATGGAATGAAGACGGTACGGTATAATGCATTTACTAGTGTTAGCCAGCTCACTGACGATAGTGGCGCAATACAGTTGCTCAGTGCCTAAAATTAATATTATTATTATCATTGACTCCAATAACGGATCAATCCTACATAAAATTACTGTATTTTGTAGCAATATTTACATTTCCAGTACTTGTTTCTACCTTCACAAAAATGAAATACCATCGTAAATAAATAGAATTTAGAGGCTTAACTAGTACTTAGTAACGGTATGCCCTTATCTAGTTCGTTTCTCTTATTGATATGCCGATGGGATATTTATAACACTTAAGATATGCTATGACATTTTAGATTGTTATATCATTTATTTTATTGCGAGTCAGACGAAGTTAAATTGAAACATGGAATCTACCAAAGCATTTTAGCCAAGATAATTGAGAATATTAAATTGCTAACGCTATTAAATGTATCTACTATATTACTGTAAGAGTACAGTATACTGTATATGTTAATGATCAATGGATTTCTACCGTACTATGACATTTATTCTATTGTCAACTACATGCTATATTGAATAAATCGCCAAGTGATACTATACTGACTAATGATATATTGTATATTATGTATTCCATTACTCGTATGTATATAAATCTCTGGTCCTCATGGCATCATTATCAGGTTGAGTCTCTTTGTATGATTTTACTGTGCGAGTCTTCATAAAATACTTCATGTCGTTAAAAGGCGTAATATTACTGTGTACCACCATGTATAATCTGACAGCATAGACCGATCAATTTCATATGCAATATACAATTGACACCATATCGTTACAGTACAGTACTTTCTGCTCTCAATTATGTAACATAATACAAAAGAATTTTAAATTAATTTTCAAGCCTTGGATTAAACTAATCTGAAATTTTGTCATCTAGACTGGTTAAACTGTATTCAGTTTGTTGCTAAAAACTTGGGTAAGAAATGGAAAATGCTTGGAAGAAGGCTCCACTTAACAGAATCACAGATAATTGATTGTGAGGAAAATAATCGTGGAAATATTCTTGAAGCAAGAACGTCAATGTTACTATCCTGGAGAGATGCGTGGTTAGATGCGGCGCCATCATCAAAGAAGGGCGAATTAATTGAAGCCTTAAAAAAATGTGATTTAAATCTTATTGCCCACAAGGTATCTCAAAAACAGTGGTAACGAAATCTCTTATAGCTTTATAAATGGCTGTAATTGATTTTATCACTTTTTACTCGTTATTCCTTTCTTCACTAGTTAACATAAACTACCGAAAGCAAGTAATTGAAAAATTAACATAACTCTGCTGAGAATCACTGCAAAATATCTTGTAAAATCATTTATGTCAATTTTTTATAGCAATTTTTGTAACGGATATATAGATTCTGCTTACTACCATTGTTGCATTATCGATTCTTCCTGCGGGCATATGCAATTTGATAATGCTACTATAAAGACATAAATCGATATTTGATGAAATAAACACAAACTTAAAATCCTGAGGCACTAGATCATTATCCGCTCATATCATTTAATTTAACCAATTTTGACAGAGCTATATATACAAGACCCATTCAAAAAGTAATAGGGCTGGTTCTATATCTACGCTACGAAAAATGTATTCCATACATTTTTTCAAAATTTCGATTTTTATCACTATTCATGAAAACTATAAAAATTTTTACCGATGGACCGTGACATATATACTCGTACGTTTATAATTGTACAGCTGTATCCCTATACGATCATGCAGTTCTGTACCAAAGCTACCAGATTAGCCTCAACTATAAACCATGCTGATGCGCTATGCCCTATCTTTACCCTGATAAAACTTTTAAATCATGCCGTAATCAATAGTCTAGCTACCTTCTGACTACATTATATGAAATTAGCGCTAATTTTGGGGGATCAAGATGATACCACTGCCTGATCCGATACAGACAGATACGATTATATACTACTGCATACAGTACGTATCTGTTATATTATGAAATACTAGTGAGACACTTTACAGTAAATGTTCTTAACCCTCACTTACAATTTATTCTCGTTGTCTGGCTAGTAATCTATCATACACGTAGAAAGTCAATGAATATTGTAGTTATGCTTCGATCTGCATCGGATAAGATAAAGTCTAAGTAAAGACTGGATTCGCAAGAAATCCTTCTACTGTGCTAGCTTATTTTAACACACATTCGTCGTAAATCGCTTTGTTAAGTTTCAAGTATTGTACGCGTACTTGATCGTTAAAGGATATATGTTTTAATAAAATACTAATTGTAATATTACGTGTTGAATTATAACTACGATATAACTTTTAGAGTTCATAGCAGCGTTTTGTATCTTCCTTCTTATTCACTCCGAAATAGTTCCCAGTACAGTGTTGTATTATTAATATCGTACTACACATACTGTGCGTATGTACTATAAGTATGGGTACATTTCTGTAACTGATCATTCCTTCGTTCATTATCTCCTTGTTTGCCTGTGAACGTTATCTAGGCAATCTTGCTCCTGTCTAGAACTTCCTCGTGGTCACTTCTGTCTCAATAAATAAGTTCTTCTTTGCGCAAATACCTCAAGTGTACAGTACTGTACACTCGTATGTCACTGATCTCACTGAAGGTTTATCTATCATATGTCCGTAAACATACAGGACCTCTTACATTACACTGGTCTATTAATGCAATATCTTGTAGCGATAGTATAAGTTAAGTTAAGTAAATACAAAATGAAATTACTTTATAAATGTAAGTTATGGAACATCATGGTTTATTTGCGAAGTGCCGTTATAAATATATACAGTACAGTAATATGGAATAAAAATGCGCTCTGTATTCGATATGCATGCAAGACTGTAGAATGCCATACCTCTAGAACCTGAACTAAAGTATATATATATATATATGAAAACTTTTAAAACAGCTGATTTTTGAAATTAATGAAATTATTGCCTAATAAAAATAAATAATAATTCATCATAAGCTCAAATCTGCATCAATATCAACATCACCTTTTATCACCATAGCAGCCGTAGTACGGTGCAGTTCGTCGTAATGATATACTATACTGTACCATACTGAGGTACCGATACAGCCGGTGCAGGCGTGCAATACAGCAGATTGTCCTATTCTCGTGGCGTCCTGTCCCTTTCTGAAGTCAAGTACAGACAGTACACCAGGCCATCCGAAGAACCACATCGACCATTTATAAATTACTGTGAGTGATTGCTTTGCAAGATACAATAAAACTAAACTAAAATTAAATTTAAAATAGATTAAGCGTACATGGCTAAAAGCAACTGAATCAGAATTTGCACAGCTTATCTGAAGATCGAACCAAGATTAATATGGGAAACAAGATTGAGCTATTTCGCGTAAGTAAACCCTTCCATTATACTGTAATGCTACATTGATTACTTGCAGCACTATAAACCATCATGGTATATCCTTATATATATATAGTAAGTAGATTTTGGAAAAGTATGGACTAGAGATCCTTACACAGTATTTGGCAAGGGACATAGTATTGACGGTATGATATCAGCCGGTGAATTTCGTACACTTTCCATTAGTGCGTGTAGAGTACAACAGAATAAATTTAGTTCTTAAGTGCATTTAGGGACCAAATCATGTGGCTAGTTAGGATACACATTGATCTGCCAGTGACTTCATGAGAAAGCAATTTACCAATGATCAAACTAGTCTTACATGTGCAGTATTTATGATGTTAAGATAAGAGTTCAGTCAAGGCTTTTAGGTATCCAACTGGCGTTAATGTCTTTGAGTATGCGTTATAGAAAGCTAAAAGCTGGAGATACGTAGGCCAGTGCAGTGTATACTCGTATTTCTAAATTAGAATAATCCTAAGCAGAAGAAATTGCAAATCCTACAGCCCAGGCGCTTAGCTGCAATATCACTTCTAGGAAATCGTGCAAATCAATAGTAATCTATATACGCGTATAACTTCTTTGCAGTAATAATACCGTCTAGTATGCGTTTCATTTCTCGTTGCTAAATTCCAGTTTAGACCACAAATCCATGCTCTACCTCTTATTCCGTCTAAATCATACATAATATTCGACTGATCATGCTCATAAATTATTCTAAAAACCTATGTTATCACTTTATAATTGCCGGATCTACTGTATAGTGTTCAAAATCATACGATTTATACTTTTATATATCGGTATTAATTTAATATTTTGAAACATTCGATAGACAATCTCTAGTACAGGAGATAGTAAAATGTAAATAGCTTTTAACTACAAATCTTGCATACGTAATAAAGTGAAACATTATTCTGAGAGAAAATCTAATTAACGCTATAAACATAGTAAGATAAAGCTTGTTTCGGGTAATGTTGTATTCCCTTAATTTTGAAATAATTGTATCACCAAGAAAAGCGCTATAGTAAATTTATAGGAGGTAGAAAGTCTTCGATTGATTCTAGATTATAACGTAAGCTATTATGTAAGGTAGTTTACGAAGTTGGTAAAAACCAGTTTAAAAATTTTAAAGCATCTATATGATACTTATGTAATTTGTTGCTTTTTATTTTACAGATGACTATTTATGTCTTCTTCCCTGTTGCTATATTCTACTATTTTAATAAACCTGATTGGTATGAAAAATGGGTAGAAAATAAACGGGTAAATTTGTGAGAATGAAATTTAAAGTGCACGTATTAAATATTATACTGTAAAACATAATTTAAGGCCAATTCAGCTGTAGAAATTTCATTGCACAGCATGCAATTATCATAGACTAAATTTTAATGCAGCATGAGTGGATACTAACCATTATAGTTCGGATTGATGCCAGAAGCTTATAAAATTATTTTTTAACATACAAAGATAGAAATTTGTGTACTATTATTTCTTCAACTAAGGTACATACGTAGTAGGAAATAACAATCAATTTAGCACGTCTCAGTTTTGAATCATATACTATGCATCTGTACAATGTACATCAATTACTTCTAATCTTCTAGTATTCGGTTAACGTTTGAAAATGAAGCTATTAAATACATAGAGATGTTTCAATTTATTGCACATTTTAATTAGTATTGATATTATTTGTATTATGGTAGCTGCGCGTATAACTTGTTTTTCGCTAACTTTCAGATATAGTAACAAATTTCATTATCAAAATAATTAGTTTTGTTCTATGCTGAAGATACTGCATTAAAACAAATTGATACGTTGTTTCGATATCTTACAGGCTAAGATTTATGAATTGGGAGAAGAAGGACGGGTAATAATCAATATTCTATCTCATCTATTAGTACTATTGAAATTCTTTTATTTCAACAATATTATTTCTAAATAATTAAACTAGTTATTGGTATTTTTAGAAATTGCCTGGTAGTTATATTGGTATGAAAGAGCTTAGGCAAAAAATGCTAGAGGAAAAAAGAGCAATGAGAAAAAATTCTGATAACAAAGAATAGAACACAACAGTTTTATCCACAACACAGCCATTTCATTTAGACGAATCTTGCATATTTCGATATTGATATATTCCAACAAAGAGCTAATTGTGATCTAAAGTTATATTCAAAGAGACTATCTTTGAAATTTCGTAATTGTGCTACTGTAACTGTAAAATTGCTACCTATTTTTTATTTATTTTAGTATGATCTTATAGCCTTGCATACGACTATGCATTTTAGTGAACAAGATTTCAGAACAACTATTTACGTAGATTACAATTTTATTAAAGCAATGGAATAAACATGCCTACATTATAACTATGTAACTTTGCATCAATTTTTACCTCCGCTAAGATAAATATTCCAGGTACAATTAATAAAAGTAATTACATGGTTGAGCGAAAAAGTTATTGTATTGCTATATCTGTTATCATATCGGAGGCATTAATGAGATAGCAAGTACTCGACTCTTTGTATTTAGATTTTAAGATTTAATATAGAGAAACGACATCTAACGTAGCTGTTTCTCTTAGTCTAACTAGATTGGTCTTTCATCGTTATCATCGGCAAAGGTTCTTGCTTGTTTTCGTTCTAAATCTACAGGGTTACTTTCAACGAAAGTAATAGCATCAACTTCAGTCTTATTTTTTTCACCATTGTTTTCGAACAGATTTAAATTGCAAATCTTCATTGCCTGCGATTTAAGAAGAAGTATTTCAGATAGTTAGTCACCTGAAAAACTACGTTATACCTAAAGACTATCACGCAACAGATTTAAAGCCTTAAATGCCTACGAGTTAAAAAACGGTATTCTAGATATTAATTTACCTGCAAACTACGTTATACCTAAAGGCTATAATGCACATCGTTCGTTATAAAACGTAATTGTTAACAGCCACTAATACAATGTACAGTATATACCGCTATAAATATTATACTGTCTAGCATACAATGTATTAGAAAGTAAACAAGACGATGACCTAGCAACCGTATTGAGGACTAGTATTATACTATAATCACACTTTGACTCTAGTTTACTGCATTCTGTATTGTTATGGCATGTAATCTACAAATCACGTATTTACCGTGAAAAATGCAATAGATATACCAAGAATAAAACCAGTCAGTACATCAATCCATCGATGGCGATAATCATGAACACGGGATAACCCGCATAACCAAGTCAATAAGAGGGATATTCCTTGCAAAAGACCCTTGAGAGCCGTTAAATTTTTCCACTTCCAAACAGATTCTAGGTAAATCTGAAAGTTTGCACCATATCGATTAGATGGAGTTATGTTCGTAGGCTATCAGCGATTACTATCTCTAAATTTCAGTTTGGCACTAGATTTAGCATGTACTGTTGCCTGTTGAGTAATACTCAAGAAAGGCATTTTGTACAAAACTTACCGCACTGAATACCATAGCATAAGCACTAGTGGATGCGTGACCAGACGGAAATGATAATCTAACAGATCAATATGATTTTATAACATAAGCGAAATAATTCAATGATAAATTAATAAGATATATATACTGTATATAGTATGGTATAGTGGGTGTGGTGTATATTTAAGACCTATAGTTTACTTACATCCCTATGACCATAGTATTGTGCGTTTAATGTAAACTGGTGCGTATACGCATCTACTTACTGTACAGTATACTGTACTACTCGATTCTGAGAAAAAATCTATCAAGTGTACGCAAAAGACTAAAAGCATTGCTTACCGAGCATCTTTTATTTGTCTAGTTTGAGTTCCCAAGCAAGTATATTGAGTGACATAACCTACACTACAGTTAATTTTGCTAAAATCCGGCTGACAAAGAGCCAAAAAGTTTGGGCGTAAACTGCCTACAAGAAACTTGGCGGAATCAGTTAAAACGAAAGTGGTAGCCAAACCAAACAGCATGCTTAAGATCAGGTTCCAAGTATATCGCGTAAATCGATATTGTCCCGAGAGAGGGTTACCAGGCATTGAATTTGTGGGGAATTTATTTTTAAGCGTTTCGAAGGTAAGAATCTAATGATAATCATAAGTAATAATTATGTATTAACAGAAGAGAATGTTATAAAATGATAAAACAAGTATTAATAATTAATTAATAAAGGCTTGCTGCTTAAAATTGTGAAAAGCCTTAAAAATGAAATCATTAATTGTATTGTTATGGGTAACTATGCTGTAATATCCGGTCCAATTATATTGGTACAGTCTTCACATACTGTGCTAACTGTATTTACATTTTCAGTACCGTATTGATAAATACTGAAATATGAAAAAAAAGGGGAATTTACAAAGTTAACGGATCAATGGTTTAAGTTATACTCGTATCCCTACCGTAATGGAAAATTATTTTATTTGCAATTCTATTATTAGAGAAATTACGTATCTTACTACGTAGCATTGCAGAAAGTTGCAATACTACTCAATTACTGAAATGTGTTGTAATGTTAGTTTTTGCTACGTTGAATAAAAACAGTAGTCCAATTTTATCCTGTTGTGTTACGTATTTGAAAAGTGAAATAAATTAAAACAATTGCTAAACTAACGACAGATTAACATTGTAGTAAAGTAGATAAATCCTGATACTTTTGATTGTATCGTCTGCCCCACGGCTGGCTATTGATATTAAACAACATTTCTGTAACAATTTTACATCTTGGTACAATTCCGAAATGTGTAGTCTTTGAAGTGACATCAAGTAACGCTTGTAATACTGCTAAAAATTTAATTTAATGTAGAAAGGTCAATTTCTGACATCATTTGTGCTTTACTAACTGTTACGGTTTACAGTTTGTTTGGTACCACATGTATGGTGTTAGTCTACTTGTCTCATACATTTTCAAGAGTAGTTGTATGACTGTCTATGATTAGTTTTATTTCGGTTCGGATCTATCAACAGATACACTTATGAATCATACAAATCTCCTAGAGGATAAGAATAAAGATTAGTTTATACGTGGTAGCGGAGCGGCAATGAGTGTGACAGTCCCTTTTTCTCGTTTTTAGAGATAACACTAACACATACGTGCATTATAATATCCTCGAGATACACATGCATTTACTGTATCATTTAAACCGCATCGCCGCTACTTTTCCACAAATTGCAACACAAGGTGAAAATAAACAACAAAATCCAGATTCGACTTCTATCCAACTTTAAAAGGCGTGATGCCAATTCGATCATTCAGTTGTATTTATTTACTTTCCACCAATTTGATAAAAATGAATCGTATACAGCTTTCTACTGGAACAACCGTTGTAACAATAAGTCGATACTGTACTCTTCAGAATATTCAACTATTTTATAGCCTGCCATACTTTCTCACGTACTGTATTTTCATGTATTGTTTGCAATAGAATATAATTTTTCCCCGACGACTACATTACTATGCACAAGATAGAACACTAATCCTACAGCTTGATGAAATACAGTAAGAGTACTGTACAAGTAATTCAAAACAATTCATAAACATTGCAAAATAGTTTTAGAACCAGTATAATTGAGAAAGATTGCACAACACTGTTTGATCTGGATAATTAATTACTATTACGCATAGGTAAAACTGAGAATAAAAAAGAAGAGAAAGGTCTATCTTTATACTGATAGACACTTGATAGAATGGTAGGCTTTATTTCAATGATTTTTATTGTATAAAATGTATGAATACTTTTTCGTTATCAGATAAATGAGCAACTTTAATTTTTAAAAGAGAAACAATTTCGGCTTAAGATTAAGCTTATCTAGCTAGCGATGACGATTTGGTCATCGATATTTTCCGATAAATTGGGGGAACCAGGGGAAGGGAGAATAACGAACTACTCGTTCAACACAGTATACTGGATGAACTGTACGTCAAGTTTATCTAGATACAAACTTACCATAATCGTAGGATAGAGAATGTCCATAAGGATTAAAACTATATTGGGCACAGTACTATGAGGCTTGTATGGATATTTAATAGAATCATCATTGCAGAAAAACCCACGATGACTAGGAGTAGCCAATGTTTGAATGAATAAAATACAAAAGCCAGTCACGAGTGTCACCAAGAAATCGACAAGAAGTTTAGAATTTTCCGATTTCATGATTGGAATTATTTCCTCACTTTGTTGAATACCCCCTCGCTTCGTATAACGTATTTGGCTGATAAATGTAAAGGCCTAGTTAGAGCAGCGATCCAATAAAATAGAGGTCGAACTGTGTAATTTCTAAAGTATGTTATCAATAACAATCAATATTGTCATCATTTGACTACTAGTGTACGCCTATTTACTATTGACTCCGTACAGTAACTTTCCAATCACGCTATGCAAGTCTTCTATTAAATTAAATTAGGATGATTAGCTACTGAACTGTACTGTACAGTACACTATACTGGACAGTGGATAATGTTTAGGGTATTACTGAATTAAAAAACCAGATGAGTTTATACTTCTATATCAATATTACAATTAGTCCTCTTCCTAATTAATATTGTACTACGTACTGTACAGTGTACTGTATCATTCTATCTCATTCTATCATTCAAGTAACAATTCATTTAATGGATTTATTTATTATTAATAGCTTTATTATGTAATTATTACTCTCTTTCTTGTAAGAGCTTGCCATAGCAGTTTTGTAAGAGCTTGCCTTAGCAGTGATAGCACTGTATAAGATCAATAATTATAATTATAATAATAGCATGTATATCATTAATAGCTTTATCATGGAATTGTTACTCTCTTCTTTGTAAGAGCTTGCCCTAGCACTGTATCAGATCAATAATAGCATGTATATCATTGATAATAGTATCATTAATAATAACTTTATCACGGAATTGTTATTACTCTCTTCTTGCAAGAGCTTGCCCTTGCACTGTATCGGAATTAATGAACCTTATTATTAATAGAAGAGATTTGTAGTGAAGTACTGTATAATGCAATGGGCCCATCTTAATTTTTCAATCATCTGGCCAATCAGAATTATCTATTAAAAACATATGATATCGATTAACAATTCTGCGTAGTGTACCGCCATGGATATTGAAGAAACGCCTGATGGCGATCCTTGGCGGCTGTGTTAGGGCAAATTGATGATCGATAGAAGAAACTTCTCCAACTGCAGTATTTTGAGTCGAATCGAATGATGATAACTGGTACGAGGTACAACCTTACTTCTGGATTAGTACCATACATACCAGTATCCTGCACTTGACTAAATATTTTGCCCGTTTCAAATTTCTACCCAATTTTTGATGTCCATCGCTCACTATACAGTACTGTACTGTATGATAGTTGCAAGAACTAGTCAACAAATTTTCCTTTTTTTTTTTTTATCTCTACTATGAGCATTTTAAATACAGGATTTCATTAATATTATATTAGGATGAACAGCTTGAGCACAATGGACAATATCATTGTTCGGAGCCCTGATTAAAATACAGGAAAGAGTAGAGGGAAGTAAATACGGTCGAGAAGTCCCCGTGCAGTATTTTATCCCAACAGGAGAGGGTCAGAAATTAGTAGTCATAGACTGCTGGAGAAGAAAAACTGGTACAGTACAGTATTTTCCTAGCAGTCCATCTATGGTACTGTACGTACTGTACAGTACTGTACTGTATAAAAGGACCGAAGCACAGGTGCAGAGTACTGTACTGTACACTGTACAGTACTGAGTGTCAACTCTACAGTACAATCTGATTATTTTCGATGTCTCCCCTTCGTTAAAAAATCAAAGTTGAATTCCGTTGAAATTCCTGTATAGTATTTCTATATACCCATAGAAGGATATCTACGAAGATAGATTCTCATCATAACATGAGCGTACAGTACAGTACTGTACTATGCCAATAGATAGTAAAATAATCGTTTGAATGGCGGACCGTTATTTTTACTGAGGCAGCCATTTTACAGTAATTTTTGGGTGGTCCACAGTGCTTTTTGGAGAATTACAGTATAAGCTATGACGTCATTGTTTACTGATTCAAAAATGGCATACAAAAAAGAATTGAACGCATTATGTTACACCGCTGCCATGATCTAAAAAATGGAATATCTTCTTTATTGAATCCAAATATTCGTAACTGACAATGATATAGTGTCTACTTTATGCAATTACTTGCTCAGTAATGATATCATGCCAAGTACAGCGCACTGTAGAGTATGTACAGTACTGTACTCTACTTTACAATAGTGAAGTCTAGTTCCTCCAAAATATACTGTACTGTAGACTGTTTTACAGCCAATAACCAATCGTACACTGGACTAAATCGGCTTAATTCATCAACATCTCACATCAGATGAATCATAATAATAATAACTAGATCACTTGAGACATTCAGCAAATTATTATTGACAGAAATGTCTCGGATCAATTCTATTCAAGTGGCATATACTGCTTACTTGCTCACTACTCGGAGAAATGGTGTACCGTATAGAAAACGCTTGATTCAATGGGCCGCATTCTACTCCAGTCGCCAGCTCAGCATCATGGCTAAAACCGGTCAAACCAGAACAAAAGTGCTTTAACAGACCGGTACAGACTGACATCATTCCTGTTGATACAGTACAACTCCACCTACAGTACTCAGTCTACAGTGTAAAGTTGCGTTATTCCATGGGACGTACAGTACATACTACTGTACTGGTTTGGGCTTGAGAACAGTTATTATCCCTTGATCCGATACGGCGTACGTGACTCTCGTTGAAACCGAGTAATGGTCGAAAGCAGAATTGATTAAGTTAAGGTTCTATCTGGCAAAAAAAAAAAAGCGAATGGCAACACTACGAGCAAGCATTCGAGTTGTACGCCAAAGGAATACTATCCCAAGAAGAGCAGCTTTAACTCTGGTAAGCTTTGAACAATGTTCAACTGTGTAGACTGTACAGTAGATTGAATTGATAGAAGAGCCAGAATGAGTGGAGTCGAGTCCAATGGTCACACTGTCACTCCAATGGAATGTTTTGACACTAGCGGAAATTGCCCAAGGAGACTCTACTAACTGGCCAAAATCTTGATTCCTATTTTTTAGCCTTCGTATCAACTTCACTTTCGATATAGCTACTGTCAAACTTTAGAATCAATCATCTATTTCACTCTTGATCATCGCCACTCGACTCGAAGAGAAGGAGTATTCCACTTTGGTCTTGCATCATTTCTTCACTATTCTACTGTACTGGTAGGATGAATGATCAATGTCGGTCGGAAAAGTCAATCTGATACATGATACTGTGGTGTACTGTACACTAGCTACATTTTCATCATGACAACATCCAATTGCAATGTCTATTTTTCATCGACTCGTTACAGTCATCTATGATATAAAATAGCGATCATTTCAAGACTGACTTACGCTAATTTACCAATCCAGAATTAGATAGGATTGGTTGGTGTTGGTAAATGTACAGTATCATTTTAAATAAATAAAAGACATTACTATTCACCATTTAAATTACTCGAGTACCCAGGTGCAATCCCTAATTACGACTTGATCAGAGACTGCTGACATTTTCTTCTTTGTAGTCTCTGACTACACTCAAGTAAATTTTCAAATATGGATTCACTCTTGAAGAGGAAATAGACCATCATCCACCATTTCATTTTGACGCTGTGGTATCACTATAATTCAAATTTCTATTCAAAGATACGAGCACAGTTGGTATTTCATCCCTATACTACAGCGTATAGACAGTTACTCGACTCAGCGGAAATACAACAATGATGATCAATTCAAAAATCGTAACTTGGATGGCAATGATTTTATCCTATACTGTACCCACTAAACCACTGTAGGCTATACAGTACTCTCGAGACTAGTGATGCCTTCTAGATATAATTACAGCGTACTCTATTATAATGAATTATGCCGACTGTATAACACAAATTTAGATATACAGGGTTATCACTAATTTAGAAATACAGTAATAAAGCTATCAAAATATGCACCCACTATCCGCTTGTAATCACTTGATACTGGATAGTCTACTGCTACTAAACTTATATTCAATGGAGCAGCTAACTAGATAGCTTAATCTGACACTCGTCATTTCATTATATTAACGGTAGCTATGTTTTGCTTTGGAATTACAGACACGGGCCGCTGTCGATAAAGTCATGGAACTGATGAATAATAATCCTGCTATGGTAAGTGTTCTATTTATAATCCTGTGCTAGTCTGTAATATTAATAAGCTCCCTTTTGCCTTCATACTGTTTTACGGAAATAGAATTGGGTTAAAAAGTCATTATTCCTTGCTATATTATAATTCAAATATAAATTAGCCGGACGTCTACAACGCTAATACAGCGATGTCCTAATGAGTATTCTTAATTATCAATTATACTAGATAAAATACTTTCTACTCATTTTAAGCCAATCAAACATCTCAGGTTACAAGAGTCTTTACTTTGATACACTATAGTACAGTACTATTTCTTATGATAATTATCAGCCAAATAATGCAATCTCAAATGATCGTACTTGCTTGCTACACCTTGTTATCCTGGCAGATATTGCTTTAGAATTGTGTTTTTTAGTAAATTACTTATCTACAATCGCAAATAAATATAAAATGTACATTATTGATTAATAATAAAGTAGTAATCATATACTTCAAATTATTCGCTCAGTGTCCATGCTGCTACTAAATCTACTTACATGAACATGAATCTTTTGAAACTCCAAAGAATGCTAACCCATACTGCACTTGATGACTACATTAGAGGCATTTTTAGTTTACGCTTCAAAATCGTTAACAGCATGAAACAAAATTGTCTGAATCTATCAATCAATTAATTATACCTATAACTACATTGGTTTACAGGCAGCGTTGCGAATTGGTGTTCGCGCTCGTGGCTGCAATGGTCTTCAATATACTCTTGAATATGCAGACACAAAGAAGAAATTTGACGAAGAAGTCAGCCAAGACGGTAAATACTTAGCGATATTGTACTCAGAGATAATTTTTCCAACTCTCGTAAATTATAACCACGCATATATAGCCACTTATCATTGCCTTCTAATTTAGCTGCATGTACATAATATTTATCAAGCAATGTTACCTCAGATTATACGATGTAATAATTGATCATCTTCTTCAAACGAGTGGTTGTTTAAAATTTATAGCGTATTTGATATCTGCTTCACTTCATTATCACTAAGCATTAATTCCTCATAGTAGTAAAAAAGTATAATGCATAGTGTACCATCTGTATGTTAATTATGTTGCTATACTTCTAGGTGTCAAGATTTACATCGACTCTAAGGCTCAATTAACCATACTTGGTACGGAAATGGACTACACTTCAAATATCTTGGATAGCGGTTTTGTATTTAACAACCCTAATATTACTGGTACCTGTGGTTGTGGCGAAAGTTTTAGTGTCAAATAGTGTAACGAAAACTACTCATGTATATTGTACAACTGTAATCATTATGACACTATGTTAAGGAATGGAATTAATTACTAATTCAAAATTCTCAAATTTTCTACCGGAGATTTATATTTGCCCTAACGCATGCATTGTATAGCTAAGATATATAGTAATTACGACAGTAAAACTAAACATTGTAATTAATTGCCCATCATATAACATATTTTAATATTAGAGAAGACTCAATAAGCCTTCAACCAAGCTAATATTATGAGAGTTTTCACCAGTTTACAGTCATCATAAACGAAGCCGACTCAAAATAGTTTAGATTCTTTAAAATTTTTTTAATTTTGATATTCGATATCAAATCTAATAGATTATACTTAGCAATTACTGTCGTTAAGCCATGTATATATATAAGTAGTTTTTCAGGTCATGCTGATGAATAAGTGTATGTGTACTAGCAAAAACTAGCCTAAATATTACTTTTTTGCACTTCTGTAGAGTAGCCGATTAATACACCAGACACAGTGTACGTACGAATGGTTATAATTATTGTAAATTTTATCCGATTCAACAAATAAATAATTATATTGCACGGATGCGCTTGGGTAGCATTAACCTTGTTAATACGGCTATATTTAATAATACAGTGTATGACAGCATATTGTAACACTGGTCTAATATTATGTAATATTTTCTTATCAAGTGGTATGCTGTAATAATCTCACTTGTTTTAAATAGTATCACTTTCCTGTAAATGCTGATCATATTTGAGCAATAGTGTACGCTAAATTTCCATGGAAAACAAAATAAAACAATATTGCGCTGCATCTCCGATTCGCTATTGATTTTTCACTTATAATATATGAAAGAATAGCAGTCCTTTCATATTCATTTTTGTAGTTATTACAAAAATATAATGTCAGCTAATACCTATTTTAAAATATCAGCGAAACTTTATCTAACGGTGGACTAAGATGTCCACTCTTAAATATTTCAAAATTAAACGAATTTCCCTATTAGATTGTTACAATTGTGACGGCATGCTTTAGTTTACTCTGCACAGGTATCTAATTACGGTATAGGCAGCCAAAATGTCATTTATTACAGGTACTTACACGTATGACGACTATGGTACTGTTTCCACTATATCTATAAACTCAGGCAAGCAAGTATACGACACATTTGGAGGAGTTTTAACAACACTGCTGTATTCACAATTACAGTGCTTAAGTTTCACGTTTTAATCGGCATAGACAATTTTTAATTGCGCTAATTTCAAGGTCTTATTTGTCAGTATTCACAATTACAAACTTTCGGCTTATTAAATATAAGAGAAGATGAGTATGGCACTAGGTTAATAAGAATTCGCAATCATGAGTCATTTGATGTATCTGTTATACGACATTGAAATCAATGTCCATGCTGCTATATTCCAATATCGATACGCAAAAATGCGTAGCAAGTAGATCTAAATCCTACTATCTATGATAGAGGTGTACGCGAATAAGATTGTGCTCTAAGCTGAGAACTGTCCCTGTTGGCCTCATATTGACGATTTTCCGTATCATGCTTGAAGTAAAATGTTTTTAGTCGAAAATTCTACTTTAAATTTTAATGCCCTAGCTACCCTAATAATTAACATAACACACACTAACTCATACATGACTGAATGGCAAATACAAACAGGTAGTAATTAGTTCGTTCCAGAGTATACCGAAAGTATACAATCCTAAAGGAAACTCATCAGTAAGCAGGTACCTGGGGTAAAAATTTTTAAGCATGCAATCCCTACTCATCATGTTATGCTACCATTAGCAACTCATACAGCCGTCCATATAACTTTAAATATCTCGTATGTACAGTACAGCTATAATACGCATATTAACTCGTACACTTTACACAGGATTGTATTCTATATTCAAAATTTTATCTACAACGCATAAGGATAGCTAACGTATTCTAATCAGTGGCTACTACTTGTCTAGCGATTTTACACAGCTTTCAGACAACTCCAAATCCATGTAAAGTTATCATACGAGTATAAACCCATAATATGAGCGCTGAATTACGTTTTAAATTCAAGACTCAAGTCATAGCACATAAGCATAACATTAATAAACTAACGAATGCTTGTCCACTTATCGCACTACTAAAAAGCCAGCGATATTTGAGACTTGCAAGCTAAGACAAAATTTTCGAACAAAATGCGTATTTTATTTCATAGTCATTACTCGAAAGTGACATTGACGTGTAAATATAGCGATAAAGTAGTCTAATGACTATACGAAGCAAATCTAGAGATTATATATTGTAATCTCATCTCAGATTAATATTATTGTTTACCGTAGCTTTATAATCGATAACCTTCCTTATCATATCCAATATTATACCAGCGTAGATTGACACACTTTCTGGGACACGAAGAAATGAGAAGTTTACGTTTGGAAAGAGTTTATTATAATTATTACATTAGAATTATTAATATCTATGATACTTTCAACTTCCCAATGACCTTTTGCAAAAATCGCCGCATTGTACATTAATGAACATTTTTATCTTTCTCATTTAAATCACTAGTACTATCATTTTCTTGTTGATACAAATCATCGCTATAATATAGCTCTACTTTAGCAATTCGACGTCGCAATGGCACAAGCCACCAGATAAAATATCCGTCTCCGAAAGTATCGCGAAGGATATCACAAATAGGACGAGCTACTCTGAAAGAATAAAGGAATATAAGATCAAATTTATAGCAATATACTGATGAACTCTGACATGGATTTTGTTAAACTATAAAGAGTGTATCGTAATGATAAAACAGAAATAGATATTAAACGCAATACGCATATCGTAGTATTAAATCAATATAGGTTAACACCATTACAATATCTAAAAATACATGAGCAAGGAAAGTAGAGAGAAAAAACCATTGAAAAGAAATCAATCAATTTCACGCAACATTAAAATAGGCAATAATCCTTTAATTGACAACTTCATCCAAATTGACAACCATAAATAAATCTATTTTTTTTTGTAATTATCATACACGCAATCTAAAAATACATATTTCTTGAGATATTACATCATACTGGTGATAAAATTATAGAGGTTGCTGTTAGAAATAAAGTTCTGAGTACATATATCGAATCAATTTATAATCAAGTCACTTTAAGTTGATAATATGTATGGCAAAATAGAGATCAAGTATTGTCGTAAATTAAGCAACATGGTACTGAGGATAAGCACTATTGGAGTAGCAGTAGTTATAACAAGATGGCGTAACCGACGAAGTCATCATATTGGCTGTGGGCATCTGGCAATCCCGTAGAAACCCTTCATTGCCAACCTTTAATAAAGGTTGGTTGTGATGATGACGGTAATTGGAATTGGTAACGTATAAGTTATCTCGTTCACCGTGGACAAAGTTATTAACAGCGAAATGGTTTAAAGGTGTAGGTAACTGATAGGCTGGATAATTATTGCAAATGTTTTCCATGTTAGGTAAGAATTGATAGCCCGTCGAAGAAGCATTTATGCCGGTACGATTAGGTGGAATTGGATTAGCGGTAACAAATGGCGGTGTTGAGCAGAGAGGGTTATTGTGCATACGCCGAGGAGAAACATTTATCATTCTATCACCAGTCTTATAGTGAGCTTCTAAAAAATTTCTCGATTTTTGTGATAGTCTCTGTTTCGGATGTCGTTTATGGAAATTGCCTTCCTCAAAATCTTTAAAGACCAATGGGTGAATAGACCAGTAATTGCTTTTGCCTCGATTACTGCGACCAACTTTAATAAAGCAATCGTTGAGTGATAAACTATGGCGAATGCTATTTTTCCAACTGCTATCTTCCACTTTATAATAAGGATAATTTTTAGCGATGTAGTCTATAATATCAGCTAAAACTAATTTCCTATCGCAATTACTCAAGATAGCTTTCGCGATCAATACTTTGTATGGATGATTTGGACGAGTAATATTATCAACGTCGTCATGATGGATGTTATTGCAATGGCTATCAGCGATATCATTATCCCCTGACTCAATATTAGTCATCACTGTCGCATTAGCTTTCTCTGTTGTAGCTGGCGAAGGGAAGGAAACTTTCATATTGTCAGTTAACTCGCAGCGTGATGCTAAATAATTGTGATAATTACTACTATTAACCATTCGTTTAAATTCCAATAGATTGAAGGAATAAAATCTATTTTAACTGGATTTTACAAACAATTCTCTGTCGGGATATTTTACACGAGATGTCTATGTGAGCGTATGTGAATGTTTGTATGTTATATAGAATATCTAGATATGAACAAGCCAGTTAGGATCTTGATTCTGGTAATTCAAATTTTTAATTTCAGATCACTAAAAAATAATAAAAAAATATTTTTTGGTATATGTTTAAATTTATACAGGTACATCTATTAAAATATGCCAGTATTACTTCTCCAAATACCATTAAAAATAGTAGTACAAATTATTAACGGTTCATGCGTTCACTTAGTACTTTAAATGTTACGATATAATGCCGACATGTATGAATGCAGTAGATTGTATATTTTATGTAATGCAATCGAATATTGATTGCGCTACATTTGCACATGTTTCGTAGCAAAAGGTATCCAACAGTGTGCAACATATGTATCAATTCGATACAGCTATCATAAAATTGAATGAATATCGTGTTGAAGACGAAGTAAAGCTGCCCTACTAATACACAGCAGGTAATTATGCAACATTTGATGACAACTGCAGTTCGAGAGTATTAAAGTATTAGCATTAATTTTTTATTGTGTACAATTTTTTTTGCTGTCATATGCTATTAAGTACTCTACCGTAAATATTAATGAATAAAATGGATTAGCTGCGAACAAACTCCTCTTAGCTGACAAATTGAATCGATGTAAAGCATCACCTACCCGATGAATGTTGATGCCACTATCACACTTCTGGCTGGAGCAGAATGTAGGAGAAATAAATATATAATTCTCAAGAAATGACCAGTGCCAAGATTAGTGAAATCCTAACCAAAACTACGATTATTCTATCATTTATGCGTATTGCAGCTAAAGTAGCAACAACTAAACTTGAAGACATCTGACTACACACTTAAATAAGTGAATTCAGGCAGTTGTTTGTTAATTTCATTATTAATTTGGGTATTATCGGCTTAACGGCTACTACAGTATAATTATTAGCAAAATAGTTAATCATTGGACAAACGATAGGATTGGCGGCGCCAATCTGTCTGGGTACGCCGATCAATGCCGTAATTATTATCATAATAATTATTACGGTCATTGCCCACTCGACGACGTAGCAAATTCTTAGTGTACATGATTAAAACAAAAGACGTTTTCACATCCAACTTCCATGTTTACCCGCCGCAGCTTGCAGAGAGTTCAGATGGCTAACATTTTAAGTGCCGGTCAATATACAAACAAAAATGATTACTCTCAGGCTACAATATCCAAAATTGATTATACATAACGGTGTTATGGTCTTTCCATTTCAAATCTAGCCCATTACAGGTGCACAAAAGGGTGTAGACTTATTACTACTGCTATCAAATTCATCAGAACCACCGGAATTTAGCCCAAAAGCAAATTAGATTATAAATTCCATGATTATACAATATGTTGATACACATTGATATATTATACTAAACTTTCTCTATACAAAGCAGTCAGTATCCAATTTTTTTTCCTGTTAAGATTTCATCATCTATCCAATGTCATCAAGTTGGCTAGCCAAAAAATTGTAGATTTTTGTAATAAAAACGAAAATACCCATAACACAACATAATATCCATGATAAATAGACAAGATATTATCGAAGGTAAATTATGCGCATAATTACAGTAATATTAATTGCAGATTAATCGTCCATTTTCTAGTACGCATACGGTAGTAATGAAAGATTTGAGTTCGTGATAACCGCATTTTCTGTCGAGTACATCAGTTTATCCTTTATTTAAAATTTGTTTTTCTGCTCTAATATATCATTTGCAATGTCTAAAAGACTTAAGAATACGACATACTACCTAAGCCCATTTTAATTCTTACCATACAAACTGAATTATTATGCAAACTGTAGAAGAAAAGGTGGTGCAGTGAGCAATATCAATCACTACATACTGCATGATAGGAATAATTGTGATTTGGTATTACTGATCCCGCACTCACTGAGAAAATATCACGGCTAAAGGTTCAACGTAAAATCAGCATATAATGATACAAAATATGACGATCTTATATTGCCTTTAAGCAGAATAAAAATTGACGGATAGAAGCAATTATTACTTCTCATAGAATCCCACGTATTATTCCTCGTATTATCATTAGAAAATAAGTTATAAAAATTCTAACGGACTTACGTGATATAATAGCAAATATTAGCACTACAATAGTGTCCTGATGTCGGATTACAATATAGTTTTAAGACCCTGTAAAACAGACAGTGCAGCGCTCATCGTAGTATTCCAAAACTTATCCTATTTACCAACAGATCTTAGGAGATATTCGTTAAAGATATTTCAAGTCACTGTTTATTCTTATACCATACTCAAGAAATACCATTCTCTAGACCTATTTTAACTCACGTTGAAATCTTTTACACTAGATTATACTAGTTTTTTACAAATTTTCAATGAAAAACATAATCATATAACAACACGTAATAAGAACTTCAATAACATAAAAATGATGTTGGAAAATTATCATTGTCGGTCAAAAATCATGATTGAAATTTTTTCTCGTAGTTTGTTTAATTTGTCTGCACCAGTGAAATGCTCTTTAATACAAAATACGAATGCATAATGAAAGGCGCAAATCATATTATTTAATAATACTGTTCGGTGGCTTATTCATCTCATATTATGAGATTCTAGCTATTATAAAAATATAGTGAGAGGCTATATACTTGATAACGATAATACTGTAATAAGTTAAAAAAACTTTCTCTTGTTACTGAAACAAGCTGTCAAAAAAATCGAAATTTTACAAACAATGCTAAAAATATATCGAAAGTTTTTCATTAACAATAGCTTTAATTTTCCCTATAGGGTAATCTAATCGTTAATTAAGATTGTGTTTGTTGAAGAAATTAAAAAAATTAAAATCTATTTTACACATTGCAAATTGTCGGCGTTTTACAATACGGTGCTGTCTGGAATACTATTAGGGTGTAGACATTGCAGTATCCTACATTTTTCGGTATTAATTCAATGTAGGTGTGATTGCAATTAATTTCAATTTCAATATTAACAGTGAAAATCAATAAGTCTGTGACTGACTATTAAATTTTAGCCATCTTACGTAAAATGGTAACTATTATGAAATTAGTGCGAAAAATAGAGAGCCATATTTACGTCTGCATCAGTACTGGACACTGTTTAGACTAGATTAATGGTACTATACGAAGAGCTTAATAACACATAATGATAATTAATACAATTAATTTTTAAATAATTGGTAATTATATTATAGCTACTCCATGCAGAGAAGGTAGAATGTCAGAAAGGTTGCATCTGCTAGCTATCACACCCCTATAACGGTCATATTATTGTTATGCTTTCACAAACCTAATGACCTGGTAACCTCCAATACGTAATAACCCTAACGGCTATAAATAATTAAATAAAAATAGTACCGTATAAATTTTAGTAACTATTCTTGTACACTAGCAAAGCACCAAGGCATATAATGATGAAAACACTGTAGGTAGATTAAATTATCACGCTTCAAATAAAAGTGATATATAGATAAGTATACAAGTAAGTGTTGTTCATATTACATCGCCCGGTATCATGATTTTAACGTTTGTGCCATTGATAAGTAATCCTTTAGAATGATTTGAAGCTTATGTAAATGTACTACAGAATTTCTGATGTTCCATATTGTATTTCTAGACATTAAGAGGATATTGCTTCTGTGCAGTATTGCATGATGGAATAATTGTCAATTTGAGGTACTGAGAGTCAAAATCATATCCAAGGGAATTATAAAAGTAAAAATAATAAGACGCAGTGCACATATTGAATAGGACAATCCTGCTTGACATTTTATTGCTTGAAAATAATTCATGAGTTTTACGTCTATATTATTAGATTTCTAGTTTCTATCAATGTAAAGAGGAAGTGCTATGTCTTTGTGCAAAAATCTTTACAATGTAATATATTATCTTTGTACGGGTAGAATATCTGTCGGAAATAGCGATAGCAATTAAATCACAAAGGAATAAAATATTAGCGCAATAATATACCCCATGGGATCTGCTCTTTCCTTTTTTTATAATGCCATGATTACAGTCACCAATAGCATTTGAATAGGGCAGTGGTAAAATTATAAAACAAAAAGGATGCCAATTTCTTTAAATATTTGCAGAATTGCCCAAGGAAAAGCCGTAAGTTGCTACAATCCGATGTAGCGCCTTATAAAGGCAAGTGCATTCTAGACGCTAGCTAGACTATCAAGTGTGAACGTCAACATTCATATTAATATTGATAATTAATATAAATTATAATTAAGAGACTGACGAGTGATTACGCTGTGATCCTGTTTAATCTAGCTGTCAGCCTTAGTGAACGGTACTACAATAAACAAGATGGATTGTTGTAAAAAAAATAAGTCAACAAACACCGTATACAACGTACACAAACATTGTCTACGGCCTATTGGGATTCAATTGCCTTCAATACGAGGAGACATCAAAGCTATTTCAACAGAAATGTGTAGAGCGCAATAACGTTAATTCTATAAGACTTCCATTCTTACTCTTAATTTATGTCAGTTTAATTATCTTAATTTATGCAGCTATGAGATGGATGAAGATAATTACAAGCCCATAAAAAGTAGATGGGATACACCTGATAATAATATATGCGCAGATAAAGTTATTTATCAACAATGTTGCCTTAAATCCAACAACAATTGCCCTTTAAGATGAAGAGACATCAAAATTGCTTCTGCAGAATATCCAGAATGCGATAATATATAATCAAGTCATAATACAGTGTTATACTCTATTCTATAAGTCGTAATCTCCTAACCACGCGTTAAGTTATAGTATCTGTATTATGAAAATAGTCATACTTTAAAAGATCTCAGCTAAATCACTTAATGCTGTTGTACCAGATTTATAATTGCCAGCTTGCAGAATACCCCATAGCATATGCTTGACGAAATTAGATCTGGTAGATTATGTTATTGATTAACAATGTTATCTTAAATCCAAATAATATTTAGCGGTTATATCGAGCAGTTTTATTTATTAACCCTTTAACGTTAAATGCTTATAATTATACAGCTCCTGTCCAACTTCACTAGGTAATAATTTATGAGTACATAGCCGTCTAAATAATTAATTTTATCCCATTCAACTAAAATTATATCTGATGTGCAACTGTATAATACATCATACTCGCACTATATGTCATATTCAGTTATGCCATCCTATAATTGTAATCACACATAGATACGCGGCTAGACTAGCAACAGTAATCTAAACCGGTCTATTTCCAAGAAAAGATTCAACGAAGTGGAAGAAGGAAATTCAGCAAATTAATAAGTATAAAGACTAAATATTCAAGATGTTATTCACGAATAGTAAGCTATCATCATATCATGTTGAAAAATACCATGAATTCGTTGAATTAAAAAATAGCCAATACCAAGTCGAATAAACATAAACTATAACATTTACCCTTAGGAATTATACCTCACTGCATAGTAGGTAATATCCATCAATTATTATAACTAAATAAAGAATCTGGATGATGAATAAATACTTATCAGGTATAAATAGAGACTATTGGCTCCATAATACGATATACTATTTATCTTTCATCATGTATATTTGTTTGTTTCTCGCGATCATGGAAATTCACAGTTATTATTATCGATTTTTTTCTTCAAGCTATTACATAATATACAGCATATTACAGAACAAATACATATGCATTACTATTTCCACGTACTATGTACTATACACGAAATAACGACAACATTTTATTAATTTCATGTTATGTTGACATGAGAATATCAGAAAAGTAAATAAGAAGAGATTTCTAGACATTACGTTATCACATTGATGACAGCTGATGTGGGTTACGTTAGAACTATATATAATTATCTCATGAGATAGAAATATTAATTCTGAGGTTATTGTTTCCACTAAGCAAATATACCCCAATTTGGGGATATTTCTGATCATTTAAATAAACAAAGACTAAACATTCTCGACATCCAACCTTGACATTTGCCAAATACGTAAAATGATTATATTCTAATATATCGCAAGAGCAAATAAGAAATAAATAAATCCGTATAGTCTGTAGCTGGCATAATATTTGTACATCGAATTAAAAATTGGATTTAAATGTTTACCTAACAGGGAAAGCTGCAGACTACTCGGATATAATTTGTCCTTATACGCATATAGCATGTTTGCTTGGATATAGCCGCTATCCCAACTGTTGGTATTATCTTGCTAATTCATTAATATAACTTTGGTATGAATAATATACATGATGGCAAACGCTCATATACTAAATATAATAAATAAACTCCCATTTAACTGTATCTCTAGTCTGATATTGCCTACTACAATCTTCTATCATTACGATATCGTATCATATACCGTATTAATACACCTAGCGCCTCCTTGCTAATACCTCCAAAAGTTTCATAAGTAGACGTATTAGTAATTGAAAAAGAACAGAAAGAATACCATAGCAAGACATTGCTTATCATAACCCGCAATTATTGCATATCATACTCCTGCTAATGCACACCAATATCACCTACCGTTAAAAATTTCATTAACACGCACGGTAACAACGGAATGATTAATTCTGTCGTATGTAATTATGATTGTTATATAAGCATGGTCAGGCGATACCGGTAATGTTTTCATACGAGTGCATATGTGGTATATATTGACTGATACTTGCATTATTTCTTATTGTTTATTAAACTGATATCAAAGATAGTATAGTCTACTGTGAATCAGACTGTTTACTTCAAAAGTTTTGTCATAATTTTTCTTTTATTTCATTACGCAACCGTAAGTAATAACACTGTTAATAATGTAGTCTTCGTGATTCGAGAGAACCTAAGATAATGATATTTAGTCGGTAAAAATAAAAAAAATATACCGTATAAAATCGTCATTTAAATGATTACTTTGTAAAAGCTACGTATTGTACTATAACGATCATAACAATAGATTTTCATAGATCTAGTCAATCTTGATCATTAATTTACAGATCACTTATTAAAGAAACTAGTAATACTTCATTCACTGTGTAACTATCTGTCAACATGTATATCAAATACCAGTATATAATACTGTATAAGCTTATATAAGAGTATTGGTTCATCACTTCCCATTCACGATAATTTTTTAATTTTTACTCGAAAAGACGTGAAAGCCTCCAATAATACGTCTTTTCAGGATCCCAGGTACTACTAATGTCTCATAATCAACATCATCATGATATCATTATACTGCAGTACAAATAATTAATAACAGCTTCCTTGTTTTTTCACATTGACGGCACACGTCTCAACTTTGTCAACCGCTACATATTAATCCCTCAATTAATGTCAATAAGCCACGTTATTAATAAACCAATTTGCTAAGATATACGATATTAGGTCAAGTCAAAAGTCAGACGACTTGCGATCTCCATAGTCTAGTTATAGTCTGTCTCGATACCAAAATCTGATTATTAGACCTAATTAGAGATGAATATACTTCATCTTATCGAGAGTTTTACAATCTGTAAGACGTACCATATTCGCTACTTTTTGCTAAGATTATCTAGCCATGAACAATAATATTGTTGATTAAATGCTGCTACATTTCTCCTTATGTAAGATAATCAAAATGTAGCTATATCAGAATTGCCATCAATTGTGATAGAAATATCTGTAAGGTCTGCAATTATCGGCTCATAGCTGCTGTTAAAGTTACTCGTCCAAAGTTTTCATAATATTTGATACCATCATCAGTAAAATCAACAAAAAAACATTATATAATTTGTCAGTCTGGGAAATGGATAACAAATCATAAAATTGCAATTTCTTTCAATTATACCCTCGTTCTAGTATCGTAATGAGATACAGAGTTTGATACCACAGTTATTCCATATAGGAAATGCACAGCACACAATATTAAAAATCAATAAACTGATACCATAAATAGATGCGACAATACTGTCATTATTAATAAGAGTACCTGGAGGAATAATAATTGTTGTGGCCTCCTTTGCCCGCTCGGCGAGCTTTAATCCTTTCTGCTGTAGTCTTGTTCTTATATATAGATTAAATAAACAATTAGGAAAAAGTCATGAAGAGGTGACAGATGTTTAATAAACAATAGTAGTTGAACGAAAATTGAAATTTTTAAATGCCGAACTATTTCTAGAATAAAGTATGTCTAGAAAAATATCTCATAATATAACAAGTACAGTAAGAGGCGTCAAGAAATGGAAAAAATTGGACACAAGAAATGAAATTGAAGGCTACAAGATGAATACAAAGTATACAGTACAATTTACTACTAATAAAAGATGCGTACGATATATACTGTAAATACAATGTATCGTATGTGGAATATTGCAATAATAATCCGTTTTATATCATTTTATATTTATATGACAAACTCATTATTAGATATAAAAATTTTCAAGTAATAATCAACAATTATATAATTACTATTAAATCAGGATGTTTAACGGCAGACTAAATCGAACGTTAAAATGTGTCATAATAAATTAGCAAACTACAGATTTAACAATGGAATTTAACAAATAGCGAGAACAAATATAATAAAGTGTTATAAATATGTAAAAAAGTTCGTTATACGCATACACGTCGACTAAGATTAAAGTGGTACTGTAATACATTTAAATCATCTAATAAGGTAATAAATAAAGAATAGATCTTGTCATCATTACAGATGGTGTTCATACATCATGTATAGTATCGAAGCAAACTGAAATTCAAATTTTTACTGACTAATAACTAACATTAATTTCATTATCTTACCTACTTTTATATATCTTAACAGCTGAAGTGATGATAAAACTACTACGTAAAAACCTACCAACATCAGATTAAATGTTTGATTGAGTAATAACATGCTGGTAAATAGCCAAACTGCTCCCGATAGGGCGGTAACGAGATAAACAATCCAGTTATTCTTCGACTATCGACAAGAAAAATGAGAATTATTCCGTAACGAGTTAAACGGAATAATTTATGCATGTTATATCACGGATAGAATCCTTTCGTTCTTAGTATGTATATATTTAACGTACACTATTCCAAGTTACTATGAATCATAAGTGATATTTGATTTACTTACCATATAGCCACAATTGGTGCATTGATTCGGATCTATATAATATAACCTGCATACGCATATTGCACCGCTTATAGCAGAAGCGACAATACAATAAACCAAGAAAGTTATAAAAAAGCCCTGATTGTCTTCTCCAATGCAGTTATTGATACTTTGAATGGAATATTCATTATAATGTATAAAATGGTCATGTTTAGAATTGCATACATAGATACAAGTAAGAAAGAATTTTTACAATCGAATAATAACAATAGATTTTAACATAGCACTAAATGTCTTAAGTTTGACGTTCATTAGCATGCTGACTTACAATTTGCAATGATGATCCAGCTTACGAAAGCAACGCTTACACGCCCTGCAGTGATGACTCCTTAGCGGTTTTCTCACCTTGCACAACTGGCAGTAATCGAATGCTAACGTCTCTGGGCGCAGGTAGATAAAAGTGTAGCTCGTAAAAGTAATTTTAACAGCTTAACAGTTATAACAGTATACATATAATTAGCCTGTTATAGTCCCTTCATGCTCGAGAAATATTCTTACTAACGAAAGTTAATTATTGAGGAAATGATATCTAATAGGCTGTATTGTGTTGTAAATACGTTTGATTGGTCAGTATACACTTGGCGCTTGGTAACGGTTTTTATACTATGATGATAAAGCCCTTATCCACATACTGTACAACACCAGAATTACAATGAAATGATATTATTGGGAATACAGGACATAAACACTATTTGTTACTATGCTGCGATATCAATGTATTACTGGTATATTAGCTTACTTGGGTCAGCCGCAATTTCATCAGTAGTTGGCGGTGGTAGACAGCCCGGATCCGACAGTGAGACATGTATCAACGATAATAACAATAAAAGCATAACTAAGGCATATCCTACAGACCGGAGTATAAACAGGAGAGTAACAATTAGTACAATAAGTCTATACTTACCAACATCACTACTAGACGTTCTATAAGTAATGTAGCATTATCTTATAAAAGTGATAGATGCAGCTAACGAATGTCGTATACATCAACAGTCGTGCAATTGAATCAGATGTATACTTAGAAGTTTATACCTGTATGTCTGAAAGCTGTCATGCACACAGTACAAAGCATGCAAACAGTAATGGATCGTAGATAAAATAATACGTATATTACTATTTACATAATGTCATTTTTGAAGCGCAATACGTAGAAAATTAACACACTAGTCGGACAATGGGGTCAATGTGACAAAATGTTGAAGGAATAATGATAGTAATAATGTAATCTACTGTAGCTCATATTCTACTTAGGAAGATATTGAAGAATTACAAATTGAATCGATCAAATTAACCCAGGTCGTAAAAGATTGTACATGATAGGCATTAGGTAGATGTAACGATACAACTTATAACAATCTAGCAATACCGCTAGCCTACACTAGCGATCCATATAAATATCCAAGTTTATATTGTTATCGTCATTTTTAACGTTAGCATAATAATATAGAAATACACCTATAAATGTAGTAAAATCTACTAAACAATCATTAAAATTGAATGCTAATATAACGTATTTTCTTATTGATGAATAACAGCGCATAAGATTTGCTAGAACATTAAAAAGCGATTGCTTATGAACCATTGCACTACGAGCACATAATTGTACCTACCAAAGATGACAAAACTTCTGTGCGCATAAAAAGTCAACAATATTAAATGAAAACACGTGTAGAAAGATAAAGTCCAAGCGAGCAAATCTAGTATTAGCCATGTTATCCCGGTCCTCTCGCTATTAAATCGCCATTTGTGAATATCATCCATGATATTCTAGTTGTCAAAGTTCCAGCTGTGAATGATGAAGAGTAAAATATAGAGTAAGTACAAAACAGTTGGCTTACTCAAATCAATATCTACCTTGATTTAGTAATATTTCCTTTTATTTCTATGCCATTACGTAGATATTATATAATTGGATGTACAGTGTGTAGGACATACGAGCATACAATACAGTGAATATTTTCAGCTACTCAATATGCTGGCATGTATGAGCTACTACGGATGAATAGTATGAGTATACAGCATATAACTTGGAATGTTCACCGGTGCCAAGTGTGTCAGCAATCTACTGTAAGTATGTATATGACTAACATAAATATGTAGTAACTTGAACACAGTATTTTATTAACACGTACTCAACGAGCTAGCAGCATGTAGACTACCATATATGACAAATCTGAATGCACGTTGTATAACTGGAATATTTATAGATATTATTCAATGTACTGGCAATACATGAGCTACCATAGATGACTAAATATGAATGAAAGTGTAATGTAGAAAGTCAATATGGAAATAAATTTGAATCTATTGGTCTAGAAAGAATCATACAGCTACTGACTATAAATAGTCCATGCGATACATTGCTACTTACTGTACAAGCTAACATCTGATTTGACACCTAATCAATCTCTTCCACCATCAAAGCTGATACAGTATCGCGATTTGATAACTCGACTGTAAAGAAGAAGAAAGTCAATTTAATCGATTGAAATGATGCTTCTGTACTCGTATGTACCTATTGATTATCATCCATTCATTCTCTAACTACTCAATATCGTATGGTATTCAAGCCCAGCTAAGATTGCAGCAAGCGTTTATATGGTATTCAAGTCTAGCTAAGATTGCAGTAAGAGTTTAGATCATATTCAAATCTAGTTAAGATTGCAGCAAGCGTTTATATGGTATTCAGGTCCAGCGAAGATTGCAGCAAGAGTTTATATGGTATTTAAGTCCAGCAAAGATTGCAGCAAGAGTTTATATGGTATTTAAGTTCAGCAAAGATTGCAGCAAGAGTTTATATGGTATTCAAGTCTAGCTAAGATTGCAGCAAGAGTTTAGATCGTATTCAAGTCTAGCTAAGATTGCAGTTAAGAGTTTACTAGTGCAAACTCCCGTCGCTTTGCTGACGGTTTACGATAATGTGCTCATTTAACAGATAGTATTACCATTTGTCGTACTCAGTAGACCTGTCAGAGGTTCAGTAACTTTATACCGTGTAAGTCTAGCTAAGGTTGCAGCAAGAGTTTATATGGTATTCAAGTCTAGCAAAGACTGCAGCAACAGTTTATATCGTATTCAGGTCCAGCGAAGATTGCAGCAAGAGTTTATATGGTATTCAAGTCTAGCAAAGACTGCAGCAACAGTTTATATCGTATTCAAATCTAGCTAAGATTGCAGCAAGAGTTTATGCCATTCTCATATGAACTACACTAGCCTTTTATGCGATAAATCTACATAGTAATTCCAGCTATTACTTTTCTGTCTTACGTTCTTGTGCCTTGGATCAACCTATGTTCAAAGACTTCTATCGCTGTACATCTTCTTCCTTTCCTAGCTAAAATCTTGGCTAATTCATTTATCGGAAAAGGCAAAATGGCGAGAGATGGTCGTGCAGTATTCGAGCACTGCGCTGTTACTATGATTGTTGTTTATACTTGTGGTGAAATGAGCCAAGTATCCTACTGTATCTTAAGATTAAAGGTTACAGTATGACTTCTGTACCGCTACATGGAACAGTAAATCGTTGATTCGTCTAGCCACTGTACTACCCCTTTACCAAGGAAGTTGTCTAGTGTTTGTATAACAAGTGTACTGTCATCTCGGACTCACTCCTCTCTTGACTATGGCAGATTCTTCCAAAAAGTCTCTTATGCGATCCATACTATCTCAAATTGCAGAATCGAAGTATAATCTAAACACTCATTATGATCTATAGCGCAACCATTGAAGATTAACACTTTTCACCCCCATTAATGCTGGTGATAGTAGGCTCAAAATCGATGCCATATGTCTTGGTTGATACACATTTCTCATCACCATCTGAATCAGTTACTTCTGTATTAATACTGAGTAATTGCTTGATACCCGTTTATAGCACACTCTCCTTTGTATGATACACACTCTCAAGTCCTTACCACGAGTAACTACGATCGTTCTTCGACACATCTGGCCATGGACTTCTGAAGAAAACCAACTTTATTTTATACGAAGTCCGTGACTAGAGGCTCGATCTTACGTAAAATTAAGGCATAATCCTACGATAGTACTACGACAGATCAGGCCAAGGACTACTGAAGAAAACCTACTTTATTTTATACGAAGTCCATGACTAGAGGCTCGATCTTACGTAAAATTAAGGCATAATCCTACGATAGTACTACGACAGATCTGGCCAAGGACTACTGAAGAAAACCTACTTTATTTTATACGAAGTCCATGACTAGAGGCTCGATCTTACGTAAAATCAAGGCATAATCCTACGATAGTACTACGACAGATTCTACGATAGTTCTCCGACAGATCAGGCCAAGGACTACTGAAGAAAACCTACTTTATTTTATACGAAGTCCATGACTAGAGGCTCGATCTTACGTAAAATCAAGGCATAATCCTACGATAGTACTACGACAGATCATACGATAGTTCTCCGACAGATCAGGCCAAGGACTACTGAAGAAAACCTACTTTATTTTATACGAAGTCCATGACTAGAGGCTCGATCTTACGTAAAATTAAGGCACAGTACTACGATAGTACTACGACAGATCTGGCCATGGACTACTGCAGAAAGCTAATTTTATTTTATACGAAGTCCATGACTAGTGACTCGATCTTACGTTTAAATTAAGCCACAGTACTACGATAGTACTACGACAGATCAGGCTATGGACTACTGAAGAAAGCTAACTTTATTTTATACGAAGCCCATAGCTAGAGGCTCGATCTTACGTAAAATTAAGGCACAGTACTACGATAGTACTACGACAGATCAGGCTATGGACTACTGAAGAAAGCTAACTTTATTTTATACGAAGCCCATAGCTAGAGGCTCGATCTTACGTAAAATTAAGGCGCAGTACTACGATAGTACTACGACAGATCAGGCTATGGACTACTGAAGAAAGCTAACTTTATTTTATACGAAGCCCATAGCTAGAGGCTCGATCTTACGTAAAATCTAGGCACAGTACTGCGATAGTACTAAGCTAACTTTATTTTATACGAAGTCCATAGCTAGAGGCTTGATCTTACGTAAAATCAAGGCACAGTACTACGATAGTACTACGACATTTCAGGTCATGGACTACAGAAGAAAGCTAACTTTATTTTATACAAAGTCCATGACTAGAGGCTCGATCTTACGTAAAATCAAGGCACAGTACAAGTGAAAGTGAGAATCCACTAGTATATTCTGAGCCAATGATAGCGGTCCCCGTTAGTGCAGGTGGCTTATATACTAGCTCTCAGCTTTACTCCCTCTTGCAATAGATGCACGCCGAGTTAAGGCTACAGACGACTTTCTTCGAATGGAACGACAGTGAAGATTGCTGCAAAAGTGATCCTGTATTTATTTTTTAGTCATTTTAAAACTATTATACATCTTCCGTTTTTAACCTCCATGCTGAGCACTAAGCCTGTCTTGTGTAGAGTAGAGGGCAGCTGTCTTCTTCAACTTCTAGAATTTACTTTCTTTAGGGAATACCGTACGATGCGTGTACCCATGCTGTTATTATTGCAGATTATTCGATGCTGCACCACTTACTCTAAATTACTGTACTAGTCACCATCAACAGTATACTAGATCCATATTGAATTTGAACTAAGGAACGATATATTTTAATTAAATTCAATTAGAACGATTAAAGCATCACTCTGTCAATATTGTTCTATCCCAACTATCCTAACACTACGATGATAAAAGCTACAATCACCTGGAGATACAGCGATACAATAGCCAACGTATAAAGACTATCAACTGTATCCTTGGATACAGCGACTTTACTGTATCCTATGAAAGTTTAGCCGGATATCATCAGAGCTACATGTAGTTAGACTAGAAAGTAAATGGTTACTCTAATTCTACTTGGAAAGAGTAGAACATTATAAAAACAATAGTTTAAATAAGATCATAATAAATCGACACTGTGATAACTTGTGCGTTCTCTAGAATCGCGTCGAATTCATACGTCCCTGGAGTCTACTGTTGTACTTTCACGGATAAACCCTTTATGATGCTTCCTCGTAACCCTAGCTATCCGACTGTAGTTATCAAAGCCAGCAATCAGCTGCAAATGGAGCCATACAGTAAGCAGCATATATGTAAAGATCATTACAAGGGTATTATAATCAACATAACTTGTTTGAAAATAATATTACTATACACTATCAAAGATATATATAACGGTATATTCCTATATATACGATGTACCCGTAATCTAGCTAGAAAGCAAATCGTTACAACAGCTCTATTTCTACTTGCAAAGTGTAGGCCATCTCATAAAATCTATAGATCTGCCAAGATTATACTTCATGGACACAATATTCAATGGATAACCCTCGTTCCATCGTGTTCTATAATAAAATAACTCATTCTCATAGTCTATCCTCCTACTTTCACGGATAGTCCCCCATTATTACCTGGCCTGTTGGCAATTATTCTCCATTGAAAATCCACTAAATGTATTTCTACGCCTGCGTATTATCCTAGTCACGTTACCTCTATGCATTCAATTTTCCAAGCTTAACCGCGTCGTTGACAAGAAAATCAAGCGTTCCTCGACGCCCATCGCTAACACAGACAGTCATCACTTTTCGTTAATAAAATCACGCGATAAATTCACGGACTGATTGGCCTTTATTGCCTAATTATTACCGTTAAGAAATGGATGGAGCCAGGTAAGAAATTTCTAACATCCTAGAACGATAGTGGGTAGCAAAGTATGGACGATGAGGCTTGCCAAATTGCAAATTGTATTCGCTAAATTGTTGAATATTAAATTGGCCCCATTTTAATCATAATAATGAGGGTAATGGCGGGAGTACAATCAATAAAGAGCATCGATTTTATCCAATTTAAACAGTATAGCATCGACCATTTATTGAGAAATGATCATGATATCCATCCATATATAGTACATTGGCTCGATGGGATAGCTTAATCGGTCATAGAATCAATGAAGATAATCCAATTTTATGCGCTAGAATCGTAGATGTAACCTTACTGATCATACCTATCAGGATTTAAACGCATCGACATAATTATCCTTATCCAAATCAATATAAAATTGAAAACTATTTTTTATAGCCCTTATATTTTCCTTTTCTATAACATCAAGAGTGAACTAAGTAAGAAATTGAAGAATAGAATATGGACGATAAATTATCTCAGCACTTGCAATATAGAAAAGAAAGCAATAGCATGGATATTAATGCAATCACTGACGACGCAGAGTTATATACTCTAAATCGTATCGCTACGTGACTTTTGATAAATAGAACTAACCATTTTTTACTCACACTAAACATATCTGAACATCATTAATCTTCATTTATATACTAAAAATAGACCTTATTTAAACTAATAAACTTCGCATTTATTCACATAATTGACATCAGAGCAAAACAGACACTAGTATTAGAAAAGGATCTCTGACAATATCTATCGTACCGTTAATACAAATCAAATTTAGATCTTTCAAGACAACTTAGATAGTAATAACTTGGTTATAATTATCATTGCAGTAGAATTTATACTAGCCTTATTAAATATCTTCAAATATATCTATATACCCGATTATAAGTATAAACATAAATAGGCGATCTTCGACTAATACGTATATAGTACCGTTACCCTTATTACCTTCTTATCGGAGCAGAATTGATATTAGCGATAACGCATCTCAGTAGATAATGAACTTCATATCATCAAACCAGAATTGATACTAACGTTATTAAATAGCTATGAAAGATCTATCTGGCCGTTTCTAAAAGTCGGAAATAGATCTTCTCAATTTAGTACATAGTAAGTAGTTCATATTTTATTATCAGATCATAATCGATCCTGATATTTGTCAAAGAGCCATTGAAATATCCATCTAACCTCGTAAAAAATTGTAATTGTATTTTAATCTAACGTATAGTAGATAAATAACATTTTATTATTTTAACACGAGTGCATAGATTGATGCTAGTGTTATGATGTGTCTCACAAATACGTATATCTATCGAACCACTAATTAGTCAAATTTTGAGGATAGATCTGGTCAGATAAAATTCTAGCATTTAGTGCAAATAATTGTATCATACTTGAGGTCAAAGAAGAATTGCTACATTATTAGAAAGCATTTCTGACTCTGCACGTACAATATTCTACTAGGTATTAATTTTCATATTAGCATGGCACCATATTAATATTAAATACATTAGCAAAAATAGTACGCATACATCAGTTATACCCCAAATAAAAAAATATAGTCAAAGTTTGATCACTACTAAATAAAGTTGAAATGTTTTCAATGTAAATACTATCATTTCCAACATCATAAAACTATCCGTTATTGTTATTGTTTCATTAGATGACACACTTTAAAAAAATGAATAACACAAGTAACTTAACCGTTAAATAAATCTAACGGTTTAATATTGTATAATATAATTAAGCGTATATTACGAAATCATTTAGCTTATAATAAAATAATGAGGGAAAATGTCCAAAAAATGTCAGCTATATAAACCCAAACCAGTAACTCGGATATATGTCAATTTTAAAGTAACTACATCCATTTATGACTCTTGCGCTATTATTTTACGTTAAGAGAAAACTATTAATCTGATAAAGTTACTTACCGCCATCACAGTCAATGCTCATATCTATTAAAATATCAGTAATGCAAGAAAAGAAATACTGAAAAGTTAAAGATCACAAAAAATAATATATTGTACTGGCTCTTTTCATCTAAAAGCTATTAAGTGAATTGCACGAGACATTCATTATTTTGTGCCCTCTAATAGAGTCTATAATTAAGTTCACGATAGCAATAGTTATCATTATTTCATCCCTTGAAGCTCTTTTGAGCTCTTATAATTAATATAAACCTAATTTTCCTTTTATGACTATCGCAAGATTCAATTTATTACAGCACAGCAAAGTTAATAACGATTAATCATTATAGTCTGAAAGATTAGTCTTATAAACTTCTTTTTCAAGTTATTTTTTAAGTCTGATTCCCTTCACAGATATCATAATATCAAACTAAACTATTACTATACATCCATAGTATGATTTCCTTGGTAGGAAACAGGGACGTTAAACCTTACGCTAAATATAGTATAAAATGTAAATGTTGCAGTACAAAATATAGTTTTAAAATCTCTAGTTATCAGAGGTGGAATAATAATATTTTATCTCCTTTCTATTTTATTTGTACGAATATCTAATATAAATCAGAGCACATATTCCAAAGAAAGATTCTTCGTTCATCATCCGTTTAATACTGTTATAAATCTTTTCTTTCCTGTAACAAAATTTACTGGCTAATCATTTACGATATAAATTTAAAATGCTATCATCCTAATTTTATAAGTAAAATGAAATTATAACGGCCATAGTTAGGATAAATGGTTTCAAATCCATTTCAATATCTTATTTTAAACCTTAATTTGAAATCTTGTAGCTCAACCGGAATAGTTACCAACGGTGGTATTGGTGGCATGAATTCCGGCAGCACCGGAGGAGGAATAAACAATGCCAATTTTGCTGCTTCTTCGTTGCCTCACTTGCAATACTACTACGGATCAACCGGCAAACTTCCTGATTCCGACGGTTCGACTGCTGCATCTATTGAACAAGACAAACAAGTAAATATAAAGTATTTCTTAAAAGAACTAGAAAGTAGAATTTAAGATGAATAGATTCGATACATTTTCTAGACTATAGTCTTTGCCAATAAATATCATATCACATGCAGCTTGCATTCACTAGCAGTGCTATAGTATTAGAATTGAATTAATCTTTTCAATCTTTCAGTTAATGAGTATACTATATAACATAATGTTGTATCATCTGCAGCTTATTACTAATTTTATATAGAGGTAGACTTTTAACCAATAGCTTTATTCTCTTTTATCATCAGGAATGTATGAAATGGATTAATAGCTACATTTCTAAAACCGGGCATCCTCTGATTGTTAATCTTGAAGAGCAACTCTCAGATGGCTTAACTCTAATTAAACTTTTAGAAGCGTTAGGTAAATTATTACTACTACGCTCGTATATCGAGAGATAATAAGGGCGATTTGTATCATTAAATCCTAATTTATTATTACTTTTAACTACCCCGATCATATATATCACCAACTCTTTATTAGCCGGTGAACGCCTAGCCAAGTATTATACACTACCCAAGCTAAGGGTCCAAAAGATTGAAAACACTAAAGAATGTATTAATTTCATGGCTGAGAGAGGAATTAACGTGACTGGAATTCGTGCTGAAGGTATATTTTTTATTACTCTTGTAATATTGATTATTTATAAATAATCTTAGGAATGATAATTTATAATATACTGATTCTCAAATTTGGATTGCCTGGTGTATTTGTGATAGAATTGGCTTCTGGAAATGTCAAGACCATGTTAACTATGTGCCATCTCCTAAGATTGAGAGTTGAAGCAAATGTCAAAAATGGTATGTTATAGCCCGGGTTTGATCTTGTCGATGCTATCCTGATACAAAAGAAAAAAATGAATATAATTTCAAATAATTGATGCGTATTATCAATATCTATTTGTTGCATAGGCTATCCACCATTGTATAAACCTCCATCGGCAGGCATTAGTAATAGCTATATTAATAGCAGTCAATCCAATTTGGCTGGAAGTCAAGCAGATTTGACTACATTAGACAAGGAAGATCTGTCCGTTTTATCATGGGTAACAGGCCTTACAGGGATTCCAATCCAAAGTTATAATCAGTAAGAAGTTTTGTATGCTTTCTTTCGGCTTTTAATCCAGGTTATCCTATATATCCTGTCCATAATTCCTAGATTAGAATTTTAAGTTTCGTACTAAACTATTATCAATGTCACAGGTCCAATAGCAGATTTCTATCTTTTAAAATACTATCTTCAGTATTCCGTACTACATTTAATGTAGGCGGGATCCGATTGCCCAGCGCATTTAATTAAATTAAAATTTTACTTCATAACCAAGCTTAAATATGAATTCATTATATTTAAAGTACAATTGATGCTGATTTAGTTCAAAGCCATCATAATAACTAATTTCTGAATAGAAACGTTGACTAGCGTGTTTCATATGGCGGCTTAATTTAATTTATTTTAATATACATTTATAATGATAATGATCCATCGTTAACTTTCGATATAGAATATTACTCAATCATTTTCAATCTCAATTAGATTCTATGATGGTCGTATTCTTTATGAAGTGGTCAGCAAAATTTGCGGTACTTCAATACCAAAAGAGGTAAGAATTGAATTTAAATGACAGCTGCAAGAGTTACTAATTGTTATTAGCTTTTAGTCTCGATGATCTAAATTCTCTCATTCCCTATTGACTTTCTCGAAAAACAGTTACCTTTTGTCAATTTTTAGATGCTAGTATATTCATTCTCATTTACTATTTTACTTTTTTACAAAATAGAAATTAGATATACTTACACCCATTGAAAGATGCAATTTAGCTTTCGATACTGCTGAACGAGAATTGTCTATTCCTAAACAAGTTAACTCATGGGATGTTACGAGTGGCCACGATAACTATGGTGTTATTTTATACTTAAAGTAAGTTATGGATTGTTTTAGCCTAATATGATAACGAATGATTTGGAATTCAAATTTTGAGCAGTAAATAAATTTTGAATTATGACTACTGCCGTTACTAATATTTGATCATTTGCAAAACGATAACAGGCAACTCTATCAAGTATATGAGCATCGTATACGACAACAAGATGTCGCTCAGTTAATCGAAGAAGAAGCTCGACAACAACGAATGCTGGATGAAAGGATTCGTAAATTAAAAGAAGATGAAGTTCAGCTTACTAAACATCGAGATGAAGTGCTTCAAAATGAGCAAAAAATTAATGATTTAGCTGAAAGTGTTAAGCAACGAGAGCTAAATTTACGTCAACAAGAATCAGAAGAAAGTGAACGCATTAAAAGGCAAATGAACGAGTATACCAATGATATTATGAATCGTCAAGTAGAGCAACAGCTGTACAACGAAAGTAAACAAGTTCATCATGATGTGGTTAGTCTATCATTCAAATTTTAAGATAGATTTACAGAAATGGATTAAACACTAGGATGGGAGTAATTTTAGCTAGCTACCATTCCTTAATTATATAGCGATTGCTAGATTGCACAACAATTAATGCTCTAATGAATCGATTCATACTCATGTATCGACTTCATTTGAGTAGGATAGGCAATGGAAACAAGAGGACTAACTTTAGCTAGCCACTGTACCTTAAATCGATCGTGATAGTTAGATTAGATACATAGATATAATATAAGAATTAATACCGGAATTAATTGATACAAATTCATAAAGCGACCTCAATCGAGGAGGATAGGCAATTAAAACAAGAGGACTAATTTTAGTTATCTACTTTACCTTAGTTACTGGTAATAGTTAGATTATAATTATAGAAGAATTTATATCTCTAATTAACCGATTCATGCTTAAGCATTGACTTCATCCGAGTAGGATAGGTAACTAGAATAAGAGGAGTTCGTTAGCTACTTACCTTAATTGCATATGATAGATCGGCTATTAAAGAATTAATGTCATAGTTAATCGATTCATACATATGTACCGATTTCATTCGAGCAGAATGGGCAACTAGAACGAGAAGAGTTTGTTAGCTACTGTACTTTAATTGTATACTAATAGATTATGCATGAGTTAATACCTAATTAATCGATTCATACTTACGAATCACTGTATTTGAGTAGGATAAGCAATTGAAACGAGAGGAGTAATTTTAGTTAGCTACTGCACCTTCATTGCATATTGACAGATTAATTGTGTAAGGATTAATTCACTAATTAATCAATTAATACTCATCAATCGACTTCTTTCGAGCAGGATAGACAATTGGAACAACAAGGGATGGCTGCAACATACCAATGGCGATCAAGTCGGCAAAATTTAAATCATATCGATGGCGATCGCAACCCTAATCATGATGAACACGACCAATATGCTGTCCATCTGATGAAACAACGTCGGCGACGACAACTTGGTGAGCTCGAATTGCAAAAGAAACAATTAGAACGCGAATGGAAAGTTGTTGAACAAAATCAACAAGATTTACAGCGCCAATGGTATCAAATGCAAGAACAACATAATCAAATTACACATCAATTAACCGAGAGGCAATTAGAATTACAACGTCAACAAGAACAATTAGGTGAGAAAGATTTAGAATTGAAGAAACGCGATCAAGAACAAGTACTGTACAATCAGCAACAACAACATTATTGGCGTCAAAAAGAAGAGCAATTACAACAGCAAGCTGCTGCTGTTGAACAAAAAGCCAATCAATTACAGCTATTACAAAAAGAAGTAGATATGCAGCAGAAATATTTAACGCAAGAAAAATCCTACGTCGATCAACGCGCACAACAAGAATTATTGGAAGCGCGTGAAAAAATCGAGAATGAAAAATTAAATATTAAGAAACAGCGCGATGAATTGGTGAAAATACAGCATGATATCGAGGAAAGATCACGCGATTTAATGCATAAAAAGTATGAAATACAATTTAATGAGCAAGAAGAAACGGTTCGATTGCGTAAACGCATTGAAGACATTGAAAAAGTTGTTCAACAACAACATGACCAATTACTGACAGAACAGAAAAAACGCAATGATCAGTATGAAGAGATATTGGAATTACGCCGTCAGTTAAGATTGAAAGAGCAACAACTAGATAATGAACGTAATCTAAGGGAGAAAGAAATAAAAGTCAAAGAGGATGAATTAAGTGGATTAGAGAAACAACGCCAACAAGAATTTATCAAGCGCATGGAAGAATTACGCATGAAAGAAACCCGCATCGAGCACCAACGGCTTGACTATGAGAAGCAATTGCGTACTATGGAAGAGAAAGTTAAATCGGAAGAATTACTTGAGCAAGAACGACGTCGACAAGAGCAAGAAAAACGCCTAGAAGAGTTAAAAATGAAGGAGAAATTGTTAGAGGAAGAAAAATTGGAACGTGAAAGACAGCTACGGTTACAAGAAGAGAAAAGAAAGGAAGAAGAGATATTAGAATTAGAAAGGAAACGTCGATTAGATCATGAACGACGATTACAAGAAAAGCAAGAATTAGAAGAAAGAATTCGAAATATTGAACGATTACAACAAGAAGTGCGTGAAAAACAAGTTCATCAACAAGCACAAGATACTACTGCTCGAAAATCGCCATTAATCCCTGAGCGTCCACTTAATTATGATAGTAGTAATCAACGACGACCATTAAATAATGCGTTGAAACCGACCGTGTCGGAAAGTGTTTTAAATTCGCCAACTAAATCCGATTATCGAGCTAAATCGCCATCAGCTTGGAATGCTAGTGAATCGATGGTCGCGTTACGAACTTCATCACCCAATAAATCAAGCAATGATACACTATCAAAATCACGTCTACCCATGACAAAATTAGGTGGTTCAACTAGTAATTTATCCAATATTGGTAAAAGTCCATCCAACGTAAAAACCCGTGATCGATATGTTGAACCAAAACGATTCTATGAGAATGCGACAACACCAGCTGGTGTTAATCGTCCTTCTTATGTTGGACCGACAAAGCCATCACCAAAATCGCAAACAACGCCGCCATCGATGCCTAGTACTTCTCCTCCATTACCATTGCCTAAAACACCAGAGCCAGCGTTAATAAGATCTAAAGTGAATGATGTTGATGCAAATCGATCGAGTGCATCGCCTACTAAGACACCATTATCAAGTTATACTAGTCCATTTGTACAGGGTAGAGTCAATGCCTTTGCCAGATCCAATGAAATGAAAGCTAAATATCCTAATTTGCCATCGACACCAGTACAAAAAGCCAAAGAAACTAAGCCTCAACAATCTACGCCATTAAGCCAGCAAAGAAGTACATCATCCGCTTCCGTAAAATCACCATCCAATAGTAAACGAGCGGAAGCTACTCAACTTGTTCGACGAGGTGCTCGTACACCAGGAGGCGCTTCTACATTTGATTTTTAATACATTACAATAAATCATAAAGTAAAGAGAGAGAAAATGGATGAAATCAAGACGGAAAATCTATTCGAAAGATACTCTAATCAAGCGGAATCCCACATTACCGTAGCGCAATAAACAAAAATAAAAATGGATCATTTTCAACCAATCTTACAAATAGTGTTAATCCCCTAGGCAAATTTTGACCAGCAAAGGAGGAAATATTTCATTAATTACTACATCAGTAGGCAAATGAATAAATGATATCCTTTGCCAATTCATCATTGAATCTCAACGGGAAAGCCCAGTGAGAAAAATCACTTGAAAGAATTAAAATCAGTTCCATTTTGCTTGCTTAGCGTTAATAATTTAACATCCATTTATTTCTAAAATGCTAACCCCGACCATAGACTAAACTCTATTAAAACATAAGTGAACTTTATGTCTAGTTAAATCTTGTATTCGCCTTTATTACTTGTCTTTAATTTGATAAAAACTAGTCTGTAATTCAAGATAAATATGAATCATGATGATTTATCCTACAGGAAGTCCAATCATTTTAATGCATAGCTGTAAAATTGTGGATATAGCTTGCTGTATCATGATTTTACTCATTTGTAATGGTTTTACTATCCGCTTTATCGATTCTATTTCGATTTTTTTTATTTTAAATGTTGTACGGTAGCTTATGTCAAGTCCCTCTAAAAATGATGATGTAGATAACTAATTAAGATGGCCAATATTATTTTATTATATTGATACCATAAAAGATGAAAAATGATCTTAAGATAAAGAACTGAATCAAGCCTCATTCTCCGCTGGTAAATGGCCACAGCCAATATTTAGATCAATTTTCAAGAAATCATTCATCATAGTAATCATAATCCATTTTGATAATGTGATGGTATGATCTCAGCCTAATATATGCGATCAATTGAATATTTTAATGTTCACCTATTCAGATACATGATATAGCTATTAGTAGAATAATTTTAAAGAATTTTTAAGCCAAAAGATCGACATTATGGTACTACTGCAGAAAGATGAAATTTTTGTTTTTCTTATTTGAACTCTAGATTTGTGTCTTAGAATCCAACTTGTTCTTGTCTCAATTATGTTCATAATATTGTATAATCACAGTACCAAGTATTTATTCACTTTCTTTAATTTTTTGAAATGTGTTAGTATTACCGATAGAAGATAGAGCTGTTTGTCTGTTTCACAAAAGTTGTTTTTAAATAATTGATACAACGTTGATTTCAATAATTTAAAAAATAAAACTTGTTTGAAATAACAAGTAACTCCTACTCTTGCCATGTTAATTAGGCGATATTGTATGGACGGTATTTCTTATCGTTCCATTTACATTACACTAGTTATTCTAGTTATAGTGCGATATTGGATTGATTTGGTGATCTATTCCAGCGATCCATGCGTTATTGAAGGTTATTCACTTGATTGCCTATGCTGATGATAGCGAAGGGATAGAAGGGATGACAGAAAGGAAAGTGAAATAGCGTAAAGGACATTTAAATAGCGTCAATTTTTTTAACTGTTTGTCTATTCATATTCAGAGTCAATTATTTCATTACTGTCAACTAGAAAGGATTCTATAAAATAAAGTAAATGATTATTCTGGCAATACTTAATCCGTTTAGACTGCTAAATACTTTTGTAAATGACTTTGTATTTGTACCGCGTAAAAGAAGGAAAATCTATCGTAATGCTGCTAAAGGATAGTTGCTTCTACGGATTAGTCCATTCCACAATCCTTATGAGAAACGAATAGAAATAGGATGACCAAGAAAAGATTATTGGTGCCAGAAGTGAGTTTTTTTCCAGCTAACAGCAGCGACTAACATTCTTCTAGAATCTAGCGAGTTCTCTAGAAATTTGTATTTTCGTTGTATAGAAGAAAACTTTCAGCCGATATGAAAGTAGAAGAATTACTCTAGTTCACTGCACAAGTTTCTAGTTAATAGTAGAAAGGAAATTCATTCCAACATATTAAAAAGGTGTTACTATCCTAGAAATGATGATGGAGAATTTAATGGTTCGAGAGAATTTGGATTAGTGACCATTGAGAGGTGGGCATCAATATGTTTAATAGAAATAGATTGTCTATTTTAGACTGCAAATTGCGTAATATTGAAATAGTTGCCGGCTGTAGAACTGCGTGTAAGCTATCGTGAAGTAAACTGAGTGCCGACACCAACAGCATTGCAAATATTTCAGATATGAAGCAGAAATCAAGGGTATTACTAGATTTAAAGATAGAAGATAGGCAGAGAGAAATACTGTAGAATTAATACAACGTACGCTATATGTGATGGTCTATGGAAAACTAGGAATGTGTCCGCCATAAGAGATGGATTTCTCAGTGGATGGAGCTACTGGAACCGTTCTGACCCACTGAAATAAAGATATAATTAGAGTGAAAGTTAATAGACTGTATTTGTTGCATGGAATGGGTTTTCTAGTCGATGGAACTACCAGAACTTATATCCTGCCGGCACTGAACAAAAATAATTAGATGAAAAGTTAATAGGCTGTACTGATCGCATGGAATAGAGTTTTTTACTATTGAAATGAAGAAACCTAAACTAAAAGTCTCCATTCCATGCGAAGGACAAGGGTCTTCTCAAGATGAGCATCTTCTTCCAACGTACCTAGATAATTCCAATCGTTGCTATGATCAGAATAGATTCAATGGATACGAAGGATATTTCGTCAATTTTGACTGATGATAATCTTCTTTAGGATGTTAGAATAACTGTGGCCGCTACAAAGCTAACTGTATGCGGCAGAGAGAAAAAGCTTTTCTGAGTAATCACCTTCTAATCAATTAGAATATGATTCTAGTTGTTGCTGTCAGTTGAAAATTTGTTCAATAGGACATCTATTTTGATTTACTTTTCGCGTTTTGCAATGATTCTAGTCGTTGGTATCAGTTTGAATTACTCCATAAAATAAATACAAATATATTCGTAAACTTTTAGTGCTTTCGAATTATTCTAATCACTGCCATCAATTTACTGGGTAGGATATACGAGTATATTTTGATCAACTTTTAGCATTTTCCAATGATTCTAGTCGTTGCCGTCTAAGGAAAATCACCCTGATAGGACTTAGACGTAAACTTTTCTCGCTATGCAATAATTCCCGTCGTTGGTGTCAGCTTAAATTTACTCCCGAAGATATATACGAGTACATACGTAAAATTTTATTGCTTTGGGATGGCTCTAATTACCGCCAGTAGTAAACTTGACAGGATATATACAAGTATATTCGTAAACTTTTAGCGCTTTTGAATGATTTTAGTCGTTGCTGTCAGGTCACAGTTTACTTAATAATCTAACTATCAGTCTTCTGAAGCATTTGAAGAAAAACTACCCCTATTCCAAGTTCTAACCCAAAGATTATCTGTATTCGTAGGCTTGTAGACTTTTTAAATAATTCTAGCCGTCGCTGTTAGATGATATATTATCCGATATTGATAAACTTTTAGAGTTTTCAAATGATTCTAACTGTTCCTGTCCGCTGAAGCTCATTCTATGCAATCTGATATTTTTATCAATTTTCCAAAGAAGATTTATGAAATAGCAATCTTGTGACATGAATTTTCAGTTGATCACAGCGATTATTGAATATATTAATTGGCAGAAAGAACATGATTACGCCGGTTTGAGAGAATATCTATCCGTTGATCTAAGCTTTGCGGTTGATATCATTAAATGAATCACTCCAACTGACAAAATGTTGATCGTCCTGAGAAAATATATACCGATAGCCGCTCCACGAAATTACGAGACTTTAAGTTGATAATGGCGACCAGGATCGTTTTAGCGCACTTACAACATTGAATAATCTTGCGGATTTATATATAAGTTTAAAATTTATGCACATACATGTACTTTATCCCATAAAAATGAGCTTTTCAGCGAATAGCTGCGACTGCGATCATTCTAGCGCACTAAAAAACTACGATAGTCCGGAAATTTAGACTCCTATGACAAGAGACGAGTAGTACCTGCGCATTTCTAAAATCAAGTAAACTATCGGTGAAATGTATCGTATATTCTCGATATTGAACGTGTGCAGTAACTGTTAACGATGTTAAAAGAGGAGCGCCTAAACTGCGGTATTTTATGCCGGTGTAGTATTATATAAGGTAGTGCGGAATGTTATTTCCTTTATGTTAGTATGAGCGCAACGAGTTCTTTAAAGCGATTAAAAAAATACATACGTATATATCAATAAAAGCTCGGTAGGTTATCAATCATAAGGAAATAACTACAACTTTAACTGTTAGTGCTAATTTAATCTCTCTAATGCAAATCAAATAAAAGCACTGAGAAATCATGCATCTATTTACTAGTAACTAATAACTATGCAAAGAAGAAAAAGTAGATAAGCTTCGATTTCAAATGAAATAATTCATACTTAAAGGTAGCGTAACAATTTTAGCTAACTATAATACCTAGACATGTAGAGATGTATCATATTAACAGTAAGGAAGCTTACGAACAAGATGCAATAAGCGCTAACTATGTATTTGTAGGAAATGACAAATGTAAAGAGTACAAATAGAATTTGGTAGCAATTTCAGCTAATAATCAGTGATAAATATTAGAAATGCGTCGTATTAAACAATTTATGAACAACGTATAGCATCAATAGAAGCAATAAAAGTATTCACGTCGAGTGTAACAACTGCAATGTCAGTTAATGAATGTGGATGAAACTAGGAAGCGCGTTATGATAGAAAATTTATACGTAGTATAGCCATATGTGATGTTAATTAAAAAGTAAAGCGATTCTATTGGTGCAGTCTTTAAAAAATTTTCCAGTTATTACATGAACAAAATGGAAATTGTATACAGTTATCGCAGATACCTACGCCACCGCCTGGTATCAGCAGGGAATAGTCGATTACAAATTAAATTTTCCTTGATGCCTACGGCGGAAGCTACTACGCGTAAAGTCAAACTGTTGCTTAAAAATTACAGAGTAAATACAATGTTGTAAATCTAAAGATATTTTCATAATAGTATCCTTAAACTTAAATATTAGTAGGTCAATTAAAAAGGATTACGATAGCAACAGGAGTAGTAAATAAAAAGACGTAAAATCAGAGATAAAATATAGTGATGTTGGTATGCAAAAATTTCAGGTGATGTCTAGAAACGAGAATACAGTATCCCCAACTTTCACGATATTTACTCGGAATAGCAATTACGGAGATGAGAATCGGTAATGAAATTCGATCATGATATATGATAACATTTAAAAATGATTTAGCGAAAATGTACGCAAATTTAGAAAACATTAAACTTAAAAGGATGGAGCAGAGTACGCCTAATTTCAATGATATTACTGCTGGGAATAGCAATTAGGAAATACTAAACAGACTAATCCCAAAATAATTTTACGTTGCAACTTTCAATGCTACAGTATTCTCCCATCTATAGTAATAATATAACACGATTAGAGTCATTTTAGCAATTCAGTTATGCTGTACTAGCTGTGTAAAGAAATTTATTTTTGATGCTAACAACGTATCTTAATTGGGTATTACACTGACATAAATAAAATAACTATTCGGCTTAAGAACATTGCAACGAATTTCATCACTCGTTTTTTCACATTGTTAGTCATTTATTTGCTTTCATTAAAAGAAAATAGCTGAGAAACTCTCATGACAAATACATAACTTTTGTCATTTTGTTAACGATACAAATGAATTTTTAAAATACAAGTACATAGAGAAGATAGAACATGAAAGTCGTGATATAGTATTACTCAACTTAAGTATATCAGAGACACTAAACAGAATTTAAAATTCATTTGATTACAGTAATTAATTTTATAAAATAATTTAATGATTTTTTTATAGCCTTATGATCATCGCTATAAAATTGTGACTTGTTGCGAACGAATGTATGTAATTTTTAAAAACGTTAACGTTCAATATTGAACGAATCAATGAAACAGACCGTAGAAACGAATTTTTATACATATACGTATAGATACTGTCTTATATTTATATAGATCGAAACTCTAACATTCATGTTAATCATAGCATCGAAGCATTTCTTATATTTTAAGAACAAATGCGAAACCTACAGTACAATTAAATGAATTGTTTGACTGCAGTAGGCAACATGTCGGACAGCTGTACTGTTTTAATTAGAGCTTTAAAGGCCTAATTTATAGTTCTAGTATTTTTATAATTACCAATATCTGTTAATGTAATTTTTTGCAACATATTGTAAAATCTTGTAGAACGTCTTGAAAGTTGATATTATGCTATAGATAGGTTGATCCTTGCAAAATTTCATTCAAAATTTTTAATATGGACTTCCCTGTAACGTCGCTATAGGTTCCCGTAAATGAATATATTCACTGCTGAAGAAAATATTGAATTATAATGCCATGTCAATATACAGTAAAATAATTACCACAGCGGTATCTTAAAATCAGTAGATTAACAAAAAGACTTTCATCAAGATAGTATGAATGCAAATCAATCGAGTAATGTAGTAAGGGGTTGAAAAATAATGAGTAGATTGGATTTAATGCTAGTCGCAAGTTATGGTAATAGAGTGGCCGAGATAGACATTAGCGATTTCGCTTCAAAAATAACTACAGTAATATTAGCAGAGTGCAGTAGTACATGTCAATCTGTCAAGTAACATAGAGTATGGCATATTCAATTGAGATAGAAATAATCGTTCAAACATAGAAATTAATTATCAAACATACAATACATACCCGTGATTAGGTTGCGGGATAAATTCTGTGCCTCTGGGTGTAGTTGCAATCGGGCGATGCGATGGATCCACAGCAGATGGAGGGCAGTAACAATTACCATAAGGCTGGCTTCGGACAAAATGGCCACTTGTAGGAGAAAATGATATAATTTGCGAATGCGGATGCGGTAGACAGTCACTACTATTCCATACCGAAATCATTGGTACTAAATTGTTAACGGCAGTTGTAGCAATTGATGCAGAGGTAACAATATCGTTCGGGACTGAAACAGCCGTTTCATGGTTGTTATTATCCTCTCTAGCTAAGTTGCCAACGTTAATCGCCGTTCTGTAATATGGCGGAGGCGACGGTGGTATTGATGGTGGCACAGATGCCGCCGCGTCTATAATAATTGAAATTTTTGATTTAATTGTAAGTAAAGACAAAAAGGACGCAACAATCTACAGTTTTTTTTAAATCTTATTCTAGTCTTCTTACCAGCAGCAGTATTAAAGTCGCTTGCTTTAAATACGCTATGAATTCTAACTGAATTACCTGTAACATAAAATAAAGGATGTCGATTTTAAAATTTATTCTTGCCGTCTGCATGTAAAGCTAAGCTTTATTTCTTATAAATAGCAAATATTTTCATGTCCAATTTATACTTTTTAATTATTTTAATCGGGATTATTTACTTGACAACAAAGAATATAATATATTTTAAGGTACAATCTATCTAGTCGCATAAATCCTGCTAAAAGTACGACTTTTATTTCAGTAAATGTGGTTAGCTGTTTAATTTTTACTCTCTAATTTATATTTCAAAGCCCATCTCGATTTGAAGTGAATAAATTATTTCATAATATAGAAGAGAGTAATTTTAAAATAGTTTTATATTTAAATCATCAGCATAATAAAATGAAGGTTTTCTATATCATAAATTCTTAATTACGTTTATAAAGTTGTCTATCTATCTGCTAATAAATTAATTTAATACTCTTTCTATCCTGGTTCCCAGCGCGATATTAAAAAGAACTTTTTTATTTAATTAATAGCGAAGAAAGTTTTTTAATTAAGAATAAATTCTTAACTAATCTTAAAAAGAATTTTATCATATTATGTAAAGATAATATTTAGTCGAAGGGCAAACTATATTATTTTTAGGGAAATGCATATGCTATTCCTCATGAATGCCTATTGCGGCATAATAATGTGGAAGAAAAAGTGATGACGCGATGCTTTGCCTATAAGACGTATGTATATATATGCAAGCTATGCAATATGGCATTCTCATGAATACAAAATTATATACGTAGACTAGACTTGGATACTATCAACCGTATACGTTTACTGTATGTCAACGCATTTCTCAATCACGTCGTACCAATATTAAAAATGGTGGAAAAAATTGAATAATTGAACTAGTTCGTCGATTCGATCGTTCAAGATCGATCTAAACAGACTACTTCGCCTTATAATAGTCATTATATCATTTGCGCTATTTCACATGTAATATCGTACAAATATCGTCCACTTTGGACGCATTGCATCATTTACATCATGCAATAAAGGCGGTGTATGTTTTCATTTGATGGGCCGCCATTTTCCCACGTGTTGAACTGTAACAGTATGGTCTGATGAAATAACCCAAAATATTTCTAAATTGGAAACAGGTGTCAAAAAGTAGATTAGTATCCTATTTTAGGCATAGGAAGAGTTTTTAAATTCCTCTTTCGTAATAAAGTTAAAAATTCTCGATTGCGATTTTTAAGGAGTTCTCAGCAGTACATAGGTGTGAATTTTTTTTTCTCCGTACAATATTATGAGAATGCGCTGTGTTGTTGATTAGCCAGCGCCTAGACAAGGAATTAAAGTTTTGATTTTGATATTAAATTTTAGACGTATTCGCAACTTTGCAGTTATAACATTGAAGACCTTTAAAATTCTATGGATATAAGGATTATGACTTATTATTAGGCTGTATTAGAGTACATTTTTGCAATAAAATCAATTGGATATTATGACTGCAAAGCGTGATTGATGAATTTTCAACGATATCTTTAAGAGTTCTCAATTCATAGAGTTGGCGATCTCATGATGACCGTATGAAGAGATTGTATCAACCACAGCATAAGTTAGCTAGGGTAGTAGCGTCGTAGAGATATTTAATGTTAATAATTCATCTTTTGAGTATCGGAATATCTCAACAGCATAATATACGTAATATCCAGTACAGTAATGGTATTTATGTAATAGGGCTAGTTATAAACTACCGCAGCTGTAGTTATGAGAATTAAAGGTTATTAACCTTGTAATTAATTTTTCAATATACGCTTTAGTAACTAACTGGTTGTTGCAAACATTCTATTTCTAGGAAATGATCACTGGGATGAGAGTGGTTATTTTCTGCTATGACGATATGATTTTTTTTTTTCCTTAGTCGTCTTCTCTGTTATTGTTGTTGTAAGGATTTTCAAATCAATTTTTAAACCTTTTTAGTTAAAATAATTGGATAAATGAGCGTGAATAGTAGACTTTATTGTTGAATCTTTTTGTCGTCAATATCGTATTTAGAATGATAAAGTATGCAAATATAGAAGGATAATGCGATATTATATTTTTACTTGGTATTACGATAGCCTTTTAAAAATTTGGTTGATCTTAACCAACTGATGTACTGTAGTACTTGTAGTTGTAATAATGACGCAAACCATATGCTATCTTGTTCTATGTTGGGTAGTATTCTTGTTTAGTTGAATTGGTTATGGCAATAGGGTAATAGCAATATTTCATCATTTATTCCTAATCCAGTTTCAGCAAATGTTTAATGCACTAATTTGTCTTTTAAGGTAAATTACAGTAGCATAATATTCGAGGTCAGTTCGTTTTTAAAATTTAAACAAGTATTGCAATAGCTATATAATTGTTGAATGTAAGTGGGCAAGAGTAATAAGTGCTATGACAATAAGGAAGTAAGATGATTATTCCTTCATTGGTTAGTTGTAGGTATAATCTGTAAATCTGCAGATATTTATCTTAGTAGTAATAAGTGTGTACAGTACTGTGAAAGAGAGACACTTGGAGAGGGATAAAAATGAAAATTAGGATCAGCATTACCGATAGTTTCCGATTGATTAATTGATTCGATGAAAAAAATGGAAGCTATTCTATTGTTAGTTAAGGTAATGAAGTGATTAATCTACGGATATGATGAAATTAATGGCATCATTTGCATCAAGTTATGATGGCAACGTGTGTATCTTCTAGCTACTGTTATATTTTGATTTTTTAAAGTGCGTCTAACAATAAGTAAGAATTACACCGAGGCTATTTCTTAATTGGAATAATAATGATTGAAAGTTTTGACTAACCTGAATCTTGTTGTGACATTTTATTATATAAGAAGATATCCAGTTCTCTAGCTACAACTTGAACATGAAATGGTGATATGCAGAGGTCTGGATTTTGGCATTGATTGGACTTGCATATTCTGTCGCTATCGGTCGATTCGAGTGGGACACCAGTAAATAAAATAGCCATAACAATATCCAATCGCCATACTTTATCCGTTTGTCGTAAGCAATCGATACGTCTCATTTTACCACGATAATCAGGATTGGAAATGATGCATTTATCGGTATTTCTATCACGGATCCATTGGGTAATGTTGCGTTTATTTTCAGTTTTGACATCTTTTAAAATTTTAATTAATAATCGTTTACACCATAACATTTTATCATGATTTCTGACACGTTTAATGTCAGCTAGCCAAGTATCTTCCTGTTTATTTTTAATATTATCATATTTGATCATATTACTACGCCGATTGGTGCTATTGTAATGTCTTCGTTTTTGTTGTAGATGGAACCAACCGTAGGCTCTAGGATGGATATAACGTTGTAATTCTTCCAAATCGATTCGATTGCTTACCATGATGCTAGTTGATTGCTCTCTCTCCCTCAACTTGTTAATGTCTGTACCTCGATATACCAGCACAAGCAATTTTCAATGCAGCGATTTTTTTTCAAGAAGGCTAATTTGTCTAGGATCCAATGACTCTTCTCGTCACCAAGCGTACCGAAGTGGATCAAGTTTATCTTGATTTGGATGTCATGCGACAAATAAGGCCAATTGCCAGCGATAGTCTACGAATGGGGGGCTTATGGTTGTTGGTCAACTTTTTATACACTAAAATTGTTAAGCACAGTGATCAATGTTGGAACAAGTCCAAGGCAGGCTAGGACATGAATATCGAACGATCCAGTGTCGCTCTTGATTTCAAGTGGAAGCTTGCCAACTGCAACTTGTCGACGTGATACAACACGCTTGCTACCCTACGCTAACCAAGATAATAATAATAATAATGATGAAATTAAGATGACTAATTTATTTTGTAGACTCTTATCGATAACGTTAACGTAACGATTGCACTCTCGCCAATCGATGACGACTCATTTACTCCACTCTAGTATCAATAAGAATAATAATTATTTTAATTATGTCATTAATTCTGACTGATCAACAGTAGAATAGGGGTACAACGGCCGTCCTACAAGCCTTTTTGTCCTTTTTTTAAAAGGTTGTATTAATGAAAGAATAGAAATGTAAATGGATTATCTTATCGTTGGCAGAATGATGAGAGTAGACTAACTTAAATCATGGCTATCATGCCGTAGTGATATGGCTTCTTCATGTTAACCGGCGGCCGCAAATAAATGCCACGTCAGGTAATCCTCTTCTCCTCCTCCCCCTCCATTGGGTTTCAGCGCTCATGGCACTACCCTAATACTACTAGCTATCCTGGTCTATCCTACTATGACTATCGTCAACAACAAGTTTATGTATAGCCTCATCTTGTTGAAATTTCTACCTTGATATCAATATCAATGATCTCGCTTGTCAATAGCATCCATAGGATAGCCAATCGTTGCCGACTGATGCTGACGTAATTGTCAACAATTTTCTAACATGATAAGACTTGTTCAACTTTTCTTTTAATTCAATCCATGTTGATGAATAGGAAAGATAGCACATTGCATTGGGCAAAAATACAACCATCAGGAGTTAACGCCTTTTAAAATGGCCATTGAGAATAGCCTACAATATGGTATTGTTGGTTCCCATCATGTCTATTATGTGGACAACTGCACATGCAACATGATTTAACAAGTGGATCCATCAACATTCAATGGTAATATCGTTATGGGCAAATATCAATAGGTGTTTGACTGGATTGTATCACGGTAGTTGGGTAGTTGGACTGTTGTTAAGAGGCTATTCATTAATATGGATGATGATGAGCATCGTCGGCCTTGATCATGTTTGGGACATATTTAAACTTGTTATAAACTTGTTCAGACAAGATAAACGATCATTAGGCTAGCGCGTGCTCAGCCGCGGAAGAGCGCTTTGGTCATCTCGTCGACAACCTTGTTGATGGCATACAGTAGTGTTGTAAATGGGATACAGGCCTTGAAACGTATTCATAAATGAATTGATGGCGTTTCTATGATGGATTGGTCTCCAGTTCAGTTGGACTAGACTCTTCTATCGCAAGTCTTGGACTACAAGCCCTGTCAACATGAAATTGGTAATGATCCATAAACATGGTTACCGCCGGTATCTGGCTACTGGTGGAAGCGGCCAGCCCACCGGATCAAAATCAACTTGAGGACAGCGCCTTTGAGACCTCCATGGATCATCATGACTGCAACAAGACATGATACTCTACTTCTAAAAGAGTCTATCGGCTCGTGACAGCTTGACATACCCAATTTAATCATTTAATCAAGGATTATGAGATTGGCAATAATCGAACTGATCTGTAAACAAGATCATCATCCACTATCAGTTAACTGCCAAGCGGATGAGCAGGCCCGTCATTCGGGCCCAGCCATGATGCTCATACCGGGCAACGATCAATTTGGGGGCTAATAATTGAAATGATGAATTATTAAGACATCAAATTCAATCAAGGATTGCTCGGTTCAATGAGGATTTGATCTGTTGAAGCTACAAGTCATTTCCTACTTTGATCTCTTTTGATAGTGTAGTTTAGATTGTTCTACAAACTTTGTGGTCATTGGATGGAAAGGGTACACCGTACTACATATCGGATTTCAGATGAAAAGTTCCAAGAGTTTTTTGGCTTTAGTAATATAATTCTTCTTATTATCGCATTATCATTGAATTATTATTATTTCAGCCGTCAATTTATGATTGCTCACCAAGTGGTAAAGTGATCAACTGGTGCTGAATAATCGTCACGAATGCTTACTAAAAGCAATCAGCAAATGAATTAGACGATTGCAGTAGGCTGTCCGATGGATGACAAACTAAAGTATTATTTAAATTTCACTAGACAAGCCATTTTTCCAATCTACTTCTAGGAAGTCATTCTAGGATGGATAAGCTCATGTACACGACAAACTTTGCATCTTTATGACATGATTTTAATGACGATTTACGATGCTTGATCATTGATTTATGCACTGTACTCTAGTATACAAAATTATCAGTCAAAGCATTATTGGTAGCGCCGTGAATTCTTCCATGGTAGTACACTACATACAAGCGATATTAATAAACTATGACGTAGATCGCTGACAGCTTAGGCTTTCGATGAATAACACGTTGCAGCTCGCTGTTTTCTAGCAACTTGTTCTAAATTCAATATTTGTAAAAGTGGATCAGTCATGCTACTGGTGTCGTGATGAATTATTTTTGAGTTATGACATACATGAGTATTATTTGATGCTCCAGATGCAGATAGGGACTACTAAAACACTTTCTTTTACTACAATAGTCCCTGATACAGATTTGAACTAAGATAAATTCAGTATTCATAAGCTTTATCAGCAGCATCATCCATGTTATGGTGATTTTAGGATAGGGTTATTACGTGGGCATTGGTATTATTAATGGTAAGATGCAAATCACCGGTAGCTCAAGCTTCCGATCGTTGGATTTCAATCGACATTGTCATGTGTAATAGGGCGATGCAGCTTGCTACGATTAAAAATTGTTGTAGTACTAAAATAAGTTAATATTTATAGAATCTTTCCAGTAAGATCATTGATGTCGTGACGAACCATTTCGGAGTATTCTATATTGGTAGAATGGATTGTCAAGTGGTGAATTGTCGATAATTTCTGATCATTGGATTCTTATACAGTGCATGGTCATGTCCCAAGACTATGATAAATTGAAATGTTCATAGAAGATTACTAGCAAGATCGTCGATATTGCCATAAATTATTGAATATTATTATGATAGATTAATTATTTAGGAAGCAGATCGTAGGTAGCTCAAATTTCTATAGCTGGATTTCAATCGACACTGCTATGCCCAATACTACAGCAGCTGGATGAATGAATAATTTTTCCTAAATTAACTAGCGCTCAGTAGCTCAAGTTCTCTATCAATTAAATAGATCTCGTTAACTTCAAGTTTTCTATCGTTGGATTCTGTCGTGACCAATACCCTAGACTTGTAGATACCTATGCCTTAGAGAGATCCACAATTCTAAGGTATGCTACTATACTGGGTAAATCAACAATTTTCTCGAAATTAAATAGATTATGTATTCACAAAAGATTACGCGTAAAAATCATCGGGTTGTAATAAATTAATTATTATATTATTGGATATTATTACGAGCTATCAAGCTGGAAATCACCGGTTTAGCATCTCAAGTTTTCGATCGTTGAATTCTAATCAATACTGTCTGGTCCAATACTACTATAAATTAACCATTTTCCTTGAATGAAATTAAAGTACTGTGTGATTTCACAGGAGATTACGACATCGTTGGTGTTGTGATGAGCTATTCCAAATCAGTGCAGTATTATCAATATAGAAATTAGGGGCAGCTCAAGCTAACGATCCTTGGATCCTTCTAATCGACACTACGTGGAAATGTGACTGCTGGTTGCTTACTATTAAAATTGAAATTATTATGATAATGTTGGGCTGCAATACATTCAATTTAAAATAATGCTACAGTATTCCTAAAAGTTGATCAGTAACTATTTGACGGTAAATAAATAAATAAATGAATCGATATTAGGCATACATATGTATTTCAAGATTGCCGATAGCTCAAGCTGGCGATGATTGCACTCTGCAGTCATTGGTATTTTCATGGCCATTGAATATAGCACTAATAGAATACTGTAAATTAAATCCTAAATCTCAATCTGAATATAGCCCAACATTCATGAATAACTATAGCTAGTTCATCATCTACTAAAATACAGCGATTGATGAAAGCCTGTGCAGTTTAAATTCTTTTTTTAATGGATTCCGGTTGGTACTAGACTAGTGATGATACAGATGTAAAGTATACTATTGTCTCTTATGATGATGCCGACAGACCAGGTGGAGCTTGCAGTATGATGGCGATCATTTTTTGGAGGTGAAAGAAAATCGATTTTTAACCTTCGACGACATTTTCATAGGATAAAGGTAATTACAGAGGTGCACAGGTAGATATAGTTGAATCCGGAAGTAAAGCATCTTATTCAATTCAGAGGTGGATAGACAACGAAGATCTTCGAATGTAATCCGTGGAGGAGTGATGGAAATGTTTCTCCATTCATCGACAATAGCTACGGCGTGATGATGGTAATTGATCAATTTGTGCCAATGATTTATTCAGTCGTTGCTTGTATTCATTAAATAGCCCTCGACATAGTTATTAGTTTACGCAATACTATGGCCAATTGGTTCAATAGCACTTCAAGATAGTCCCTATTTTACTAAACGTCGTAGTCAATATTCTTGCTTCGTTGAAACATTTTATCCTTCTTGCCCTTGTAGTAAAATCTTTCACTCAGTCGTTGTTTACTTTGACGTTAATTTAGTCGCCTTCGCCATAGTTACTATTTTACTCAACGTTATGGCCAATTGGTTTAGCAACCTTTAACCAATC